ACGGCGAGAGGACGGTGTGCGGTTGCCGCTCAATGCTCTCATCTCTCTCCCTACACAACACAACGAGGGCCACATTAAGAAGCGGCAATGTAGCGCCGGTCTATGCGCGTTGTGCGCCCACGCAGACGTCACACACACCCAGATAACACACATGCTGCTAAAGGGCGAGCATCAGAGGAAGTGAACGCGGCCCTTTCGCCTCTCCAGCACACGTGTCCTCCCTCTGAATGTCTTTTGTCCTTCCGCTGAGATGCAGCGTTGCTGTTTGCCTCCCTACGGACGTTAGCGTGTTCTGTAGCCCACGTTGCTCATATGTATTGATTGAAAGCAAATTAAAGGCAAAAATAAAATGTGGCCTTTGTTGTTGTCTGTTAGCAGCCCTTTGTGTCATTTTGTTTCGTTCTAGTCACATTCGTCATTATGTGTGAAAATGATGGTAAAGGTCATTTTGAAGATGTGTCATTGTTTTTGGCTAAAAGGGAGACAAAGTCCCTCACAGCTCTTAAACTAAAGCACCACTCATAAATATGTTCAACATTAGTCTCTGTCTCTCTCTCAGACCCACCTCGCTATCAAAATGTAATACAACTATTTTAAAAAGCCACTTTCTGAAAGATTATTCTTGTGATTTAGTTAGTTCTTCTGCACCTCTGACAACGTAATATGTTTTTGATGGTTTATGACCTTGTACTACATCAAATTAACATGTTTGGTCAAACATTAATAAGAGTAGGAAGGTGTTGTCTGAAGTTACAACTGTTAAATGTTTTAGCCGAAGGCCAACCATTATTAGTTTGCCATAAATTCACAGAAATGTAACATTTGAGTCCCCTCCATCCTTAAAGGGGCACTAATCAATATTGTGTAGAAACCTACAGATCATTCTCACCTTATTCTGCCCAACAGATATCGAATAATGATAACCTTTAATTATAGTAACATTACATGTCGTCTCTCAAATCTCAGGTTGTTAATTATCCAACAAACCAATAACTGCTGAATTATCCTGCATTGCATTAAATTAATCTGGTCTAGTAACATTTTGAGATTAGCTCTTGATATTTTAAACAGGAATCCAGAATAAGCCCTCAAAATACATGATCCAGTTTCTCGCCTGGGTAACCCAGACCTCTAAGGTCTAACCAGAAGATACAGAAGTATCTCAACCTGAGGTAGAAATGCACACGCAGCGTTCTTCTCAGATGGAAACATCCGGTTCTGAGAAATGAGGCCAATCCGGAACTACATTAAACTTGCATTCTCTCAAATATCCAGCAGGGGGCGACTCCACTGGTTCTATAGAAGTCAATGAGAAAATGACTCCTACCTCTGTCTTTTTCCTTTATTTCCGCAGTTTTCAATGCCTCATCATGTACCTTTAAGCAAATCGTGGTCCGTTGAGTCAAATAGACCGCAAAGTGGGGCGGTTCCACCTTGTGATGGACAGGTCGTTACCACGGGGTTGTCTGGCCAGCGAGTGGTCGGTTTTTGTTTATCTGTCTAACTAACGGACTTCAACTCCTCAGCACAGTGCAGAACGACGGACAAACCGGACTCAGTGTGGATATTTACATGCAGTGTGAGTCTGCATGTGTTTGCACTGCTCCATGAGGTGTGTTACTGTCACTGAATGAGCCACCAAAGTGTCTGCTGACACTCTTTTGGATCTTTTGCCTCCACCGAGTATTTCCGTCCCTCCCTATGAGCCCGCGTGTTTGGTCATGAATTATGCATCGCTCCGTTTCCCCTAATAACACTAACTGTGACAGTTTGTGCTCGCTGATGCATCAGCAGTGACTGACGGGAGTATTTCTGTCCTCGGTTGTTGCTCCAAATAAGAGGAAACTCTTTACAGAGTCTCGTTAAACGGTTGATGATTTGAGATATTGCAGGTCATGAGGTTTAACACAGCACAGTATAGAAAATATAGAAATAAAGCCTTAAATTGAACGAGCGAGTCTCTCTCCTCTCGGTTTTTCCACTTGTCAATCATCTCGGTGAGCTGTCTGCGTCCCAATGGCAACCGAGGAAGATGAGGAAAAGCCGCAGCGCTGATATTTTAATTAACTTAACTGTTTTCTCTTTTTTTCCTGCTGGTCTCCACCTCATTTTTTTCCACTGCTTCTTGCTGCGATAGTTACACTGCTCACTGATGGATATACGACACTAATAAACACGTCTAGAGAAATCATTCTTGAAATGAAGGATTACAGTTCTTATAGGAATAGAGCTTACACAGTTGTTTTACTTGCTTGCCAATAATTAGATGATATGGTCGATACCACTCTGTTGGGTAAATGTAAACTAGAGCCAATGGTTCGTTAAATAGATGACATTATTGGCGTTCTGTTAACAACAGAAAGGAAAGGTAACAAAAAACAGCCTCCTAAAAGTATGTTCCTGTAAAATGAAACTGTCTTTTTAATTATGTCATATAACAAAGACAAACCATGTTTTAATTTAAGCCTAACCAGCTCTTTTTCTTTATTTTTTCAGCGTCGTTTTTGTTTAAATTTAAAATGTTGATCACATTCTTAAAACTACAGCTGTAGAATGTTTTTCCTTCTAAGCCTAATTGGGAATGTAGGTTGTTTGGACAATTATCAGTTCCAATAATAGTTGAGCAGAGCCGCGCGCGACTCACGTAATGGCTGTTAACATTAACCCATTTGGCGCCAGAGAGCAGCAAGCGCACCTTTATCAATAGGATTTCAGTTTAGTTATTGTTCCTCCTAAAATTACTGCACTGATAGGTTAAAGTTAAAAATACACAAAGTGGGTCCGTAACGTTAAACCTTTCTACATGCCGAGAAAGCCGGGAAGGTCAGGCTACAAGCTATTAACGTTAGCTAACATTAGCCAGCGAGCGTTAGCTAACGTTAGCTATCAGCTAGAGTTAGCTAGTCAATTGACATTGGTTAGGTTCGACTTTTAGTGGCCACAAACTCACAAGAAAGTCAAACAAGAAAAGGATTTGATGCATCACACATTTATATTGATAGCATCAGCACTAGTTAGATAATTATTTTCACTTAAATTAGTCTAATAATGCTAACCTAGCCTTAATGATGTAGGCAACATTAAGCTAACGTTAGCAGCTGAAGGCCTCAGTTAACATTTTATTAACACACAGCAGACAGCCAACTACTTTTCTTGGTGGCAACTAAATCCGGTTAAAGTGAAAATAAAATACAGCCATGAATTTAAGATGTTTACTTACTGGAAACGTAGAGCCTTGGATACCCAGACAGCCAGGAGATGCAGCAAATCTTTAAAAGTGAGATAGATTCCCGCGAGAAAGATTCCCGCGTCCTCCAGGGGCAGTTTGTGGTCGCACATGCGCAGATGTGGAAGTTGAATGTGGTTTCGAAATGTACACATTTCTTTCATGTAACTTTTAAATGAAGGAAATTAGCTTTTTGAAAACCATGGAAGAATGTGTTAGGATTAATTAAAAAAGATAAGTAGGATTCAATAACACGTTCAAATCAGTGAAATAACAGTGAAATCAAGTAATATTTAAAAGGGGTCCGAATCATTTTTTTCAGTGTGAATGAAATGGGGTTTTTTCTTTGAGAGACCGATGCAGAATAATGAGTAACTTTCTCTTTATTTTCTATTAATATAAGAATACGTTTTTTCTTGCTAACTATTTTCATTCTGTACTGAAGAAAAACAAAAGCACTGTTAATATAACAAAATGAAATGGATCATGTAAAATGTTTCCCCGTGTATTTTTTGGGCGAATCGCTGAGCCGTAAACAGCTTCTGTTAATGGGCGGACGGATTTAATCTCAGGCGGCAGCAAAAAGGGTGAATTGGCGTGGATCTGAATTGGAGTGTAGGGATGTCAGCCTGCTGTTTGCTCGCTCTCACTAAGTCACCGACGTGTTCCGTCCCTGTTCATGGAGACCAGCGATTAACAGATTTCAGTCGGTCAACCAGCGCTTCAACCAATTACCCAGCCAGCCATCTTCGTTAAACCTGAGCCACTAAACCCCGAACACGGCTTCACTGGCTGCCGGGTGGCTGAACGTGAGAGCGCTGTCCGTCGTCCCGCTAATCTGCCAGACAGTCTCGCGTCAAACCAGTAAAGCCGACCGGGCAGTTCGACCAGGCGGCGACGGCGGCCAGCGACCAACCGAAGGGATGCGGCGCGTTGGGTGTGGGGCGGCTGAATGGGGGGGTTCGCTGCGGTTGGGTGGATTCCGGAGTCGGGTTCTTTGCTCGTCCCAAACCCCCCCAGACTGTCGCCATGAATTAATTCTTTCTATTCATTATTTGGACCATTGATTTTACCCAGAGTGGCTTGTTTTGGTGTCACAGTCATTCACTGATTGTCAGTTCAGTGCGCTGGGGGGCAGGAAGCCTTTTTCATGCTGTAGTGGTAATTACATTGATTGTCATTCTGGACCTGGTTTATTTATATGAGCACAGCCAACGTTTCCTACCACGTTGAGTTGTTGCTGTAGTGGAACAGCTAGTTGGTGAGTCAGCAGGACTCGTGGACTGACCCACTATTCAGTCATCTTTGTGTTCTGTGGTTTTACATCAGCAAACAAACAGTTAGCCAATCGACGTCGTGGAAATCCTCACGGTAATCTGTCTTGGTGCGATTATAAGAATGAAATATAATAAAATAAGAAAGTAAAATAAGATTAAAAAAATATTGAAGCGAACATGACAATGTAAACGGAAAAGACAGGTACGTTAAAGTTTATTTAGGGGGTGACTGTGGGGATGGAGTAGAGAGGGTGCGTACCAGCAACCTCAGGGTTGATGGTTTGAATCCCGGCTGCTCCATGTCGCTGGTCGAAGTGTCAATCAACTTCTCTCCTTCTTCTTACAGCACAATAACAGTTGGATTGACAGCTGTCCTTCACATGACGTTCTCTTTCCTTATCACACATTCACAAACGTTAGGAGATGTTTGACACGCAGCAAGTCCATCACTGATTTCCTGGTTTTTGTTCTCTCTCTCTCTCCTTTCTATCGATCAGCTCACTTCCTGCAGGTCCTAAGGACAAGGAGATGCTCAGCGGCCGGAGGAAGTTTCACGGCCGCTCCCTCTGGAGGCCACTGGAGGCCTCGCTGGCGTAGACTCTTCATCAACAGAGGCGGTCTTGTGATGGAAACCTCCTACTTGCCGGCCGCGCTCCTTCACCCCCCCTCGTACGAGGTGTAATTGCTGAGGGAGGGGAGTTGATACTAAGACACGCTTGTCTGTGAAAAAATCCTCCCCAAATCATGTAGTGTACCCACTCCGAGGAGGGGAGAGCTTCTACATTTCAGTGGGAGTTCTTAATATATTCATTCACACTCTGGAACAGATTGGCCTTTGCTTGTTGGCACAGTGCATGTGGATGAAGGTTTGAGGGTTTGAGAAAGCGACAAGAGAGCAGAAGAAAGAGGGAGGAAGGAAAGGAAAGAGATGGTCCTCCACGCCACCCCTTACTCCGGGGCCTGTCTGCACTTCCTGGATGGCTTGTCGTGGAGCCTGGTGTTCCCCTGCTATTGGCTCCTGGACCAGCTCCTGGCCTCGTGCGTGGCCACGTCGCTGGAGAAGCGCCGGCGCTCCCGGGACCCGTGCTCCTTCCTCACCCTGTGCGTGCTGGTCTCTGCGCCGCTTTACCTCCTCCTCCTCCTCGCCTCCCTACCTTTGGCCCTGCTGGGCTTCGTCATCTGGGCTCCCCTGCAGGCCGTCCGCCAGCCTTACCTGTACACCCACCGCAGGTTAGTGTTCACTTCCTCAATTTCTCTGACGTTGATTGAAACCACAAAGCCAAAGTGAACATGAATAACGTTTGAATTAAAGCCTGTCGTGTTAAATCTTTTTGCAAAGCACACTACGACGTTGCACTTCTAATTCAATCGTTCTTCCTTAACGACACTAAAGCCGACAGCCGGAGCCTCGGACGCGGCCGTGGATTCGCTCATACGTGCAGTGGAGGTTCTGCACGAGGATCATTACATATTGGTGTAGTTAAAGTTGAAAGCTTAATCAAAAAAGCTGTGCGTTCTTCTTCTCTTACGTCAGAGGAGCATGATATGCGTGAACCAAACATGTGGTCCAATACAGAAAGTATGAAAAGCTGAAATTAATTTTTTTAAATTGCTGAAAATACATAAATGAAAATGGAAGGGTTGCTAACAGTAATATTATTTATTTTTAGAATCATAACTACTAAGTAAATAGCTGCATTTTAGCACAAAATAGTTGTAGCCACGAAACGTTGTGTATCGCATTTCAGTAGTCGTACGTGCAGGTAAACAGCATTGGGTTTCGCGCCGTCTCATTCATTCACATCGCTCATGGCGTCCACCTTAATTGTCCGGTTGCGAAAAGCTTTCGTTTCCCAAAAACTGATCGTTTGTGGGATTTAAGGGTTTTCTTTGTCACCGAGCTTAAAGCTGAAATGTCAACTAACGGTCGCGCAAAGTTTAACCTGCTACTTTGATTTAACTGTACGTTATCGGCCAATAATGCGCCCCTTGTGACTGAATCAACCAATCAGAACGCTCGATTTCATCTACCCGTATTATAATATCTAATAACACACAAACTAGTTTTATTAAGCTAAACATTATCACATGTATTATAATTTATACCACTAGGTGTCCTCTACTGCTTAAATCCATACACGTTGCAGTTCTAACTTTCATGCAAAATTTAATTTCTATAACTTAATTTAAAAAAAAAGATGGGAAACGGCCGACACTGGGAGACAATGTTTCCTAATCATTGTCCAGCAGCTGGTGTTATCCCGCTGCAAGATGTTCTCCGTCCAAACTGTTCTGGAAACAGACACTTTCATTGTCAATTTCTCCAAATCTGTCTGTCAAATAGGAATTTGACTTTGTGAGTCATGCCTTCATTTTATATCTAAGTTCAAGTTGTTCCCGGGATTTTCAAAAGGCAGAAGAGAAAGTAAAAGTAAGAGAGTCAGCTCATTGCTCCGGCCTCCAGCTCAATCGCTCATTAGCCGGCGTTCAGTTGTCTAAACGCTCAACGGTGGCACAAAATCTGAAATGCTGTTGGCCTGCGGAGGAGCAGCACTCAGTCTCGGTTACTCCGATTTCCTAGTGGGACACAACATTAGATGTTCCCTTTTCCCTCTGCGATGCGTGTTTGTCTCCAGTAAATTCAGCTCATGGTCGATTGAAAGGGTTCCAGGTTTTTCCACGATGTTTGATCAAAGAGCAGCGATTCTAACGGAGTCACAAGAGGAGGATAAATGAATAAATTTGGGAAGTCAATGCAGACAATATTCCATCCTACCGATATAATATAACCGCCAAGATTATACTTTTTTTTAGCACCAGATCACAACAGAAGTAATTCAAGGTCTTCTTTGTTTTTTTAATAAGCAGCCTTATGGTATTTGCTCACAGACACAGGTGAGCCCCCTCCCACCATCGGTTGTCTGCAACCCCCCCGGAGCTGTACACACAAACACTGCTCTGCAACGTTTCTGCAAACGAGGCTGAACCTTTTGCTTCTGCCTGCGTCCAGGCTCCACGTTGAAAGAGCTAAAAAGAAAATGAACAACTGTATTTTCCAAAATTTGGACTATTCTTTTCTTACGTTATGGAGGGATGGTTCTGTGCTCCACAGCCTCAATGAGCTGATGTAGTGTTTTTGTTGCTTCCCTTGTGCAGGCACAACAAACACCAGGCCGAGCAGGGCCAGGCCGGGCCGGGAGGGGTTGGCCTCGGGGAATGGAGACCACAGGGCAGAAGCTTCTGTTTTTGCAGTGCCAACGTGTGCCTGCTGCCCGATTCCCTCGCCAGGTTCAACAACCTGTCGGACACGCACAGGAGAGCGCGGGAGGTTGGGAAGAGGATCCGCAATGGTGCCAGTCGGCCTCAGATTAAGATCTACATTGACTCCCCGACCAACACGTCCATCAGGTGAAGAGAGCTTGGTCCTGGTCTTCCTCTTAGAGGAAGTGAAAGCATTCGCCTTTGTCATAAATGTCAATTGAGTGAATGCATTTTGAATCGTTACTTCTCTGTGTTTCGTCAGCGCGGCGTCCTTCAGCAGCCTCGCCACGGGCTTCCGCCGCACCTCCTCTCTGGACCATCGTCCAGACCAAACACACACCACTAACGGCCCGGCCGACCCCGAAACCGAACCGCTCACCGAGTGTCCAATTCACCCCTCGGGGGCGGCCGACTGCCCCGTGCATCCCTCTGCAGGAGAGCAGGGTACCTCTGAATGCCCCCTCCACCCGGACGGAGGAGACACGACAGCGGACTGTCCCCTCCACACGGCGGGGACCAAAGGCAGCTCCGACTGTCCCCTTCCCACCTCGGGAGAGACTCCAGACTGCCCCCTTCATTCCACGGGGGCTCAAGGTGGTCAAGACCATCATGACTGTCCCGTGCATGGGGACGTTGCCCAGACGAAACCCTCCTCAGACTGCCCACTCCACGCCTCAGCGGTCCAGATCAGCATCAGCGCCCCAGAGCCGGAACCAGAGGAAAAGGAGGCCGAAACAGGAAACCATCGGCCCGGGGAGCAGGCGGGGGGTGACACGGGCAGTATGACGGCCTCCAGGGAATCCCTGGCTCGTTACCACGGTGGCGACGGTGGCGTTGGCATATGCTCCAACAACACTCTTTCACATGTCCCCCGCACGTCAATCTTCAAGCGCCCGGGGAGAAAACGCCGCCACGGAGATGAGACATTCGACCATGACATCTCTGCCTTTTTCCCCGCCAACTTGGATTTCCTGGCTCTACAGGAAGTGTTTGACCACGGGTCGACGACCAGACTGCGGCACCAGCTGCACCGCTACTTCCCTTACGTGCTGAGCGACGTCGGCCGGTACGGCTGGAAGGGGTGCTGCTCAAGGTTCAAGTTCCTGAACAGTGGGCTGATGCTGGCGAGCCACTACCCGATCCTGGATGCGCGGTTTGAGTGTTACCCCAACGGGAGAGGGGAGGACGCGCTGGCGGCCAAGGGCGCGCTGTTTGCCAAGGTGAGGAACTGTTGCTGTACTTTCTCTTCCTCTTGGTTGCATGGTTACTGTAATGAATTAATACTAGTGAATACAATCTGGTTGGATGTTTCGGGGTTTGTTGGCGTCATCAGACCAAGCGGTCTCATGGCCTTCCCCCCACAACTTCCCCCCAACACGCCAGACCACTTCGACCCCTTAAAATGCGCCGTAGTCTCCTGCGCGGTTCCACGCAATTCTCCACATGCCGTCCCAGGCTCAGAAGGCACAAGAACAAAGTGGATTAACTTTGTATATGAAGACCGTGTCCCGGCAGGAAACGGGAGACGCTGTGGGTTTGTGCAAATCATTTTGAAACGGGCCATCGTACCTCAACCAAAGGTTGAGCCGATATGGCGCTGGGCTCGCGCTTCCTTCTGCAGCGTTGAGCCGGATCGACCTTTTGTGTCACTTTGCTACGGTCTCGCAAAGTGGTTTTCGGAGTCGCCTCTGGATGGTTAGCGCCGTGACCACTTTGGGAAATGTCATAACTAATATTCCGGTCTATATTTAGACCGCCCGGCTTTTTGTCAGACAATCAGACAACTCCGATTGTCTCCTCCCTGTTCACCGCCGACGTAACATGAGAAACATCCCCTTTTTTTAATCATTCTCTCATTTCATGTCAAAGTAAGCTGAATTAGAAGTGAATGTTACAGCGGACCTCATTTTATAATTTCCCCGCAGCACACATTCGTCTAAGCTCTGATTACTGCTTGGTGCCGTTTCAGCCAGCAGCTAATCCTTTCATCTCTGACGCCCGCTATCCGTACCGTTGGCGATGCAATAATTGAATCCTCCTATTAAAGTCTATTTATACTAAATGAACTCATTGTTAAATCAATTGTAAAAGAAAGATAGAGGGTTACAATGACCTGCCAGCTGTCCGCATGAATTACCGCGGATCTACTTCTACCGCTTCACTACCTCACCCATGTGATGTCCTTGTGTGAACAACGCCGCATGTTTCATGCACTACCGACACAATGCCTTGCAAACAGTCACTCGTGGAGGTGCGTAAAGGCTCCACGGTGTTTTTTTTCTGTGTGCATATTGTATTAAAAGATATTGATAGAAAACACAAGGTACCGACTTGTAGGATGCAAATCCTTAAGATTCAAGCCCTGGTTGTAAGTGAAAGCTGTGGAATTACGGCGACTCCTCTGGTTGCCGCCTTCTATAACAAGCCCTTTCCCCTGGAGGGGAAAAAAAATCATCAGTGCACAATGTAAAGTTCACAAACACACCGTGCAACGAATCAGAGATGTTGATGTTGTGTTTATGTCATTAATGGTTAACAAGGTCATTAAATTAGGAGCGTGTGGACGGGATCCGTTCCCGCCAGGACGGACCCGCTACGTGCCGCCTGGTTCCCACGACGTGCACCTTGCATGCATGCGTGTGTGTGTGTGTAAATCTGTGTGTGTGCACACATGGCCTCCACTTATACGAGATCCAATAAAGACGCTCTCCATCATCACGGCGTGCGTGCTGACAGTTACTGCAGAGAACGAGCTGACCTCACATTCCACCCCCTCCTCGTCTGGGGGGGGTCATCCCCCCCCCCCCCCCAGTGTGTGTGTGTGTGTCTGGTGCGGCGGTCCGATGGTGACGGGATATTTGGTGGTCAAAGGAGCAGCAGTAAACCAGTGGAGTTAAATCACCACAATAAAAGTCCCAGTTATTTTTCGCTGCTGTGAAAAACACATTTTCCCTAAAACCTCCATTATTATTTACGACTCCTCCTCCTCCATTCTGTGTTGATAGAGCTGTTTTTCATTGAAAGATAGCAGCTAATAAAGCTAAAGACGAGTCAATGCAATACACGTTTTCTCTCTTTTCACAGTTAAAGCTACTTTTCCTTTTTTAAATTGAACGATAGCAGTAAACTAATCGCAGCTAAACGCCTTTTAAACAAACATTTTTTCCAGAAACCCCCTGTTGTTTTGTCATATTTAATATCGTTTATCGACGTTCATTTCTTCTCTCTCATTCTCATATTCTGGCCCTTAGAAGTAAATCTATAAATAACACGATTAGACGAGTCTTTGATGTTCCCTCCGTCCCGCAGACGTCTTGGCGGCGTGACCCTTCTCCCTCCGTGACCCTTCGGTCGCTCTCGCTCATTACCGCTCAGCGCGCCGCCGCCAGCCGGGGGGGTGGGTGGGGGGGGCGCATCTCATTAGGCGCGCTTCATTTGATGTGCCTGATGTTCACAGCCACCGGAGAACCATGTGTCTTCTTCCACATCAAACACAAACCGGGACGCTCAGTCGGAAGTCGTTGTCAAAGGGATGATCCCTAAAATTCTTCCTCTTTTTTTTTCTTTTTATTGTTTTTGTTGTGCGCACTCGTAGTATCAGTGTTCACGTTTACTGTTTACCTCGGACACAACGTAATTATAAACTGACTCAGTAAGAAGCGAGCAGGCACCCGGAACAAGATCAAGTGCAAACAGTTGATCGTTTTCTCCAACACAAACCTCAACATACTTTATACATCTTGCCACAATTGTAAAATGACTAATGCTACAAGAAGACTCTTCCCTTATGTCCTTATTCCCTTATGTTAAATATCAGCATATATACTGATTTATTTATTCTTTAAATAAATGCAGATGTTGCACACAGATTTTTTTTTTTAATTCCCCCCAAAAAATTGTAAAATGACTAAAACTACAAGAAGACTCTTCCCTTATGTCCTTATTCGCTTATGTTAAATATCAGCATATGTACTGATTTATTTATTCTTATTTATTCTTATTTATTCTTTAAATAAATGCAGATGTTGCACACAGATTTTTTTTTTTAATTCCCCCCAAAAAATTGTAAAATGACTAAAACTACAAGAAGACTCTTCCCTTATGTCCTTATTCGCTTATGTTAAATATCAGTATATGTACTGATTTATTTATTCTTATTTATTTATTTGTTCTTTAAATAAATGCAGATGTTGCACACAGATTTTTTTTTTTTAATTTCCAGAAAAAAAATTGTAAAATGACTAAAACTACAAGAAGACTCTTCCCTTATGTCCTTATTCGCTTATGTTAAATATCAGCATATATACTGATTTATTTATTCTTATTTATTTATTTGTTCTTTAAATAAATGCAGATGTTGCACACAGAATTTTTTTTTTTAATTCCCCCCCAAAAATTGTAAAATGACTAATGCTACAAGAAGACTCTTCCCTTATGTCCTTATTCGCTTATGTTAAATATCAGCATATATACTGATTTATTTATTCTTATTTATTTATTTGTTCTTTAAATAAATGCAGATGTTGCACACAGAATTATTTTTTTTAATTTCCAGAAAAAAAATTGTAAAATGACTAAAACTACAAGAAGACTCTTCCCTTATGTCCTTGTTCGCTTATGTTAAATATCAGCATATATACTGATTTATTTATTCTTATTTATTTATTTGTTCTTTAAATAAATGCAGATGTTGCACACGGATTTTTTTTTTTTAATTCCCCCCCAAAAATTGTAAAATGACTAATGCTACAAGAAGACTCTTCCCTTATGTCCTTATTCCCTTATGTTAAATATCAGCATATATACTGATTTATTTATTCTTATTTATTTATTTGTTCTTTAAATGAATGCAGATGTTGCACACAGAATTTTTTTTTTTAATTTCCAGAAAAAAAAATCCCTTACAGGGTATCCGTCCCTACGAAACATGGAGAGAAGAGTGAAAGGCTCCAGAGCGGCTTTACTTCAGTTTTGTACGGATCCGTAGCCGTTTAACCCTTTTGCATCGTCTCGTCCTGTTGGATCCGAGGAGCGGTACGTGCATCAGAGCGCCGGCTCCCCGTTTACTCCTCTGACCCTGCGTGAACGGCACAAGATGGCTGCTTGACTTATCACAGTCAATGAACAGCAGATTGAATTCCTATTTTCCTTGAAATCGGCAAAGAAAGGGGGCCATTTATTATTCAACCTCGGCGCAGTTTGTCGGAGACAAATGTTGAGGACATCAGCGCGTTGAGCGATCGGACGGCTCCTTTCCGTTAGCGGCTAGCTTCAATCGCGTGCATCGTTTTTTGCACACATCTGCGTAAGATGTCCCAAGACTCTGATGTTTCCAGAGGTGTGCATTAGGATATTTGTTGGTGATGAGTGAAGAGGGGTGTCTTTAGTTTGCTGTGACAGACTAGAAGGAGATTGGAGAGGCAGCGCTAGAGAAATTCATTTAAAGTGTTTCCCTGAAGGGAGCGCCGACGCGGTCTGTAATTAAAGCTTTTGAGCTCAACATTTATCCCCTCTTATAATTACTTCAAACTCCTGTGTTTATGGTTGAAGAGTTGTGTGTGTGTGTGTTTGCATGTGTGTAAATACACAGTACAAATCATTACTATGGACGGGAACACACTAATGCTGATGAGGTAGAATGGAAATCAATGGGTCAATTCCCCAAACCAACACCTGGCCACAAAGAACACTATTCACTTTTAAACTCCATTTCATTTATTCACAGAAATCTTGTTAATTGGTTATTCAATTCACTTCATTTTATTTTATTTTGTAGAGCCCAAAATCGCAAAATTACCTCAGAGGGCTTTACAGTGTGTACACATGTGACATCCTCTGTCCCGAAACCCTCACATCGGCACAGGAACAACTCCCCAAACAATGAGAACCCTTTCATCGGGAGAAAGGGAAGAAACCTTAGTGAGAACGTCAGAGGAGGATCCGTCTCCCGATGGATCGACTACGATGACGTCGTGTGTACAGAATGAACAATGTAGAAGATGAACAACACATACGACAGAAATGATTCAGATATTGCGAGTAGTAAGCAGGTGTACGGCAGGAGCCACCACCATCACATAGAACCACAGAACACAGAACATAGAACCACCATCACATAGAACCACAGTCACATAGAACCACCATCACATAGAACCACCATCAGATAGAACCACCAGCACATAGAACCACCATCAGATAGAACCACCATCAGATAGAACCACCATCAGATAGAACCACCATCAGATAGAACCACCATCAGATAGATTCACCATCAGATAGAACCACCATCAGATAGAACCACCATCAGATAGATCCACCATCAGATAGAACCACCATCACATAGAACCACCATCAGAGAGAACCACCAGCACACAGAACCACCAGCACACAGAACCACCATCAGATAGAACTACCATCAGATAGAACCACCATCAGATAAAACCACCAGCACATAGAACCACCATCAGATAGATTCACCATCAGATAGAACCACCATCATATAGAACCACCATCAGATAGAACCACCATCACATACAACCACCATCAGATAGAACCACCAGCACACAGAACCACCAGCACACAGAACCACCATCAGATAGAACCACCAGCACACAGAACCACCAGCACACAGAACCACCATCAGATAGAACCACCAGCACACAGAACCACCATCAGATAGAACCACCATCAGATAAAACCACCAGCACATAGAACCACCATCAGATAAAACCACCAGCACATAGAACCACCATCAGATAGAACCACCATCACATAGAACCACCATCACATAGATCCACCATCAGATGGAACCACCAGCACACAGAACCACCAGCACATAGAACCACCATCAGATAGAACCACCAGCACATAGAACCACCATCAGATAGAACCACCATCACATAGAACCACCATCAGATAAAACCACCATCACATAGAACCAGCACACAGAACCACCAGCACATAGAACCACCATGAGATAGAACCACCATCACATAGAACCACCATGAGATAGAACCACCAGCACACAGAACCACCAGCACATAGAACCATCCACAGAGGCTGTGGGGAGGGAAAGCACAAAGACAACAGGACTCAACTGACCCGTAACTTGAGTTAGGGTTTGTGATGTGACAAAAGTATTTTAATGAAGTTAAGTCAAGTTAAAGGTCTTAAGTCAACTTGAATGACTCTCTGTTGACTTGGCTGTAACTTGACTTAGTCGTCACATTGTCTCATCTCGTTTGAGACAGGACATTAACTGGCACAAACATCGTTACGATAAGTCACAATAACTGTGTGATACACGGTTTGTAACAAATGGAACACAGTAAAAATGGATGCAGCTACGGGGAACAATTGATGTGTTTGTTGGAGGATCTTCAAAGTACAACGAAAGCCAGTCAGCTACAGGTGACTTTCTATCCAGACACCAGTACATATTTAAATAAAACTACATGATATCTATAGCAGCACATGTGGAAACGCTGCTGCTTAAAGCCACTGGTTTATCATCACAACTATTTCTAAGTTCTATTTCAAACTAAGTTTGTTTTTCAAGTGAAGCGATCAAACTCATGCAAGTAATACATGGTGAAATCTGCGCTCACTCCTCGTCATATGTGAAGATAATTAGTCACGCACGCTTGTGAGGGTTCATACTCAGGCTTTGATAAGCTCAGCCCGGTTTGGTTGGTTTCCAGTGTGAAAACAGCTCGTTTCAGTTCCGCTCGGTTCCGTGTCAACGGCCTGTAACGAGAGGAAGTCTTTGCAAGCTTCAGCATCTCACATCCGGCATTCTGACTCATTCGCTTTTTTTTCATTTCCAAAGAACTAATTTCATCTCATATTATATTTTAACTCATACATTCCTTCCCTTCGTTTCAGAATAAATTGCTCCCCTCCGCCGCTTAACAGAACTCCAGTCAGCGTCACACCACAGACAATACAAACGCATTGAAAATCCATTCACTTCTGGTATGCGTGAGTGCACACACACACACACAGGCGCAAACACAAATACACACATGCGAATCCCCCTGGTCTCTTGTCAGTTTCAGGGTGCACACACATCTATTGAAGCATATATAAGCCCCTGAAATATTGATAGAGTGCGAAGGGGAAAGAATGAGGACAGTTGGAGACATGGAGGGAGAAAGATTGTGTGTGTAGAAATATATATATGTATATCAGATGTATATATGTATATTCTAACTTCCATTTATCGGTTGCAAAAAGACAACATGGCATCGGCCGTGTTCCAACTGTGCAACAAAGAGCATTTCCATTAAGTATGAATTAAGTAAGAGGGATAATAAGCAATATTATTAGAAAAGTCAATGAACCATCTGAGTGCATTTAACCAGATGGGAAGAGCCCTTTTCTCCTCTTCTATCCCATTATTGTTCTGAAATACTTCATCCATTAGGGGAAATTGAATTAGTGCCTAAATCTTTTACACGTTTACTGTGTTTCCGTCCACAACGTGAGCCTCGCGTTTGCTTATCGTGGTCATCTAATCAGCCTAATGCTGCATCACGGCTTTTTTCTTTATGAGCCTCCTGCAGGCCGCAAGCCGAAGCAGCCCTTTTTTTTTCCATTTATTGAGCGTCGAGCCTCTTGCGTGTCTAAAGGAAAAGTCCCACCTGGAGAGAAGAGCAGCTGAAGTCTCTCCTCAATCGAAAAAGACATTAACTGTTTATAGTTTATGCACATCGCTTTGGCAAATTTGGCTTGAACGCAAGCGCGGCTCGGCTGGCTCGAGGGCTGACGCTGAGAAGTCATGTGTGAGAGACGGCGAGAACACCGAGCGGTTGTTTCCGCTCTCTCTGCATTTCCCGTCTCTTCTGATCGTGTTTCTCCGTGGTTGCTTTGGAGCCTCCTCCTCGTCGGTTCGTTGTCCGTTCGAGTCACATTTCCGCGGCGGCGGCGGCGGCGGCGGCCCCCCCTGACGCTTTGGGGCCCCTAGGCCTGTTTCCCGGTTATTCATCCATCATGTAGCAGGAGAGCTAAGGGATCAGACACACTTACACGGATGCGTCATGACTCATGCAGACCCACACTGAGTTGGAGACACACAATATGGAGCTTTTGCGCTTCTGTCCATCCATCCATCTGCACCACCGTATTACGGCCCGGGTCGGTTTTCCGTGCAGCTTTGAGATCAAACAGCAAATCACCCGTTTTCTGTAACAGGCGACAGCGGGGGTTTTTTTTTTTTTGTAGAAACGTTTCCACGGCTTTAGGAGCAGCTCACCTCGTCCCCGCCCAACCTGATGATGCTCAGCGTCACGGCGTCCTCCGCCCACTGCAAACTCACCACCCGTTCATTCCTCCACCCTGTCTGCATCCACCCGCCGGCCCTTCAGAGCCGCCGGGGCCTCCACTCTTCACTTCACTGAAAATGCAATAATCGTCAAAAGAAACGACATGGGAGAGATCACAACAATAAGAAGCCAACACGCTACAACTTCGCTTTTACAAAACCTCCAATTTGTGAATAAAGTCCCGGATCAAATATAGAACTTGTGCTGAGTGACATTCACCTGTTTTATAAGTAACATGGACGATGGACTGAAGCTCATTTGAGGTAATTGTCGTGTAACTACCAGCTGTTATGATGCACAGGTCATAATTCTATAACACGATTACTTCACCGAATGCAATTTGTTTTGAACTTGATTCGGCGCCGGCGCTTCACGCTCGCCGGCTTCCCGTTTGTCCCTCTGAACCGGGCGGCGAAACACTTGTGCGTGACGTTTGCTTGTGGTCCCCCCTGCAGGTCCACGTGGGCACCTCCCACCAGGAGCAGAGGGTCGTGGGATACCTCACCTGTACGCACCTCCACGCCATAGAAGGTACAGTCCTGTTCTCACGCTGTCTCACACACACACACACACACACACACACACACACACGCGGACATGTGGATTCGACTTCCAGTTGTGCGCCCGGACAACGCGTGTGCGCTCCACCCAAAAAAGGAGATCTCTGCGCGTCTCCTCCGGGCTGTCCCGTGCAACCTGCTCGAGCCGCGGCCGGCGTCACGGCCCTATTTAAGCCTCCGCTCGATGCCTCCCTCATTCAGACCAAAGACACCCCCCCCACCTCCCCCCCCCTTTGGCCTGCTATTCTGGGCTCCTTCTACGCCTCTCCAGACTAAACACGGCAGCAGCAGACGTAGAGCCTCGGGGGGGGGGGGGGGGGTTCGGTATCGGGGGGAAGCAAACAGGGAGCTTAATACCACACTGAGTGATTCGCTCTCTGAGAGCATCCACATTCCATCCGATTAGAACACGTACATTTAGCAACGTATCCCACACATAGGCGGATATACAGCGATCACGCCCCCGTAGCCCCCCCCCCGCCCCCCCCCCCCCCGGCTCCATCCACACAAAAAAGGAAAAAAAGATGCCTTTCATTTCACGTGTACTCAGCGTAATCAGAGCCAAAGCCACCTACTCGCCGCCGGCAAGTATCTCTTATTCCTCGTTCCCCCCCCCCCCCCCTCACACCCCCCCGGCTCTCCCATTTATCAGATTTCCTGGCAGCGCCGGGACCCGAGAGGAGGGCGGCCGAGGCGAAAATAGCAAAACAGCTACTCTGTCCACAATGTTCCCGCAAAAAGGGGGGGCGGGGGGGCCGGTGGCGTGTGTGGGTAGGAACCGTGACGGGCAGCGTATGGGGGGGAAACGTTGGCAGCAAGGGGGCCCGGGGCGTCTTCATTTCCCCGGGGCTTTTCACTCCCTCACCCTTTCATTCAGGAGCCCCGGGGGAACCTTTTTGAATTCATGCATGTGTTTCCTCCCCCCCCCCCCCCCTCCCCCCTCCTCCCCCCCTCTGCCACACACACACACACACACACACACACTGTCTACCAGGGGATGCCTCCGTGCGCTGCGAACAGCTGGACCTGTTGCTCCAGTGGGGGGCCCAGTTCCGCCAATCCTCGTCCCGCCCGGCCGAAGGAGAGAAGGTGCCGGAAGACCTGGTGGCCTTTGACGTCGTCCTGGGGGACCTCAACTTCGATAACTGCTCTTCAGGTTGGAATAATACCCCAGAGCTCCTCCTGTCGCCCACGCCGACATGATGGGGGGTTCATCTCTCAGCATCTACGCTTGTAAAAGCAGGTGTTTTACTGAAGAAACTAATACAATATGAACATCTTGTATCTACATTGAAGGGTAACGTTTTGCACCACTGACTTCCGTATTCTTTGTGACCAATTGTCAAAACGGTGTCCGTTATTGAAGGAGGAGTCAGTGACGGACTCGTTTGGGACAATTCGCCATCGTCAATGTGCGGCCTGTTTAAGGATGATTAATATTGGCAGCGCTGTTTGATTTTCAACGTCACGAATCACTGTTCAGCAAATTTCCCCTTTAAGGACACATTGTCTTATGCATAATTAGCACGTTATTGTCGGACGCAATTCAGGGGGCAGTGACAGCAGAGGAAGACGACTGGTTTCTATTATGTGCAAGTGTGAATGTGAGTAAAAGCGTGTGTGTGTGTGTGTGTGTGTGTGTGTGTCCTTGTGTCTTTTTCAGAGGACAAGCTGGAGCAGCAGCACGCACTTTTTACTCAATACAAGGACCCATGTCGCCTGGGGCCGGGGGAGGACAAGCCATGGGCCCTGGGTAACACACACACACACACACACACACACACACACACACACACACACGCTAGCTGGTCCTCTACAGGGACACCATCACGGATACAGATGTGTACATCAACACTACGCACTGACCCACCAGAGGTGATGTCAGCAGACGCAGCGATGGGCAGAGGACGCTCCACCGATCCACGACTCTAATCCGCCGACGCCTGAGGCGGTGGGAGGGGCGGGTTTGGGGGCTGGCTTTTAAGCCTTTTTATTTAGACGCGCCGTTATTCCGGGGGGGGGGAGAACATAAGGCAGAGACAAAATGAAAAGGGCTCTTTCCAAAAGGGCGTATTTATTTAGCACGTGCGGGGGACACAGGTGAGGAGAGGCGGTTTTGCGCCCTCTAAATCTCAGTAAGTGGACAGTAAAGGAATCGGACGACACAAAAGGAATTTCGTTAATACGGACCCTTTTTTCGCACCCGCACCTCACACGACTAAAATCTGAACACCGCGTGTTTTCTCCAGTCTGGTGAAGAACTATTTTCCCACGGCGCCGCTGGATCCCTCAGGGAGGCGTGTTCGGGGACTCGCTGCGAAAACCTCCGTTGAACCAATAAAATACCAGTTTGTGTTCTATTAGAAGAGTGAAAAAGAAACAGAAATCGCCTCCACTCGTAACGGACGCCGCTGCTCTAGCGGATTCATGTTTGATCAAACGCCTCCGAAACAAACCAGGCGCCAACAAGTACAACAGCGGGGGCCCTCGAGCTGCTTCTCCCGGCATATATTTGACCCGCTGGGTATCTGCCACATCACACAAATAGCACCGCATCCACACCGTCAGAACATGGCGTTACATTTGTGCCACAAAACCAACCAATCAGAGAGTTAAAGAAGGTCCATTGCGATTGGCTGTTGGTCTCCAATCACAACGCTTCCTAAAGAGGACGAAAAGAAGTCCGGCTAGTCACCATCAGACATGACCGAAGCAAATGATGAGAACAGCGCGCGTTTTCATCCAGGCCGTTAGCATTTAGCACAAATGCTGCAAACTTCCGCGATGCTGCAGGATGTTCTACCAGCGTTGTGACTAAAATATCGTTCTCTGTGCTCAAAAACTTAAAATGACGCGCTCAGGATCGTGGCACAAATATAACGCCATATCAGAACAGCCCTTTCGTCCTCAGGGCGTCCTCCACCGGACTCGAGGAATTCCTTTTTTTAATTCAGTCACGGGGCAGAAGCGCTCGCGCTGCTCACGCCGTGTTAGAATGAAGACCCGAGGCGAGAGTCCGCGGTGACGCGTCTTCATGTCATTCCACACAGGGACTCTGCTGGACCCCGGCGGCCTCTACGACGACGAGGTCAGCTCGCCGGAAAGTTTACAAAAGTAAGTGTCGCACGCGCTCCGTGCTTTTCTCCACTCAAGATGACTTCCCCAAAAAAAAAACGCAAACCCCTTTCTGCGCCAGAGCAACCTGCGTCGTTGTCGAGAGTCCGTGTGACAGTATGAAGTCCACTAAATGGACACTAAAGACACTGATGTTTGCACTTTTATGTCTTGCATACTTATATTAAATATTAATTAATTAATTATAATAATATATCATTATATTAATTATATTAAATGTGGAAATATGTGTTTTTGCCGCTGTTTCCAACTTGGGGGTGAATTGATTTATATTTTAAAAATAAAAACGCATGTTTTATATAGTTTATATATCATATTGCAACCCATTCCAAACAAAGAAGGAACGACCCAACATTAGAATCTATATGTTCAATTCATTTTGAAGCTATTTCATAACCTCTACTTATCTGGTTAAAGCAGGCGCTTGATTTGGAGACGCGTGGAACAAATTTGTTTTTGGCTGCTTGTTCTGACGGAAGCGTTTCGTCTGAAGCGGTTCAGGTTCCCGTCAGAAGAATTAAAGTCCCACCAAAGTGACACGTTCTCACACCTTGAGCCGTGTAGTTTCTCCTGCGTGGTTCCCTCCCTCCTCGCCTTCCTCTTCCCGCGTTTGCTCAACGTCATTCTTCCGATCCGTCCCCGCCGTCCCCCGTCCCCCCCCTGTGTGTCTCCCTCAGAGTGATGGAGAACGAGGACGCGAGAAAAGAGTACCTGGTGTTTCCTCCCAGTAAGAGCCAGTGTCCCGGCAGCAGTCAGAAGGGGAGGAAGATCCCACTGAAGGGAAACGGCCGGCGGATCGACTACATGCTGTACAGCGACGAGGGCCTGCAGCCGGACTGGAAGCTGGTACGGGGGGGGGGGGGGTCTTTAGTGCAGGGCAGAGAAACGAGGGCGACGCCATCATGGCTGCCCGTCTGTGTTCACATCCGTCTCAAACCACAGCTGTCCGATGCCCCCTGGTGTCTGGATTTAGTAGTAGTAGCTCGTAGTAGTAATATTGTGCAGCGTCCAGCAGGGGGGCAAAACACAAAGAGGTCAAAGAGCACAAGCGGCATTGTTTTGAATCCCAACTTTCCCTCAAAGTCCCCTCGATTGCGGCGCCTGATGATCGTTCTTCTCCACCTGCAGGAAATCGAGGAGTTCAGCTTCGTCACCCAGCTGGCCGGCCTCACCGACCACCTGTCTGTGGCCATGCGTCTGGCTGTTTCCACAGGGGAAGAGGAGCCTTAGATTGACAACGTGAACCTCTGAAAGTAAATACTGCCACGGAGGAGTCAGGCGACCCGCGAGAGGAGAGGACAAGTTTACAGATGTGCTTGAAAGGGAGAGCGAGAGAGAGAGCAAATTCTGCAAGAAGGTTGAAGGGGAGAGCGAAATGGGTGATGTGAAAGAGGAAGACTCTGGAGGGGAGAGATGAGCAGGGGCATTCGGTTCAGACAGCCCGAAAGATATTCATCTTCCTGGGTAATCCATCCACACAAACACACACACCCCCAGTGATACCATTTCTAACACACAAACACAATCGATAAACACTTTGACGGCTGAATATTCCCCCGACTCTCCGCTCTTCTCCTCCGACACTCCATGTTGAACTCAATCCAAGGTGGGGGGGGTTTATTTACATTCATTTCTTTTTATGTAGCCTATTTAAACGTATTCCTTTTATTTCAGCCCAAATGTAAGAATGGTTCTTTTTCTTTGTTATTATTCTACTTTCAGGGACCGTTGTGTAAAAGGCAAACGCCATCATTTAAGCGAAGAGTCGGGCGTTCGGCTACTGACCTGTTTTTGTGCTCCTTGCTCAATGGCTGTTGGTCAGTGACCTTACTGCTCCCACGCCGGTCCCAGGAACCTCAACAAGTGTCTTCTTTTCTAAAAAAAAAAAACTAAACAAAACTAGTCTTTCTAAAAAGGAGAAAAACCACACGTTACAGTTTCTATTGTCGCCACACCACTTTTTATAGGAAGTTTAAATGCCTGTTTAATACTCTATGATATGTTTATAAAAAAAAAAAAAGGTTATTGTATAAGGGAACATGAAATTGGAGAAGAAGTTGCTTGTTCAATGCATCGCGACGTTTTTAGCATGCGTTTTAGCCATGACGGGAGGAAACGAGACATTGGTTTTGCGTGATAGTAGAGGAGGCTTTGCGGATGCATGACGGGAAACGTGATCAGTTTACAACAATAACATAGCGTCTTGATATACTTGCCTGCGGACGAGTGAAGAGGTACACACTTACCGTATCCCGGTGTGACATTTGTGCATGCGAGACTCACAAACGTGCGCGCGTAACAATTCTGAACACCCTACAGCGAAACAGGGGCGAGCCTCAGCCGATGTTACGCGCCCCCCTAGTGGCCATTTTCGAGGTCCCCAAACGACATCTTTGAGGTTGTCAGCTCGTTAACGAACCAATGTAGCCATATTGTGACGCAACTGCAAAACCTCATGACACAGAAAGATTTGGACAACATTATGCCAAGTTTGCGCAAAAACATTTTCACAATATACAAAGTAAAGAGATGCAAGGAGAAGAGATACGAGGGTTTCGTGGGACAACATTTGAGAACAACTAGATATGTATAGATGAAAACACAATAAGTCTGATATTCCTAATTAAGGGAAGATTCAAGCTCGCTGTGAAAAAAATCCCGTCATACTGTTTTACCCGGAAAGCTGTCGAGGATTACGGAAAGTGAATTTACTAAAGCAGCCGTTTTCCGTCAAGGAAGTCTTGTGTGTATTGTTTAGTATATCTTAGTCTGATTATTTATTACTTCAACAAATCCTGAAATTTTCCATGTCACATTTTTTCCGCATGTCAGAGAATAATTAAACAAAGTACTTACCGTTGTTACTTTTGAAATTACACCAAAGTCATTCCACTCGTATAGAAAATAAATGGTATTTATGGACGCACTGCATCTGTATTATTAGTATGTCATCCAGAACAGCCCACTAATAGACAAAGTACAAGTTATTGAATGCAGACATAGCATGAAGTAGGACAATGCAACACACCTTTCAGTGTGTTCGGATTGTAAGCAAAACAAACTTAAAGGCGTAAACAGAATAAAACTACGGTTGAAGTTTTGGAAAAGTTGTCTTTTCAGGCTACGTATGTTGCCCGCTAACGCAACTACCGCTAACGTCTGATCCGCTATAATTCAAACTAAACTAATTGCATTAAGTCTAAACACACCTTCAGATTTCTGTCTCCCCCACTTGTCTATTGACTACTTTATCAACTCACTGCTTCTGCTGCTGATTGGCAACAATGTGCTTTACACCAATGCTAATGTAGCGTAGCAATCACGTTGGAATTCAACTCCCAATCGGTAACAGACATGGTGTTACCATTTAATCAATCAGCAGTCATCTAACGTAAGTAATCTGCATTAAAAGAAAAACTGCAGCAAGAATATTTCATGAAAAATCCCTTTTTTGTCATAATAAAGTTATGAAACGTTACCAAACTGCAGCTTTAATGTAAGCTTGCTAACGTTAGTCACAACAAGCTACTGATCATACCAGACCAAAGAAGGCTGCAAAAACCTTGAACTTAATTGAATTTGATTTGTTTTTATCAAAGCCAATTTCTGCTTATAATTTGCCATAGGAGGGGTGTTTTATTTCTTAATTAAAAATGTTTAGAAGATTAATTTGTGTTAGCGCTGATGGTGACCTCCGTGTCGCTCAACACCATGCATGCTAACGTGCTAGCATGGATCTCCAGAATGAGAAGGTGAGACGGGTCCCTGAAAACACATGGACCATGTTTGAGGAACATCAGGCAACGTGGGACACCTGCAGACTCGCGCTGTACATAATTCTTTTGGAGATGTATGTGGAAAATCACTCATGTAAAAAAGCCGTATTTCCCCTGAATAAAACATGCATTACAGTAACACTTTAGGTTTCCAAACACTGATTGATTTCCATGGTCTGCACGGTTTACGTTTACATCAGCAATCCAGAGGAGCTTCAATGCATGTGTGTGTCTGTGTGTGTTCAGGCAGCTCATTTATGTTATATCAATTTTCTCAATAAAAAATGTTTGAATCTGTGTTTTTCTGAACACACTGTGTTGAATGGTAGCGTAGGATGGAGAGTAGTGTGAGGTTACAGATGTGTGTGTGTGTGTGTGTGTGTGGGTGGAAACGCACTGGTTGTTCTGTTGTTACTGTCCAACTGTCATATTTCACATTTCGGTGTGAGTCAACACATCACCTGGATGCTCTGACACGTCTTTATGACTCATTACAGCGCTCTGATTGGTTGAGAGTGAGTCACACGGGGGGTGCATTATTGGGCGATAACGTACGGTTGCCGTTCCCATTGACCCGAGCGTTCCAGATCACTGCACACTCCAAGTAACAGGTTAGATTTTTTTGCGTGACTGTTGACATTTTAGCTTTTAGCTCTGTGGCGATCTCCGAAAAAAAAAAGAAAAAAAAACGCACACAAATGATCAGTTTCGGGGCAATGCGAGCTTTTGCGAGCGGACAATTGAGGTGGACGTCATGAGCGATGAGGATGAATGAGATGGTGCGAGACCCATGCGGTTTTGTAGTTTTGTATTTGTGTTTTTCTTCAGCTCAAACCTCTGGAGTTTACGATAAGATCAAATCCTCGTTATCTACCGAAATAATCCTGTAAATACGCTAAAGGTACTATAGTGAGGGACAAAAAGGTGCTGTCCCAAGGTCCCTGAGAAGAAGTCTTGAAGGCCTTTACACACCCGGCGCGTTTCACACGTCAATATATTTATATTTGTGTTTTTTGTCCTGAGCAGTTTCGCACAAAATTCCTTACTACCTTTCACAATAAAAGCCATGTCTGTATAAGATTCATAGCTGAGCAAGCCGCGTTTTCGTATTTATTCATTGAAATCAATATGTCTTTTTTGGTTAAGTAATAAAAAATGTTACCCGCTGATGAGAGAACTGAAATGAAGAATAACGCCCGTGACACAGAAAACGTTGTTAGATTGACTCTAATACCTGAAGTCAGAAATCACTGTTAGCTTGAGACCGTCTGACAGAAACCCCCGGGCCACTTTCATTTTCCCTCATAGTTAAAACAGCACACAAAACAACATTGAGTTCAAATGAAAGGACACACACACTTAAAGGACACGCCTATTAAAAGTGAAAGGGGGTTTTAAAAATAGTCCTTCTGCTTTTCGTGAACATGTTTTCCACCGAAAATGTACATAGAGGGAAAAAAAAAACCCCTTACACCGAAACCTAAGCGAGATCAGCCATATGTGACGGATACAAGGCGATGAGACGCAACACACGTGGACCTCATTTCCTCATCATTCTCAGCCGCGAGGTATTTATTCATTCTTTATTAGAGAGACATTCTACTCAAACAATGGAACAGATATGAGGGATTTTGCATGTGAGTCCTGCTCATCGCTCCGTCACAGTACAGATACGGTCACTTGTTGCAGATGGTGTCGACCACCAGACAGCAGGCCTCATAACCGTAGGCCACAAACCGGTGGGGGGGACGTCCCGGTGACCACGTCCACGTCCCTAAATAAAGAAAGAATCAAGAGTTTGTTTGATGAATCAAGTGTCACGTTACTCTGAAGGAAAATGCCCCTTTATCAACCCTTTCATCGTTTGTTTCGCACCTCTTACACCGTAACAACGCATCTCAAATCCCACAGATGTTTTGCCTTGTTTTAATGGTTTTATCCGCAGCACTTTAAATTGCCTTCTCGTTGAAATACGAATAAACTTGCCTTGTCTTTGGACGTGAAACTTACGCGAAACTAATCACATCCAGCTGCAGGAGGTGTCTCCATAAATCACTTTTAAGTAAAGTATAATGAATATTTATAATTATTATGAGTCAGACATACAGATTTACAAGTTCTTACACAAAGCTCGCTCAAAGATCATTTAGTTTACTTACTATATACACCAGTTTAGCAGTACAGTGAACATACTTCACAGGTTAACGTCTCTCTCGCTCTATTTATTGGATGCAGGACGTTCACAGGCCTGAAGAAATGCTGTAAAACAATAAAAGGTGTTTTGACGCATTGATACGTGAATAATTCAAATAAATATTTCAACAGTTGTCTGAGGAAAATAACACCGGTTTTGTGGTAGGCACGTGAATTAAACGCATCCATGTGTCAGGTGATTAAATATGGGCAAAGGCCAACACGTCAACCGCTAGGCTAACTTCTTTTCCCCCGAAACCGTATACTTTCTTTTTGCAACATAATGTCCTTGGACACCATTGTGACTCTCCCACCAACCGCCCTGAGACCCACTTATGTGACCACAGAATCGGAAATGCTTCCAAAATCGATGTTTACATCATCAGGAGAGCTGGTTAGCTGTTAGCTGTTAGCTGTTAGCGGCCAATGGCCAAAAATAACAAAAGCTGCTGCTTGTGGTGGTTGCGCTAATATTACGTTGTGGTGGGCGACTGTGGGTGAGTGGGGGAGCGCGGTCGTCCTCCAAATCAGAGGGTTGTCGGTTCGATCCCAGGCTCTGCTAACGCGCATGTCGATGTGTCCTTGGGCAAGACACTTAACCCAACGTTGCTCCCGTAGCTGCGACTGCAGTGTGTGAATGGTAGTGACTGACGGGCAGGTGTGGTTCTCCTGTCATCAGTATATGAATGGGTGTGAATGGGTGAATTATGTCATGTAGTGTTAAAGCGCTTTGATACCCCTTTTCCACCAACAAGAACCAGGTGCCGGTTCGGAGCCGGAACTAGAGCCGGTTCGGAGTTGGTTCAACTGACGAGCCTCCAAAGAACCGGTTAGCTTTTCCACCGGCTAAAGAGCCAGCGCACTGAGCGCAGAGTCCTACGTCACGGTTACGTCTCATCTTTCCCAGCAACGTTAGCGCGGCGGCGCCAAACACAAACACATCATCAACAATGGCGGACGTTGCTTTGCTATCGATGTTCATGGCTTTGCGGACCTACACATCGACGTCCAAACACGGCGGATCAAACGTGTTCGTGCGGCTCGCCTTTTTGCCTGGTAGCATCCATTGTGTTGTTGTTAGCTCGATTAGCTGCTAGCGAAAAAATGGCGGATCAGAAAGTTTGTTTCTTACTTCCAGACCAGCAATGATATGGTGCTACTTAAGAACCACTTTTACTGGTTGGGAGCTGGTGCTTCTTTGGTGGTGGAGAACCAAAGAACCCATTTGAAACTAGGCTCTGGCTCCGAACTAGCACCAGTTCTGCCTTGGTGGAAAAGGGGCATGAGTGGTCGGAAGACTAGAAAGCAGGTGTGGTTCTCCTGTCATCAGTATATGAATGGGTGTGAATGGGTGAATGATGTCATGTAGTGTTAAAGCGCTTTGATACCCCTTTTCCACCAACAAGAACCAGATGCCGGTTCGGAGCCGGAACTAGAGCCGGTTCGGAGTTGGTTCAACTGACGAGCCTCCAAAGAACCGGTTTGCTTTTCCACCGGCTAAAGAGCCAGCGCACTGAGCGCAGAGCCAAGTCCTACGTCACGGTTACGTCTCATCTTTCCCAGCAACGTTAGCGCGGCGGCGCCAAACACAAACACATCATCAACAATGGCGGACGTTGCTTTGCTATCGATGTCCATGGCTTTGCGGACCTACACATCGACATCCAAACACGGCGGATCAAACGTGTTCGTGCGGCTCACCTTTTTGCCTGGTAGCATCCATTGTGTTGTTGTTAGCTCGATTAGCTGCTAGCGAAAAATGGCAGATCAGAAAGTTTATTCCCTTCCCTCTCGCACCGAGACCAGTCGCACCGAGGAGCAGCTCCGCTCATTTTGTCCACTTTCACCTCTGGCAACGGCAATCACTTAACGAAACAAAGATCAGGAGCTCCTGGATACTTACAAAACCAGTGGGATTATATTTTCTTTTAGATAAAACAGGCATTTTTCAATATTTTTACGACTTCCTCAACGCTACGCGGGGAGGCCTACCAAACAAGATAAGCCTGAGCCTGTGCTACAGTGCTAAAGGTAATTAGCAGAAGATGCCTCCCTTCTCTTCGGAAGATTACCACAACCTCGTACAGAAGATTTTACTGCTGGAAACAAAAGTTAATCGGTTAGAGGTAAATGTAGAAGTAAATGGACCATGTGGGAACAACACCACTCTAGCAATGACTCAAAACAATGGACAAGAGCATGCTAGAACCCAGCTAACTAGCAATGATGGAACTATGAAGAAACTGGAGGACTCTGTACAGGGTAATAAATCTACCAGCGACAATCCTCCCTGAACCCCTTTTACTGGTTGGGAGCTGGTGCTTCTTTGGTGGTGGAGAACCAAAGAACCCATTTGAAACTAGGTTCTGGCTCCGAACTAGCACCAGTTCTGCTTTGGTGGAAAAGGGGCATGAGTGGTCGGAAGACTAGAAAAGCGCTATACAAGTACAGTCCATTTACCATTTACCATGATGGGCTCAGGCGCCATTCAGTAAAAAATGTGTTTTTGGGCTCGAGCTTGATTAATCACACACTTGAGGCTGGCGCCTTCGTTGTATATCGATAACGTCGGTTCCACATAGATCTCAAATATCTCTCGCTTGTCGTCGCTGTGACGTATTGGTCACAAACAGTCGCTCGAAAGGGAAACCACGCAGGGAAACAAAAAGCAGTACTTCTGTTTAACACGCCGGCCTTCGTTTAGGGAAGTGAAATTCACTCGACGCCAACACACGCGTGAAACTCCCCCGTTCCCCTCGGAAGATTTAGGACACGTCATAGTGAAGTCCCAGCGTGGCCCGTCGGGGTCCCCCCCCCCCCTCACCGCGGGGGGTATAAAGGAGAGAGCGGACCCAGTCGAAGTTCACAAAGCAAGCTGACAACACTCGCCTCGTGATACACAGTGAAGCAAGATGGCCGCTGCTCGTCTGACTCTGTCCGTGCTGGTGCTGATGCTGGCTGCCGCCTCTCTGACTGAAGGTAGGGGCCTCGATGACCTGTCAATCAATCGCTTGAGTATGAACGGCTGCTTTGGATGTGATTCACCTGGTCACAGCATGATATTCTTTGTAAAGTGGTGATAGTGTGTCATCTTATTCTGGTAGACAGGATTCAGAAATGCAGTTTTACAGCTTATTCTGATGTTAGTTTGTAGCTCATATAAATATAAATATTGTTTATGTATAAATATATATAATTCCTTTTTTTTAGCTCATCACTTTATCGATTGGTGTGTGTGGATTAGGCCTCAATTCATCAAAAGTCATCAAAAGTTCATCTACTTATTAAACTATTTTAATTATCTACTTATCATCTAATGGTAAATACATTTTTTAACATAACATTTGAGAAAACCTGTGATACAAAAACGTAACTTATGTCATCAACTGTGGATATTTCATGATAATATCTATCAGTCATTTGTTTTACCCCAGTCACCTGTACTTTTACAAGACATGATTTTAAATGATTTTTTAAGCCAGTTCAGTCGTACTTACGTCCACCTAATGGCTATACCTTTGTATTCATTGGGAAGAGAATGTGTTGGTAAGGTAATGCCGCATATTTGAGCATTGAGAGTAAACTTGTAATCCAACATATGAAGGGCTCACTGTAAGTGATCGCGGTGCCATATTGAGCTGAGGTGACCTTAAAGTTGAACCAGTGTGTACAGTAAACACCAAATACCAGCTTCTAAGAGGAAATCAAAAAGGGAACACAAAAGCAGCAAGCATGTGACGCCTGTGAGTGTGAGTATGAAGGTTGTTCATTGGTGTGTGTGTGCGTGTGTGTGTGTGTGTGTTCAGGCCTGCGTGGCGCCGGCCCGAAGAGATGCTGCTTCCGTTTCAACGAGAACAAGGTGCCCAGCAACAACGTGGTCGGCTACACCAAGACCAGCCAGCGCTGCTCCAACCCCGCCATCCTGTAAGTACCCGTCCTCAGAGACCCCCCCGTCCCGTCCCGTCCCGTCTCCACGGATGGACCCCCCCGCTGACTTGTCCTGCTTTGTGCACGTGTTCAGGTTACAGACTGTGACGGGGCGGAAACTGTGTGTCAGACCGTCGGCCGCGTGGGTGAAGGAGCTCATCAATGCCAAATTCGTCCAGGGAGAGAGGTCCAACCTGTAACCACGACAACGGCAGATAGTCAAAGTCTGTTTCTTGACGCTTCAATGTCACGGCGTGTTACCATAACGACCGCAGAGCGGGATCAACATGCATAATATTTACTAATACAAACAATGTCGTTGTGTATTCTGAGTCTCACAGTGAGACGCGTTTAATTTAAGTATATGAAACAATATGTGTAGTTTGTGTCTACCGTCATCACTGTGAAATGCTGTTGCTTTGTGATTGGAATTGACTTAACGGAACGTGCACACTGCAAAAGAGCGATACCTCCCAACTTTATCCTGTAGTCATCGGTAGAGAATAAGCTATGGGTCAATGCCACTATTTCTACAGTAAAACCTCAGAGCTTCCTCTTGTTTTTCTACATGTAAACTAAAGTGGTGATGAGGTTTTTTTCTATTTATAGTCATGTTTTGAACTAAAGTTATTGTACAGATAAGTAAAAAAATGTATTTGTGCAACTGATTTGATGGTGCAGAATTAAAGCAAGATGATATGTCACCGCGGGTCTCCTTCCTCCCTCACGCCTCCTGTGTGTTTCCTTTTCATGACATGAACTAGACATGCTGACAGATGCTGCAGGAGCCGCCTGTGCATCTAAACTTTAACGTCAAATTCCATTTTGATATTTTGATCCCGAAAGTAGGGCTGCATTTAAAATAAATAAATAAATAAAGTGTGAAAATGTTTGCATGTGCTTCAATTCAGAATAAATAAAATTGCGGGAAGATAAGCTTGAATTTGCCCTTTTCTGATTCGCATTTGGACTTGACAGTCTCAGCAGATAAATAATACACATGTTAACGATTTGACCAGTTTAATAGAATATATAGAATTAAGATCCAGTGTTTCCTGCCAGGAAGTTAAACCCGGGCTTAATGCAGCAGGTTCTCCTCCTCACGTGGAGCTTATTGCGCTTCATGACGGCAGTTGCCTCGACTTTGCCTTGACAGTTGCTGTTTTATTTGCCAAACATGTGATATTTTTGTTTCATAACAAAAGCCATATGTTATATATCACAAATATGTGACAATACAATACGGCCTTTAAAAGTATGCGTGTTGGTAGTTATTATTTTACTAATAAAAGGCCAATAAGTGAAACAACGGCTTCCCATTTTAGTGCAGCTAAGCTAATACGGACTAACGTCGCCCTGGTTACGATCTCTACTTCGAGAGCTAATCAATGGATATGTGATTACATATGAACAATAACACTGGGTGGGTTCCATCAAGACGCGTCTAAAATTGAATGTCGGTATATAAGAGGAGTTACCAGTATTTTGATTTAAATTTAAGTTGACAAAAGAATCTGCCTGAGCTTGATCGTGTGCATGACTGTTTTTATATCCAGTGATTGCTGGATTAAAGTATTAACCTTATGCTATATTTTATGTTCATGATGGAAGTCATGTTACGTAAAAGGAAAAATGACATTACATTCTTTAAATTATATTTATTTCCTTTTGACTATCTGTTGTGGTTGTGAAGGAGAGAGGACCCGAGCGTAAGGGAAGGTAAAGGTGTGTGTAAATTATTAAATTAATCATTATTATGCGGTTAAAACATTAGCCGCAACTGGTCAAATATTTATTTTATCAGCTGGAACAAATAATGTAGATGGTGTATTACGCCTGCAGATGACGAATCTGTGTATTCTAGACTTGTTGTAATAAAGAGGCAGCACTACTGGGTTGCAAATTTCTGTGGCGATGAATACAAATGCAAAGAGGGTTTTTTGCGTGTGTGTGAGAAACTTTGATCAACCCTTTGCAATTTTGAAATAGTAATTAGTATGGTATAATTTAATAGCTATTTTTACAAAATGAATATCAATTGTGTAGGGCTATAACATATAAATCACATTCAAACACTTAACAAGCGAACAATTAAGAGTCAAACAAACTATTAGATTTAGTTGGAGCTTTATGGAAAAAAAAAAGTTAAATTAGAGAAATACAATTAAAAAACCCTGTATGATAAAAGGTTATATTCACTACATTTCGGCAACATAAGCGGGCAGTGCTGTAGTGTCGCAATAGCAACGACACCAGCAGACTAAAAAACGCAAACAAATTACATTTCACTATAGATTCATAAAGTTAGGAAAAAAATACTGTTTCAAAACACTTTGTATACCTGGGGTGACATTAAAAAGTGCTCAAAAGCCTAATAAATGTGAGCTGCATTTGTTTACTCCTGATAAACAGGTGATGCTCACCTAAAGGTTTACTCCCTCTTGTGGCTAAATGGGTCAATAACTCTTGTCTTCAAAAAGTGTGTCTGATATGTGTGTGTGTATATATATATATATATATATATATATATGTATATATATATATATATATATGAGATCTTATCACTGTTAAAAGTCCAATGTAACTCACCCTGTATTATGCATCAATATTTACAATTTGCATTCCAAGAACAGCGCCACCCAGTGTACAGAACAGGGACGACATTTTAATAAAACTAACTTTTTCAGTTCACTGTTTTCTAGTAGTCCTTCTAGTTTTCTATTGCTACTTTTAACTTTTAAGCTTTTAACTGTTCCCTTTTTTGTTTTGACTGGTTGACTTTATTATTACTTTCAAGGCTAGGAGCTTCTGTGTGGAAAAGAAAAAAAACGTTGGCGGTTAGCGGTTGCTATGTGTGGAATATGTCCAGGAACCAGGGGTCACCAGGGTTACCATGGTGATTGACTCAGAGTCTGTTACCATGGTGATTGACTCAGAGTCTGTTACCATGGTGATTGACTCAGAGCTTCACTCACCTCTCTATCTGGAACGGATAACTCAGACTTTCCCTGATCTCAGGGTTAACTTACTCTGAGTTTTCACATAACCCGCTTTCTGGAATACCCCCCAGCTGTTCTGGAACCGGATACTCAAGAGTTTCCCGTCTCAGACTTTAGGGATAGACTCAGAGTTTGTTGAACCTCCTTTCTGGAATACGCCCCCAATCATCGAAATGGCACAAAAGTATCTTCTCAGTGTAACCAAACTGTTCAAAACACTAGAGGACGATGTCACATCGATATCACATACAAAAAGTGCCATCACAGGGTCCCTGGTGGTCTAGTGGTTAGGATTCGGCGCTCTCACCGCCGCGGCCCGGGTTCGATTCCCGGTCAGGGAACGTAGCTTTTAGTGGAAACTCAGACTTGGTTCACCCTGAGAAGAGAGAAACTCTTGTCTTGTCGGTTTCAGAAAGGGAGGTAACTAAAGCTCAGGGTCCGTCACCATGGCAACTGAGCTTCAATAAAACCTCGAGTTTCGTTCACAGTCTCCTCCCTCTGACAGCAGCCCGGCCAATCACACAGCGCTTGATCCGTTTCAAGTAGGAGGTTTAACAAACTCTGAGTCAAACCCTAAACTCTGAGTTGATTTACCCTGAGATGGGAAACTTGGGTTTGGCTTTGGGTTTCAAAACAGTTTGGAGTTGGTTCAATCAAGTCGGAGTAGCGTAACTCAGAGTTGAGCGCGTGCACCGCCACAGTATGAATGAATGGAGCCACGATACTACAATTCACCATGGAAACCACCACAAACAACCGGGTCGGCATACGTCACCCCTATTCAGCTGCAAATATTAATACAAGCGTACGACGAGTATGAACACGTGATCGGAAAGAAAAAGCAACACGTCTACTGCAAAAGACAGAAAAACTGCGTGGGAGAAAAATTGCTCCTTGGGGTCAACGCGTAAGTTCCAATATACAGTTGTCAGTTAATATTTAATTTAAACTCTGTTAGAATGCACTACACGCAGGGCTTGAAATACACACCCATGCTCATTTAATCACAAGAATAATATCGCTGGTAACAACTGGTACAATAGTATTTAACCTAATAATGTATTTTATTCAGGCGCAATCTCAGTGAGAAACGGTCGTGGAAGCAAATGAAGCATAAAAACGTGGTTCAAACAGGTACGATGTTGCATGTAATACGCTCATGGCTGTACTTCGTGGTCGTCTCGTTTAAAATGTAAGAGTAAATATTCATTGGCAAATTTGAATGTAATGCAGCTTTAACACAATTTTGCATTCATACATTTCCTCTCACCTATCCAGTTTTGTTAACGTAAATGGCTCATTTAAAATAACATGTGACTTCCACTCAGCCAACAGAAAGAAGGCAGAGGACCAGCACCTCCACCTCTGACATGATCTCAGCTCTGTTTGGAGTGAAATAGAAACAGCACATACAGTAACTTCTAGCCTTCTAAAAACAATTCTTATTCCCAATTCTTACGCTTAGGCGTAAATTCAGTCAGGAAGACTGGACAGGCTGTGCCGTTCCCTGGTGGCCTCCTCTCTCCCTGCGGGTGCACGGCCAGCTGATTAGGGGGGCGGGGGGCTGGTAGTACCAGCCAACCAGACGTGGGTGTCGTTACCGTAAACCAATTGCATCGGTGCAGGTGTAGCAGGTTGACTGTTTTCTGCCCATTCGCGGTCTTGTCCCCGTTAATTGGCTACCACATAAGGAGGGATCGTAGATCTGCTCTGCGGAAGCACGGCCTGAGGATCGCTGAGACACGTGGTGTCACACAAACGGCAACTCCTCATGGTCCTCAACAACAGGACCCAGGAGCTCAACCTGATGTTTGGAGTCGAAGTGGAGGACTTTTTTGTTTATGTGGTGTTTGCCACCGCTGACAATATGACATGTTTCAGGTGTGGCAGGAAAGGACATCTCACCAGAACGTGTCCGGGAAAGGACTCTACCGAGGGTGCAGAGGAACGAGGCGTGGAGGATCCTGAGGAGGTCAGGGGGGAACATCAGGGCGGTCAGGGAAGACGGGCGAGGACAGGTGGGGTACAACAGGAGGGAGAGGAGGGACAGGAAGAGACAGGTGGGATCAAGCAGGAGGTCGATGTGGTTGAGAACGGACAGCAGGGGACCGGTGGGGTCCAGCAGGGTGGGGAGGCGAGCGATAGGGGCCAGGAGGGGACAAGCAAAGTCCAACAGGTAGGGCAGATGTGTGGGGAGGGGACAAGTGAAGTCCAACAGGTAGGGCAGATGTGTGGGGAGGGGACAAGTGAAGTCCGACAGGTAGGGCAGATATGTGGGGAGGGGACAAGTGAAGTCCAACAGGTAGGGCAGATGTGTGGGGAGGGGACAAGTGAAGTCCGACAGGTAGGGCAGATATGTGGGGAGGGGACAAGTGAAGTCCAGCAAGGGAGAGTGAGGTGTGTGAGAGGGGGGAAGGTGGGGGGTGTGGTGGAGTCCAGCTGGCCTGCCAGGGGAGTGACAGAGTGACTGAGGGGACGACTGAGGCCCAACAGGTGGGCCAGGTGAGTGTGGGGGTGAAGGAAGAGGCAGGTGGGGTCAGACAGCTTGGTCAAGAGAGTGGAAGAGCGGAAGAAGGTAGGAGTGGGGTTTGGTGAATTTGGGTCCTCTGCTGACTGGGGACTCCACTGACAGCGCCTCTTCTGGTGGGACAGTCACCAGTAGGTAAGGGGGGTGGGGGAGGGGGGGAGTGAAGCTCTTCCTGAAGATAACAAAAAACATGAAGGTGGTGGACCTGGAGGAATACTTCTCTGACTTAGAGTTCTCTCTCACTGCTCGGGAGGGCGTGAGCAGAAAGGGTAGTGGGAGATACAGCCAGCAGGAAGTCTTCCGGATGAGGAAGATCATCCTGAAGACAGAGGCACTTTAAGGAATGAGAAAAGCATCTTAGTGTACTTTCACCATCAAACCGCCAGTGTTTATAACTGGCCACGAATCATAGGTCATTGGCAAGAATTGTTTAATTGGAGCATTTTGCTTTGTTATAATGTAATAAGCCAAATGACTCTGTTCTTGTCCTAAATGCTCCCTTAACGCAAACCCTTAATACATATTTTGTGGGATAAGATTAGATTATACTCTATATGACAGCCTACAATCTAACGCAACTACATCACATGGGCTCACTTGGCCAAATGGATGTCAAGCCGCCTCCAGCACATGAAGGCCACACGCGCACGCGCACAGAGGTCCGGTCGCAAACGTTTTGGACCGTTGGGAGATGGATCCGAGCGGATCAAGCTGCAGACTGTAAACTGGCTCCTTTCACAATAAGAGCGCAAAGCCCACCCTACGTTTGAGACCTCGCTGTGATTTGCTCTGAGGTAGTTTCTTTGAGTGCGCTTCTTGAAATATGTATATTTCTTGTTATCCTAGGAAGCTGGACCAATATATATATACTACCCTGGAGCTGTGAGCAACTTTTAGAAAACAACTATCATTAACCCTATTACAGCTAGAACTTGTATGAGCCATTAAATGCTAGCAAAATAAACATATATTAGCTACTTATTGAGTGTCCTGAACGCAATTACAAATGTAGCTTGATATATGATGCTGCTTAGGTTTTTAGGAATCCCTAACTAAAAGTACACAAATTTGTATTCACATAATTGTTTGAATATGCACTTTTCTTCAAATTATGCAATTGTCGATATATACTTCGTCTTAATGTGAAATTCTGAACCGGACGTTTCGTCCGCTGACACGCCCACAATTGGTTTGCCTCGCAAAGGAAAAGACAGCAGCAGGATCTTTTTTCCTCACTGTGCCACATCCGGTCGCGGCGTCCGTCAGCGGCCATATGTAATTGAACGTCATTCATTCGACCAGAGAAGGCGCTTCGCTTCTCCCACCGACGCCAGAAGAGCGGGCTCCACGGGCCGCTCTCCGCCGCGCCGTTCCCCCGGACGCTAATCCGCGCGTGCCCCGGCGACGGCCCGTCAGAGGCTGGGTCGTGACGTCACGGAACAATGCTCGAGCGACCAGAGACCGCGGTTCCCGGCATCGCCGTAAGTCCGACGTCCGCCCCCCCCCGGACATACGCGATCGCGCCTGTTGTTTTTAAACTAACACCGTGACGCGCTGATCCGTCGGTTCTAACCAGAAAACCCATGTTTGCGACATAGATCGCGTGTAATGACTTATTACATTAATTTATTCATAGGTTTGGGATTTGATTGGCTTATCTGGGCTGCTTTGATGGAGCGTGTGAACCACTACTGGCCCCCATATGTGTGGGCCATTTGCAGTTGGCTGGTCTGGGTCTGGGTGGGTGGACCCAGACGGGCCACATCTAGTGGTCTCGGTCTCTCATCCGCTCACCAGACGCCACACTCCAGGTCCGTGCTGAGCAGATCTGTGATGCAATCCGGGGGTCACACACACACATAAAGTGCCCCCAGACACACAGGGGAGGAATTTGTGCTAAAAATACCAAAAGAAAGGATCCGTTTGAAAACGATGAGTTCTGTCGCGCTGTTTTAATCTTTGGTGCATTATTTATACCCGATGTGTGTTAGCTGGAGCTGGGCGAGGGCCTCCTCATCAGCTGCCTCCCCCTCATGGGGGTGGGATGATGATGATGATGTCAGTGAACCAGGCAGCTACTATCACCACTGGGCTGACTGGGGGAGGGTTAACGGCAGTGGCCTGACTGGCCTTCCCCTCTCTCTCTCTCTCTCACCCGCCGTTACTTCCCCTATTCGAAGTCCCCCGTCGCTTTTCTTTTCCAAGAACCGCATTGGTCGCCGTGCATGCAGCACTGCGAGTGATGATGGGTGACACCGAGACGAAGCGCGTCTTCATTGAGCCGGAAATGTTGTGTATTTTTCTTCATTCAAACGTCCCCCGAGGCTTCGTTCACGCGTGTGCAGCACGTCGATGCACGCTTACAAACGGTTTAGCTCCATCTGATCCGCAGGCTCTACACACTCCTCTGCACCTGCACTGGTTTATTCCCAGTAGCTAAACGACAAACCCCAGCGTGTCCCATGATGGATCCCTCCCCGCGCTGCAGACCGCCACGAGTGGCCGCTTATGTAACGAGTGGCCAGAACTTGTGCGTCGAACACGGGAGCGGTGGAAAAGTGCTCGAGGCTCGCATGCAGCACCGAATATTGATGAGTCCGATGGATCGTTTCCTTTTCTTCTCCCACGCTCGCTGTGCCCCGTAGCGGCCCGGCGGCGTGCAGGTGTGTGGCCCGCAGCGTTCTGCACGTCACATTCATCAGAGTGAGAAATATACAGCGGAGTTCATTTACGTAGTGAGTGCGTTTTTGAAACCGAACGCTTTTAGGTTTTTAACACTCGAGGGTTTGCTGACGCCATCAATAACATCCCATAATGTTATTGGGCAACGGAAAACGCAGCGCTGTACAGGAAGGCGTCTTTCATTGGGGATTCTTTTTTTTTTTCAAGTGACCTGCCTCACGCGATGACGGCGGCCTCGTGGTTTGGTTTTTGGAAAGCGCTAACGTGCGATCCAGGTGGCCAATTTAAACTCTGTAGGTGTGTTTAAGGAGCGACGCTGCAGCTGAAAAGTGTTATATGCTCGAGTCATTTACAGATTTGTGTCGTCTTCTACGGATGGGATGAAGAAATACGTCCAAAAATGACATGAGTCATACCTTGCATATTTAATTCATCACATTTCAGATTATTTTTTCCTCCCTCTATTCATCTGTAGGGAATTTTACTAAACTCATCGGCCGCTTTTCTTTAAATTATTTTCTTTCAGTGAACTTCATCCACCAACTTCCATTTCTACTTTCATTTCCTCTCTACATTCTGACCGAATCGCTTACAGCCTGATTAATCACTTGCGTCTGTTAAAGGTTCGGATGTCGCTCCTTAAAGACGCCCGAGCACACAGCAGCGCCGACACGTAGGCGTCACGTTTCGCCTTTTAGCACGAAGCCAGAGCGGCCCGTCGGCGGCCATTGTGTTTGCCTCCTGTAGCGTGCTGCCCGGTGATGGGGGGAGGAGGGGGGGGGGGGACCAGGATGGACCCGATGGAAGGCGGCGCCGATGGCCTTCATTCACTGACTGACGTCACCCGTCTGCTTTTGCTCAACTTCATTTTCTGATTGGATGGACTTCTGGCCGGCTCCTCTTTCCATCCTCGGCCTGTCATGCCCCCCCCCTCACCTTTCTCCCCCTTAAAGCACCCTTCTCCCCTGTTCTGTTCAACGTCTCGTCTCAACGTCTCAATGATAATGACCGTGCAGCTCGTATCTGCTGCCCGTGTGTAACCATGGCAACAGCGACTCTTTGCGTGTCGCGTGCGTCTGCAAGTTGGTGAGGGTGCTTCAATGCCGTTACTTAATTTTGTCTTAAACATGCAAATGTCTTTGAGTGTGTGTGTGTGTTCTATTCACTTGTGATTGACAGAAAGTGTGTGTGTGTGTGTGTGTGTGTTTATTTACTTTCAGCAGCGGAACCTGGAGGGCTACGTGGGCTTCGCCAATCTCCCCAACCAGGTCTATCGGAAGTCGGTCAAAAGAGGGTTCGAGTTCACGCTGATGGTTGTAGGTGAGTCTGAAAACATCTGCCCTGCGTGTGTGTGTGTGTGTGTGTGTGTGTGTGTGTGTGTGTGTACGGGCCTCTGGCGCACACCTGCCCATCCACTTGGGTGCGTTTCCTTTTTTTCGTGTGAATGTCGGTTCTTGGACACGCAGGTCAAAGGGCGTAGCGTGGTTCCTGCAGAGATCAGGTTCCCATGCGTGGCCCCCGGCTCTTAGAGCGGCTACACGTCCCCCGGACAGGAGTGGACAGCATGATGTGGGCTGAAGTCTGCGAGTCTGGATTCAGGATTCAGGTTTCAACGCAAACCGAAGGGAATATTTCCTTTCAGGTAAAACAATGTTGGGAATTTAGGGCAATAAACTTTTCTCACTTTCTAGTTGGAACCTCTGCTGTGTTTAAAACGTTTGCTCCTCTCGTTCCTGCTCGCCTTGATAAACAATCACTGGTGGACAGATGGAGCCTTAAAAATAAATTGAATTGTGCTCCGTTCATTTCTTTTCCTTCAGAAATATTTTATTACTTTGGCAGCTTATTTATTTATTTTTTTCTTACTCTGTTCCAGCTGGTATTCAAATGATTTAGAAGGTGATAAATCTAATTGAATATATAATGTTCGGTGGAAGGAAAGACATCAAGACAAAGAGGTGTCCAAACTTTTATTATCTCAGCCGGGGGCCTCGGCTTCCTGTTTAGTAAACAGGCACATGAAGGAGACTCGGGGGGACAAGCAGGGGGACAAGCAGGGGGACAAGCAGGGGGACACTCAGGGGGACACGCAGGGGGACACGCACACAGCGGCGCGTCGGCTCTCTGAGCACCAGAGAGTGAGAAAGGCGCTTCGGGCCCCTCTTCTGTCACGTCTCCCAGATAACTTGGCTCTCGGCCCCTTGAAGCCTCAGCTGATCCAAACTTTTGACCCGGAACAAACGTGGGGAGCAAAGCAGCGTGCGTTCACAAAAATAAAATAAATAAAAAGCTTTTTGAAATCTGGGACCAAAACTGGTACTGAATCTCTGTGTGATACCGATGACTGAAGCTCGGGGGGGGAAAATCTTTCAACAGACGTTGCTTTTATGTCATTTGAAAAAAAAAATCAATTTAAATGTGTTCATAATTTCTGTACTTTGTTAACGTTCCGACCGGTGGCTTTGGTTTGGTGTTGCTTTGTGGAACGAAAGGGTCACTGGAAGGAAGTTCTGGCATCTAAATCCAAAGGCCGCGTATAAGAAGTGGAAGAAGTCGTCGTGACGTCACTCTTTGGTTTACGGGCCTGGAGTCCGTCTCTTTGGCCGTCTTCGCGAGGCTCTGCTATGATGCTACTGGAAACACTGCAGTTGTTCCCCAGACCCGTGTCCAACTGATTGGCGTAAAATACCTCTGTCTTTGTGTAATGCGACTCCTGCCTCGTGTGTGAGATAGCGACGGTCAGACCGGCCTAATGCAGATTAACGCATGCTAGTGTCGCCCAGATAAACGCGTTTCTCACTGCAGCGCACGACGTGTTCGGCTCCTCCGTGAAGTGGAAATCACAGGCCAAGGGGAGAACAGAGGGTTAAAGAAACAATCCGTGATAATGCAGCATGCGTCTCATTGTCCTTGTCGGGTGGACTTTCTGGTCACCACCTTTCTAATTGTAGTTCAACATAAATCGTCATAATAATAATAATAATAGGTTCTAACAAATACATTACCAATGTAGATTTTTTTTTTCTAAGCAGTAAGATACGAGAGGCTGTACTTGGTTGACCTCCTCTGGTGCTTTTCTTTGTGCTCAAACTCTTTTCCACCCCCCCGGTCTCCCCCCAATCCGCCTCGCCCCGAGGGGGGAAATAGCAGCTTCCTGTGCCTCTGGTCCAGCTGGCAGACCGTGTAGATTCTGCTGGATCAACAGGCTCCTGCGTAGGGAGCGGAACAGAGCCGGGGGTGAGATCCAAAGAGAGGGGGGAGGCGGAGAAGAGGGGGGGGAGGCGTGTCGGCCCACTGGCTGCGTCGCATTGGCGTTCCAGTTGAGCTCTTCTTTCCACCAGCGGCCCCCCCAGGAATGAAGTTCTTATCAGAGGGGCTTATTCCGCGCTGCGACCCTCACCCGACGACGCTTCCATTGTGATGCGTTCAGGCTCTGTTCGGTGAAACGAGATCTGTAATATGTTGTGGATCAATTATTGTCATTTAGTTACTTTGAAACTTCTATTTGTCCTATTTCTGTCTGTAGTGCAGATTCCGGTTTTGACCACTGACATTAGTTGAGGCATTTAACGGGGGTTCCGTTAAAAAGGAAACGGCCACTTGAAAATGGGGAAGTGCAACAATTCACCGACCGATTTCTGTCTTTGGGCTCATTGCACTTTACACTCTTTAGTTCCCCGTCAAATGCTTTTGCACTAAAACCGCCTGAGCTCGGCTGTGTTTTGTGTCAGACTACACAAAGCAGTCGGTTCTTTTGTGTGATCTTTTTAATGGGCTTCTCACACACTGACTGTGTACTCGTCTCTTGTGTGATCGGACCGTCCGACTGGCGTCCAGATAAGACGGTCTGACGGCGTCGCCTACTGACCTTGAAGGATGGCTTTGGTCCAGTTAATCTGAGGGCTTAACCAGATGCGTTAATACACAGCGAGCGCGCGCACATTCACTCACTCGCCACTCACTCACCTCCACAGGCCACCAGGCTGGATCGAATACGATGCACCAATCCGATGCCACGTTTTTTTTGTATCGGTTTTAGCGCGTTTCCCCCGAGCGGCATGGTACGGTTCGGTACGGGTCGGGTCTGTTAACCATGATTTGGCGAGCGTTTCCACCGCCAACAGTACCCTTATTTGATAGGCGTGGTGTATTCCAGAAAGTAGCGATGACGTCACTTGATAGGCGTGGTACATGACGGAAAGTAGATTGACGTCATTCGATCGCGCGAAAACTGAAAGCTAACCGCAAACAACAATGGAGGACGTGCGGCCGATCCTGATCCTGCTTCTCGATATGTGGCTGTTTGTCACAAGGAGACGACACTCTTTGTTTGAGCAAAGGCTACACGTGTGTTGTCTTCCCCCTTGCGGCACGCGCAAATGACGACACTCTTTCAACCAATCAACGGTCTGCAGTGAGTCTAGCGCCGCCCTTTAGTACCAAACAACTGTGCCAGGTGCCCCAACGGAAGGGTACCCAAAAAGTGGTACGGTACGGTTCGGATTTTTGATACCATTCTCAACTTTTGGCGGTGGAGACACAAATAAAAGGGTACCGACCCGACCCGTACCGTACCGCTCGGTGGAAACGCGCCAATTTTAGCCGTTAAACTCTAGACGGGAACAACAGCAACGCGTGGCGCTCACCAGCCGATGCGTAGATCCTGCCGGATCGCTAACTAGCACTACCAACACTTTGGTTCACTCTATTGGTTAGCTAATAATGCTACATTGTGTTAGCCGTTAGCAGCCTGTGGGTCACAGAGTCTTCTTTAGCTAAACAACAGCGCTAACCGCGTTAGCGTCGAGTTGCATTATGATGCATTCAGTGATCAGGGGGGATCGGGGGGGCAGCTGTTACCTGGCGTAAACCACACCCCGGTTAAAGCTATTAGCAATGCTTCAGTCTTCTTTCTTCAGACGGAGCGCTGACGTGGTTCATGTCGGCCTCCGACTCCACCATAGACACCGCCGGACTTGCAGATCCTTATCCTTGCCAAAACGCTGACCTTTGCCCTCCGTTCCAGCTGGTCCCACTTAGCACTCAACAATGGAGAGTTATCTTTTCCAACAGTCTGGTGTTTGGCAAACACAACTCTTCTCACATCCACCTCTTTTTACGCCTGCGTGTTTCCCAGATGTCTCATTTCGCACTTTGTGGCTAAGGCCTCGCACACGGCTGTTAGAGAGGAGCATGTGTGTGTTTGTGCGTTTGTGTTGGCGGCTAGTTCGGCCTGTGAGGATGTGAGGGGGCCAGCTGCTGCCTCGGGGCTGAGATGGAGAGAGGGGAATGTCAAGAATCCAATGGGAAACCCACTCTCGCGGCTAGTGTTTCTGTCGCTCCCAGTCCATCTTGCTACAGCGCTTTCAATGTGTCTCTCTATTTAATATGGTTGTCGTTATCTGCGTAAATCTGAACCACGCCGTATTCTCCCCTTTGCCCCAAAAGTGTGCAGAACTGTGGAGTTCTGCAAATGTTTTCGTCAACCATTTATGAAGTTGCTTGTGATCCAACTTTGGGCTGCGAGCCACTTTTTGGGAATGACTGGGAAAAGAATTGCAGTCACAACTAAAGGAGAAGGTGCTGAGCCGTCGTTGTGAATCTCTCGCCAGAGGGAACAGAGCAGGCACCTCACCTCCACAATATCACTGATTCTCTGATTTCTGTCACTAATAAAGCACTCCTACCTGTTCAGCACCGACTGGTTCAGTCTGATGGCTTCTAAAAGGGTTTCTCGTGCCCAAAGTGTCGCACAAGAAACATCTCGTAAAAAAGCAAAGTGCTGTCTTGAGACCTTCGCAAGCTTATTTTTGGAAACTTACTGATGGCATTGGTCAAAGGAAGATTTCGAAACTTCTGAATGCGTGGAAAGAACATATTTTCACCATAAACCGGGCATGACCAAGTGCTCCTCGCCAGATTTTTGACCGGAGTTGGCCAAGAGCCGAGGACCACCCGTGGAGAGCTTCAGAGAGACCTGGAATCAGCAGGTACAATTGTTTCAAAGAAAACAAAAACCCGCTCACCACGCTAGACTCCAAAGAAAAAGCATGTTGAAGCTCGTTCAAAGTTTGCTGCACAACATTTAGACAAGCTGTAAAATACTGAGGGAATCTAGTCTGGTCAGAACTCTTGGGATCACCCCCCCCAAAAAACTGACCAACGGGGACGTTTGGAGGCGGGAACATCACGGCGTGGGGCTGTTTTTGCGCAAACTTAAACATAAAAAGGATGCACGGGAGAAGGTACCGAAATATTCTAGAAAAAAAAACGCTGCCGTCTACCAGGATGATGAAGGCGAAACGAGGGAGAACCTTCAACAGGACCATGATCCCAAAACACACAGGCACAGAAACGCTCGTTTCAGAGAAAGAAGACAAAGCTGCTATAATGGCCCCGCCAATCACCTGCCTCGAATCCAGTTGAACATCTACGGAAAGAACCAAATCATCAGGGTTCACAGAAGAAGCCCACGGAACTTTCGAGAGTCGAAGAATGGGCCAAAATCACACCTGAGCAATGCATCCGCCTAGTTCCCATTTACACGCTGTACATTTGACCTGGCCCAGGGTGCATCTAGGTGTTCTATATTCATCAGGAGCAGGGGGCTGGACCCCCAACGTCATGGTCAAAACCGCTCTCTGAGCCGCAGCCATTGGATCTACCAGTGCTGAAATGGCTAAATTGACTAACCTGTAAAATCTTCAGTAACTGGTGGCGGCATTCTGGTTTTTGCCTGTACGCGTCACTCCATAGATGCACAGCCTGTATTGCACAGGGGGCCCATTCGTCAACGAGTACAGTTTATTGAAAGGCTCAGCTAATGTAAAGCTTGAGCGGCGCGTGCAGGGAAGATGAACGCGACCACATGGAATATGGTTGGAGGCCGAGTGACGCAGAGCTGTGGAGCGATGGAGCGATGTCTCATTTGAGGGTGGGAGGAAGAGGAACAGCAGGGATGAGCACTGATGTTCAGGTCATTAGTCTATTCATGGAGGGCTGCCACTGCGCTTCCTCTTGTCATGCGGAACCAATATTTAATTAAAGCTGAACCAAGGCGGTTTATTGGGACGGACTTGCCCTCAGGGGGGCTCGTTGGTGTATTTTACAACTTCTAGAGCTCTGTAGACGAGGCTGGTTCATCACCATTATCAGATCAATGCTAACAGGAGGTCATACACCTCTGAATTGAAGAACACTCGCCTAGCCATCCACCTTTTACGTGACCCTCCACCATTGCCGGGCCGGTCGGCAAATTGCCCCGCACATCTCTCCTATCTGGTCATAAAAATGGCTTTTTGCGTGTGTGCACCTGAGCAGGTGCTTGACCAAGACCTCCAAATGCCGCCCGCTCGTAGAGGCAGTAGTGTTGAAAACTGTCATCCATAACTGAGCGAACGCACACTGAGGGGTTAAGACCCGCCGGGGCTCCACACCACCCACATGATGGAATACACAGATGCCCGGTGAAGGACACTGTTCTTACCCAGATGGTGGTCGGGGGAACGTAAATGAAGGATCGGTATTTGTCTAGAAGGTGGCAGTTGACTTTGTTTGGCTCCTTCGATAACCAATGTGTCCTTTTCCGTGAGCAAAGATCACAGCACAAAACACTCTGGGTCTGCTTTACCTTTTCGAACCCGATGGAAAAACGTCACCCGTTTCAGTTTTAAAGCACAGCGCTTAGGTCCCCATCGGCCGGTCAGGGGTGGGCCCCTCAGTGTGGGAGGATCCCCCCTCCTGGAACACCCCTCCTGGACCCACTGCTTCTGCTGCGCTGGGCAGAAGGTGATGTCACAGTAGCCAGACAGTATGGAGAAACTAGAGAAGACCCAAATGTGAGCGTGTCAGCTGTGGATCTCTGTTACCAATAACATGAACATCTGGTCAGCATTGGGAGATGGAAAACCTCCAACCTTCTGCTCTTGGTTTCAGTTTGGAACTTGGCAACGTGGTGTTCTTCTTACCGTGTTATCTTCCCATTCAAGGCCAGTCAGCTTTTTTTTTCCTTTCCTGCAGGAGAAATGCAGGTTCCTCACTCTGCTTAAAAAAAAAAAAAGGTTGAGCTAAAGCTGATTTAGCATCGATTTTGATACTCAAGTGTTTGTTTTTAAGTCATTAATGAAGCGTTAATGCATTGCTATGGATCCTCTTCAAATATAAACAAAATGAATGAACCAATAGAGGCTTATTAGAGCTAATTCCTGGAGCACGAAAGCATTGCCAGGGCCCTGAAGTGCACTAACGGGGTTGTACCACTCCGAGGTCCCGCTGTAGAGAGGCCCATGCAGCGTGTACCTTCCGGAGTTACTGCCGTTTGTCGGGTAAACGCCAACCCGACCTTGTGCGACCTCACGGGAGCGTAAAGCTGTGCACAGTAAAGAGAGAAGTTAGCGATTTAATAGGTAAAGGAAACGCTCGGTGAACAGGAGAGGGGCATGAGGGAGGAATGGAGGCCATGAACGGAAATGTTTTATTCCTCATCTCAATGCTCCTGACCCTTTGTCCCCCTCACAGACCATACATGTACTTCATTGTCTCCAGACATTTGCGTGTGTGTGTTCATGGCATTAAATTCCTCATGTCGTCTGTTTCTCTTATTTTAAATGCATTCTTTTTTTAAATGTGCGTCCTCAGGTGAATCTGGTCTGGGGAAGTCGACTCTCATCAACTCTCTGTTCCTGACTGACCTGTACTCCAAGGACTACCCTGGGCCCTCCCAGCGCATCAAGAAGACGGTGCAGGTGAGCTTATTCAGACCTCATCTGGGGTTCACACGTTACGACAAAGGTCGGCCTGTGAGGAGGTCATGTACTTTTATGTTTTATTTAACTTTTTATTTAGCCATAATAATCCAAGTGCTATTTGGAGTGTCCTTCACGGGCCGAGTCCCGGCCGAGTTTCACACAAGCGCCACATGGGAAAACACAAATAACAGACAGATTATAAAAAATGAGTTTAATCTTGAGTTTCTAGCCATTTGCTATATAGCATGACTTTTATTTAGCATGCTTTAGATTCGCTGCTTTATATAATTGATAGTTTGCTCCTCCTCATTCCAAACATGGTCCCTTCCATCTACTGGAAGACCACAAACCAGTGATGTGACATCACAACGACTGCCTCCTATAAAGCCCACGCGACCTAATGATGCACTGGCGGTCTGAGCAATCCAAACTGGTTGCAGCGTTGTGCTCGTTGGCTGCGGTTCTGTCCGACAGCATGTTGGCGTTTAACGGTATTTGTGCCAAAGCAGGAAGAACTAAAGCTGCAAAGGGTCAAATGCTTGTACCGCCCACCGTGAGGTAGAAATTCTGAATTATGTTGCTCGATATCCAACCTAAACCACACCGTGTTGATGTCTGTCACACAACGCTCCTGCAGGGTGAGGAGGTTTATGCAGCTGCAACCGCCAGACAACGGCGCCCTGAGAGGAGACTTTTTTTTTTTTTTTGCCTCCGTGGGGGGAGAGCGAGCGATGGAGAGAGGGGGGGGGAAAGAGCTCACGGCCTGTTTTTTTCTTCCTTTTATGGTTACGACAATGGGCGGAGGAGGAGCGACGGTGCATCCGGGGCAGTGGGGAGGAGAGGATGAGCGAGAGGGAGGCGAAGCAGATAATTGACGCTGGGTTCATCTACCGTCTAAGTCTGAAGACGAGGGTCATGGATACAGGTTGTAGGAGGAGGTGGACGGAGGCTTGCAGCTATCCGCGCAAACAGCGGCGTTCACCCGCCGGGCCTTCGGATCAGCTGAGCTGCCGTAAACATCAGACATGCTGTGACATCGAGACACATTTGTTTTATTGCACAGGAGCAACGGGTCTGAATTCTTTTGAGACGTGTGGCGTTTAGTGCAAAAAACGAATGGATGGATTGCAGGTGCAATTTGGATGTTTAACGCCAAGCTACAGATTTAAATGCGCATTTTGCACTTCCTGTCCAGACTGAAGTCCCTCTCTGGGTCCGCCCCCCTCCCCAACCTGGCGGGAAGCCGTCAGCCTGCTGTGTCTGCAGATCCCGTTTCTTTTTAAATGATGGTGTCGAGCCTAGTGGCATTTTTGAGGTTCTCTCCCGCTCTGTTTTCCTTCGGTGGAAATAGCAGGTTTTGGTTTCCAGACGCGTCACGCACAAAAACACACATCCTTAACACACAAAGGCCAGATGCACAACCAAGCGCAGAGCGTGAAACGGCTGCGGCGTGGGGTATATTGGTGCTCGGCCGTAAAGTTGGGGCAGATCATCTGACGGTTTTGGGCAGAAGCTGAAGAATGTTTGTTTTTTTGAACACGAGGGCTGTGCTTCGAGTTAAAAGGGCGTTCCTGGAAATAACTGGACGGCCTTGTGAAAGTGGGCGGCGGCCCGGCGAGGGGGGGGGCAGGGGTACGGCGGCGATGGACACGCGGGGGCCGACCGCCGTCGTACCACGTGCACCGAGCAGGTTTTAGTCACATTTGGCTGTTAGCTTAGCAGTTGTCTGTCATGACTGCTGGCACATTTTCAGCCTTCTTCTGTAGTTTTTGGGGAATATTTGTAATAGTCACATGTCAAAGTCTTCATGCAAATCCCTCTTTTACTGTCCTCGGCCTTGAAACGGATTCCAGGGATGTGATGTTGTTTCAGGTGGAGCAGTCCAAAGTGCTGGTGAAGGAAGGAGGAGTCCAGCTGACACTCACCATCGTGGACACTCCGGGCTTTGGAGACGCGGTGGACAACAGCAACTGGTGAGACGCGCCGGCTGTTTTCCCCCGAAAAGGAACAGAAGACCCTCCCCCCCCCCACACGCTCAGCTTTTCTTCTTCTTCTTCTCCTCCTCCGTCTCTGCAGTTGGCAGCCCGTCATAAACTACATCGACAGCAAGTGCGAGGACTTCCTGAACGCCGAGTCGAGAGTGAACCGCAGGTCCATGCCGGACAACCGGGTCCACTGCTGCCTGTACTTCATAGCGCCCTCTGGACACGGGTAGGTCCGCGCGAGGACATGAGGTGGACACCAAGAGATAGCTCATAATAATATTTCCTCTAATAACTGATTTCAGACCAAGCGTACTTCGCTTCATGGTCTGTTGGACTGTAAATGCACCGTCACCAACTACGTGAACATCCTGCTGTATTGAAGAAGACTTGAAACGAGCTTAAGAGCCATGAGCTCATGATTCCAATATTTCACATTTAAAACACTTGCTCCGTTGTTAAAGTGAGTTATTGATTGAAGCCTTTTGAAGTGTTTTAATATGAACCTGACACAGTTCTAACTAGGTCAGATATTTATACAGGCGGGAGGAGGGTTTGGTTCCCTTTGCCAGTCTATTCGTATGTGTTTCAGTGAATTGAGGAACATCCTCACACTCCCCTTGGAAGAAACGTGCGTGCGTGCGTGTGTGTGTGTGTGTGTGTGTGTGTGCGTGTGCGCGCCATAGATGCCTGCCAGCGTATGTGACCCACAAACGTTGTATAACCCAGTTCTGCTCATGCTCAGTAGAGCCCCACTCGCCATCACTGTAATCAGCCAATCAGAGCGAAGCCTCAGAGCGGCCGACAGAGGCTGGCCCCTCATCTCAGAGAAACACACGTGTGTGTGTGTGTGTGTGTGTGTGTGTGTGTGTGTGTGTGTGTGTGTGTGTGTGTGTGTGTGTGTGTGTGTGTGTGTGTGTGTGTTATAGCTGCAGCACTAGCCAACTTCGATGTCCGATTCAAGTCTTCCGTGGATCATTCATCAATCCGTAAGGTGTCACATGCTGTATGTCTGCAGCTACATTGAGTGAGTGTGTGAACGTATTACTAGTTATAAAAACCATCTCCTACGTGGTGCTCGTGTCTCTGGGTGAAGTCCCTGAGCAAGGCACCTGACCCCCTAACTGCTCCCTGGGGGGGGAAAAAAAAAATGTACAAAGCCGCGGGTTAAAAATGCAATTTCAGCTAAATGACCTGTGATGTAATGAAAGTACTCGCCACTGGAAGTCAGTGCTGCAGCGTTCACTCAACTTATGTCCGTTTGCTGTTACTAACTTCGATGCACTGAAGATGTTGAGGAAAACGCATTCGCTCCTCCGTGTTATCATATCGGGTCATTGTTCCTTTCTTGCAATAATTTGGCTTCCTATTGGCTCTGCAGCAGCTGCAGGATCACAGTCACAGCCAAAAGTCCCTCGACACGAGGCCGTAAAACCGGGAATCCCCCCGATTCCTGTGTTAGAAGTCAAATTCTTGCTCCTGTCAGAGCTATGTGCGTCCGTGGCAGTGTGTTCGTGAGCAAAGACCACTGGGTTCGTATGGGTTATCCCAGTATGCCCAGTCATATGCCTGTCATTCAGAGGGGAAAACCCTCTTCAGCCCAGCGAGGCGAAACCCTCAAGTCGCCACCACAGAAGAAGAGCGGGACTCGAGATGTCAGTCTTCGCCCGTGGGCTCCGGGTGATGCGCGGGTTTTGTCGGCCCCCTGCTGGAGACCCGCTGCACACGGTTGACTTTGGAAAGCGTGCGTCCCGCCGCCCGGGACGCTTCCACTGTCCCCCGACTACAAGCCGCCACTCACTTTGTCCTCCTCGTGTTTCTTCCTATTTACCTGTTTTTGCTCAAACCGTTTCAATAACTAAAGTAAAATGTTTGAATAAATCTTTGTGGCTGAAACGTACTCAAACATTTCTTTTCTTAAATCCGCCAAACAAAATGGGTCAAATAAATATATAAATTGACCTGCATTTATCAACTTAAATCTGGTAAAAGAATCTTCCAATATAGATAGTTTGTATATTTCAATATGCTATTTGAGTCCGCATTGGCCTGGAGATATTAGATATTAATATCTGTGCATCTCTACATTAGAAACTCTTAAAAACGTGTCCTAAACAAACCTCATTTCAGGCATCGAACCAATCGCACATTCAAGTAGAAGTTTGGACTAAAAGATCGTACGGCTGCCGAATAACTCGCGTTTATTTTCAGTGATGAAGGCGACGCACTTCTAACGGTCTCCTTCCGTCTGTCCTCCAGTCTGAAGCCGCTGGACATCGAGTTCATGAAGAGACTCCACGACAAAGTCAACGTCATCCCGCTTATTGCGAAGGCCGACACTCTGACCCCGGAGGAGTGCCAGCTTTTTAAAAAACAGGTATTTGTGTGTCACGTGAGAAGGATGGAAAGTGCCGCCGCTGCATATGATGTAAACGTCCAATAACTACTTTAATTATACTTTGCGACGGTAGCCATGTTTTCTTTACTTACGCTAAGCTAAGCTAGTAACCTCCTCCTGTGCTCCCTGAAAAGAGGAAAGCTTGTTAAACCGTTTGGCCGTTTTTTGATCGGTACGCAGGTCTGCGTTCACCACGCGTTTCCTCTCTCCTTTCATCAGATAATGAAAGAGATACAGGAGCATAAAATCAAAATCTATGAATTCCCAGACACGGAGGACGCCGACGACAACAAGCTCGTCCGAAAGATAAAGGTAACTGGACACAATTTGGTCCGTGCTTTTGAAAATGGATTGAATGGCCGAGAATCTCCCGTGTAGTTGAGCTTCATGAGGTAATCAGTTACCATGGTAACGGGGGATGTTTGGTTACCAACTACAATCTTTAAGTTCAGCGAAGTGATAAACAAGTTGCTCAGCTAGCATGTTTCACTGCTCGCTCGTGTGTTAGCGGTTAGCAAATTAGCTCAATAACCCTGGTAGTCCGTACATTACTAAGCATTTAGCACTAAAGAAACTTTGTCGGCGGGAAACGTGGACACATTTTGCCGCTGTAAAACGTTTACATTTTTACATATTTTAAAAATTTTTTTAAAACTAAATGTTTTGGCAAATAACCCACCGCCACACCTGCAGCGGCTCCTTCTGTGTGATAACGCTCTTCGTCCCTCCACTCCAGGAGAAGATGCCGCTGGCAGTGGTCGGCAGCAACGTGGTGATCGAGGTGAATGGCAAGAAGGTCAGAGGTCGCCAGTACCCGTGGGGCGTGGCGGAAGGTAGGTTCGCCCGCGTCCGCCGCCACAAAGGAGGACACGGCGTCCCGCTTGTGGCGCAGGGCCCAAAGAGTGAACGTTCACACCTGGCCCTGAGTCGTTATTATTTCACATGATGGACATTTTGAATCCCAGTTTTATTGCACCTCGGTCAGACAGAGGCGGAGACACAGGTCACAGGGTCGTCTCTGAATGGATCAACTACCCGGGAATACAATGTCGAAATGTAGTGTTTACAGGAAATGAGTCCATGAACTTCTTCGATCTGATAGACACCATCACATTAATTAGGTAAAGCTTAGTCTGTCTTGCAATATCAATATGAAATCGATAGGGGTGGGAATCTGTTGGCACCTCACGATTCGATTCCGAGGTCCACGATTCGATGCTAAACCGATAATCGATTCCAAACAGATTATCAATTCCAAACAGATTAATCGATTCCAAACAGATTAATCGATTCCAAACAGATTAATCGATTCCAAACAGATTATCAATTCCAAGCAGATTAATCGATTCCAAACAGATTAATCGATTCCAAACAGATTAATCGATTCCAAACCGATTCCGAGGTCCACGATTCGATGCTAAACCGATAATCGATTCCAAACAGATTATCGATGCATCTCGATTTTCAAAATTTTCTCAAATCTGAGTTTGTAAGTAAGAGAGAAAAAAAGAATCTTTGTCACAAATATGATTTTCTATCAACAATGCAAGAACCGATGCAGCTTGCATTTCAACACAATATGGAAGTAGCCTAATGTAAAAAAAAATATTAGATTCATTTTTCTTCTAAATTATTAAAGAAAAAGCCGCTCTTAGTGAATGATAAGAAGAAGACTTCAAACACAGAATGCCCCTTTTATTATGGGTTATAAGCAGCATATCGCTGAGACAGAAAATAAGTTACGCTGCACAATAACACGCTACTTTATGGCGTTTGCATTTCAACACGTTGTACAGCGTTGGTATAGCTGTGTCGGCGAAGTATCGGCGAGAAGGTATTTTGTGCTTTGGCTCCAGTGTATTCACCATTCCCCAAAAACCCGCCTTCTCCACAACTGAATATGGCCTTAAATCCACTGCAATAAATGTGGCAATGGATTTATTCCTCCGTTTTGCCCTCTGAGTTGTGTGGCAGTTGTAGCTGTTCAATCGTCGCTGCCATCAGGTGTCGGGAAATGTGGCTCTGCAGATTTGTCGTATTCCCGAAGTACTTTATTTGACTTCTACAGACCTTACAAATGGTGTAAGTCTTGTCCATCTTGCCGTTAATCTCGTAAAATCCAAAATGCTGCCACACGGCAGCTTTTAAAGAAGCCGGTGCAGGTCGGATACGTCTCCAAACGCACATGCGCGCATAGCGGGCGAACAAAATGTTGCAGCGGGCGAACTAATTTCATTATTAAAATTCCGATTATTGACTTTTCTGAATCGTTCTGGAGAGAGAGAAATCGAAAAAATCGACTTCTTCCAAGCGATTACCTGATGACGTCTTTGTGGTCTACAGTCGCTCTGGTCTTGATCTCAGTAACTCAAAAAAGACTCAACGGTCTGCTTGAACTCCCGTCCGACCAACTGGTGTGAACGTGACGCGGGTCGGAGCGACGCGATTTGGCCCAAACATCCACTCTCTGGTTGAACCAGTTAGAATCTGCTCACTGGGACCCGTCGGGCCCAATATCGTGACTAAATAATATTTTCCGAGGCAGGATCGGCGTAGAGACAATGGGGCACGTCTGTAGGCGCTGACCAGCGTCGCCACAATGACCTGCTGTGTTGTTTCTCCTTTGTTGTAAAGTCCTCTAATGACCCATTGTATATGTATTTGACCTTTTGTTGCTCTGTGGTTGACCGGTGGATCAGTCTTTCACTTTTTTCATTCTTTCTTTTTTTCTTTGTCTGTTCTCTTCCATGACTGACAGAGGGCATTTTTGGTAAACCAACCCTCTTTCACTTGAGTTCAGCCTCATTTCCTCCTCCTCCTCTCCATCCCTCCTCTCCCTCCACTTTTCTGTTGCTGTGTCTCATCATTAGGCTGACGGTCAAACCAACGCTCTGATCAGACTTGGGCTGAAGACTGTGAAGTGCTAAAAGACTAAAATGGAGATCACAAAAGAACACGGACACCAGAATCATCCGTGTGCTGTTGACGTCATGTGGTTTATTCTGGAATACGACACGGGATGCTTGTCGGTACCATATCACCTCTTATCCTCACAAGAGTCACAGGGCTGACTCGCACTACGTGTCAAATCCAAATTCGAGTACATATGATGCTACACGCTACACGCTCCTTGTTGGAAATGGAATTTTCCTCCACCTAGACGTCGTTTTGCGTTGAACTGTCACCGGTTGTCAGAAGTCCCCGAGAGGATCACGAGCATCTCAGGGCGTCCGGTGTTTCACTTTTAACAGGTGACCGTGTCACCCGCGGTGACACTCGGGCCTCGTCCTTTCATCCTCGTACTATTCAGTGTTGGTCAGTAACGGAAGGTACGCGATAAGTAATAGTAATGCGTACATTTCTGAGTGAGAAATTGGCGATTTTAAAATGGCTCATTACACATCTTGGTTGTTCAAGGGAGCCTTCTTGAAAAAGAAATACGGCAAAGATGAGATGTGAAGCAGCGGCTTCTACACAAACTCAAGCCCTCATTCCAAAGGGGATCTTTCTTTGTTTTTCCGTAGAACCCTCAAAGGAATATTCAAGCCGTCCTATTGTGAGTTCATTTAGATCTTATGATGGAGGCCGTAGTCTCCTACAGGGACACATGAATGATTCTGGTTCTTGTCTTTTTGTTTTTAAGCAACTTAAAATATGTGGGGGAGGACGATTCCCCTCGATTACAACTTTGGTCTTGTTGTGATTTTGAGTTTGTGTGTTATTTACCAGTGAGGTGACGCCTCACGACAACAAGACCAGCGGGGCGAGAAACGCAAGCAGACAAACATTCACAGCAAGCCGTGTCTCTAAATCCCCAGAGGAGCGTATCTGGATCAACATGATCATTTTAGTCACTTCACATCTCCTAAAAATGGGTAAACCATTCACAGAGAACAAGACCATGTTGGTAGTAAAGGGGATTAATCCTGCCAGGTTTATTTAAACGAAAAAGCGTCCACACGCTCACCTTTCCTCCCAAGTCTGATGCGGTGAACAGAGAGAGCCAGCGGCCGCCTGTCGCGTGAAGCTGCTGTAGAAACATCGCTTGTAGATCCATCACGAATTCATGGGCAGTTAATGCTGAGCTGGCGTACACGTCGCAGTAACACGCGGCTCTTGCAATCATGACTCATTGGTATGTTTTAAGACCTTTTAACATGTGTGCACGCGCGATTCATTCGTTGAACCAATGCGGTTCGTCACCGCGGCCTAAATGCACTCTGGGTAAAGCGCTTCGGCTCAAAGCACCTGACGGACGCGTTAAAGTTCATGGCTGACGAAACGGGAGCCACGAGACTCGGCGGCTGCGTCAGGTGCTTTGTGTCCTCCATCAACGATTAACACCCGTTTGCTGTTCGTTACAATGTCCCTTCTACCCCCATGAACTTTGACCTCCACTCCCTCACCTTTTTATTTGAGCGTCGCACCGCCGGCTGGTCATGCCTAGCTCCTCCCCCCCACGTAACACCCCCTTCTCCGAACCGCCCACGCTCCCTCTACAAGCCCCGCCCCCCCCCTGTAGTCAGTCAGCCTGGACACATGCAGGTTTAGCCCCGCCCCCCCCCCCCCCCCCCCCCCCTACAGCTGGCCGCAAGACAGTAACCTAAAACCCGTACCCCCCCCCCTCCGTCAGAGCTCCCTCCTCTAGAAGAGACTGAAGGTCAATGGCTGGCTTGGGAGGCCAAGGGGCGGGACTGCTTAAGTTTCATCAATGGTAAGGCGGCGTCCTCATTCGCTCTCCTGATGATGATGATTGACTGCCGGCGGAGCGGAGGCCAACCAATGAAGGAGCGCCGTACTTTGGCCCCGGGAGGAGGCGGGAGATCCACAGCAGCGGTTCCTTTAGCGGCCCGGTTCAGACCGGCCCGACACGTCCAATACGCCGTCTGCTTCTTCTCGGACCTAATGAGAAGAAGCAGACCGAAACCCTCTACTTCCTCCTCTGCTCTCCCAGAGTTTCCCACGCTTACAACTCTGGAGGAAACAAAGCAGCAGGGTGATATGTGAAGGACGTCCTGTGTGACCACGGCCTGGCGTTCCTACTAACGTGCTACTACGATCCATACGGCCACTCCCCTCAACACACCTTTGTAACCTACGGAATGAACTTCTCTGGTGTTTGTGCCGCACAGTCTCCACAGCGATAACGACAATAACAACTATTTTTACCACCACACTCTGTTATCACGTCTATAACGCAGTCGTGTTCATTTTCAAACCTCCCAAAAAGTGAATTCTGCTCGCTTTCCCTTGATACCAGATGCTGATGTCACACTGTTGCTGTGTGTGTGTGTGTGTGTGTGTGTCTCTCCCTGTGTTTCAGTGGAGAACGGGGAACACTGCGACTTCACGGTGCTGCGCAACATGCTAATCAGGTAAAACGCCAGACTTAGCCAGTGTTTAATGGACGCTCCTTTCTAGCATCAGCCTGTTCTCCTACGCATGCTGCAGGGATGGACTAATACTTAACGTATAGACTGATACCTACACATCTGGATAAAACCTCACGTGTTTATTATGACACACAGATTGTTCAAGAAGACCTCATGGTTGCAGAGATATACTCTGGGTTGATCCCTACGTTCCTTCCTTCCTCATCTTGTTCCTCTCCTTCCGCAGGACCCACATGCAGGATCTGAAGGACGTCACCAACAATGTCCACTATGAGAATTACCGCAGCAGGAAACTCGCCGCCGTCACCTGTAACGGGGTGGACACCACCAAGAGCAAGGGCCAGCTCACCAGGTCAGCCTCAGTCACTAAGCGGCCGCTGGAGGGGAACCCGATACTTTGGACGTGGAACGTTTATTTTTCCGTGCAAGGCGAATGAAATGAGTTCTTTAACCGGCCTGGGCTGTGGTCCACAGGAGTCCCCTGGCCCAGATGGAGGAGGAGCGCAGGGAGCACGTGATGAAGATGAAGAAGATGGAGGCAGAAATGGAACAGGTCTTTGAGATGAAGGTCAAAGAGAAGAAGCAGAAGCTGAGGGACTCCGAGGCCGAGGTGGGTTTGAAAGAGAAAAAGATTTTTTTTCATCAGACCAACATGCGGCGATTACGATTTGTAATACCTGCAGGTCCAAAATAAAAACACAAATGTAATAACTTTGAGATGTTTTTTTTCCCCTTTTCAGCTGGAGCGACGCCACGAGCAGATGAAGAGGAACTTGGAGGCGCAGTACAAGGAGCTGGAGGAGAAGAAGAGGGTGCACGAGGACGAGAAGGCCAACTGGGAGGCTCAGCAGAGGATCCTGGAGCAGCAGAAACTGGACGCCTCCAAGTCAGTAACGCGCTCGTCCAATGAATGTCCCGCACCGATGCACAGACTTGTAACGCTGCCGCTTCCTCCCGTTTTGTCACACAGGACGATGGAGAAGAACAAGAAGAAAGGGAAAATCTTTTGAAGAGAAGCGACCCGTTGACCTTCAGTTTTACGCAAACCCAGTGCTTTTCTTCACGTGCTGTGGCCCTTCCCGAAACGTATAGAACATTTCCCAGTAATACCGTTAACGCACACCCACGTACTTCATCCGTTGAAACTCATCATTCAATTTCACGGCCAACGCGTGTTTTTCTGAAATTCAATTTTCCTCATGTGGTCCAAAAGAGAGCGAGAGCGAGTGTGTTTAAGGTCAGGTGGCAGCCGAAGCATGAGGGGGGGGGAGGGGGGGGAGATCACTTTGGAGCTAACAGCTAGCTGCTGGCTAACACGCTAGCTCTATTTAGCGCTTCTATTTTCTCAAAAAATAAACAAATATGAACCGTTAATTTGTCCCAGCTGTCGGTAAAAAAAAACCAGTAGTCTCTCGTATAACAGTCAGAGAGGCGGGTGATTCCAAACAGACTAATAATAATTCTTTATTTTCCGCTGTGCGCCGTCAAAGGTCAACGCTGTCAGGACGCTAATCATCAACAGCTAATCATCAACAGCCAAAAACAAACTCGCTCTGGAACTGGATGTTGAAAGATTCCCTTGTAAACCAGTCGCCGTGTTGAAATGTACCTCTTTAAATGTTCCCCGCGGTGTGTGTGTGTGTGTGTGTGTGTGTGTGTGTGTGTGTGTGTGTGTGTGCGTGCGTGTCGGAGCGGTGAGGACTCATCAGCTCTGAATGAGCCCTTCAACATCCCCTTTAGAGGTTGTTCGCCGCCTCACGGCGTCCGCCATCTTTCTCCGGCAGCCCCAGAACGGGCAAACGCAACACTGTCTCTGCAGAAACACTTTTCCGTTCCAGCCGTCGTTGTGGCTGAGGTTGCTCCGGGACGAGCAACGTTACCGGTGACGATATAGGTATCGCCGACTTCTACACACTGTCCCTTTTTAAACGATGGGGACATTCGTGTGTGTGTTTCCCATTCAAAAAAAAGAAGACATTATGCAAAAAGCTTCACGGGCGTCACAAAGATGTTTTATATTGTTATTTAGGTGGTGGATGTCTTCATAGATCTGAACCCCGATGCCCAGCTCTTTCCTAACAATGTTCCCCTTTTGTGTGAACAATTCATCAAATAGCTTGAATATTCCTGCGCCCCCCCCCCCCTTTTCCCCACGGACTCCACAGGAAGACGCCAGTTTGGAGAAGTTTGCCAATTATTTTTTTCGAATATGAACCACCGATGACCTGTAACCCAAGTCCATTCACAAGGTCAAAGGGCGCCGTGACACGGCCGGACCTTTTTAACTCGCCCTCCCACGTTTTAATTCCCTGTATTAATGATGCCACGTGTGAGGTTGAAGAAGAGCTCCTTAAATCCTGTGTAGTTTTCCCAAACGTATAATCTGTTATTTTAGTGTAGTTTTTCAGCTCGCCTGCAAAATTCTGGATGCATTTAAAGCAAAAATGCTAAAGGGACAGACACCTGCAGCATTTAGGGTATTACCTGTATGGATTTGATTATGGTTTTATTACTGTGTACATAACGGAGGCTGCTCAGTGGCCTTTTTCTTTCTTCTTTTTGTCACACGATTAGCCAGGAAAAACAGAACTTGTACTCAGAACTATTATGTAAAACTTGTCTTAAGAACACACCGATACATTTCAGATACGTTTACGCACGCACGCATACCGTATACATCTATGCCAATGAGTACACGTTCTCAGGAGTCCAGAGTTCCTCTTTGAAACGCTTGCGCAGCCCTTCCAATAACGCCAAGTTAAGATAAACATTTAGGTGGACATTTTCATTTTTTGTAATATTTTCATTTTTGTAATGTGTGCACTGTTTACTGCTTCTCTTCTTTGTTCTCTCTCTAACTGTACATTATTAATATTAAAGTTGACATGGTTATGCTTTAAGTCCCAATGTTTGTTGTTGTTTTTTTTCAAAAACTCTTTAAATGAATCAACACCTTTTCAGTATTTATATTGTACCATATGAAAAGAATATTAATATGCATGTCCAAGAACCGGCAATTATTCTATTGTATTTCCAGGCTGATGTTTCTCCCCCCACAAAAATGTCCACTACTGAAACATAGTAATACACGTAGTAAAGTATTTTGACCAATCAATAAGAAATTACAATTCTCTAGGTTCAATTTATACAATTCATTAAAATCTTAAGGCAATTTCCCTTTTGTAAAATGCTTAATACTCTTGATTCCAGAGTTGTTGCTAGATACAATTGAACATACATTGATCTATATAACATTTAAGTTGATAATTCAATGATTATTTATTAAACACCCCGTGTATCTGTAACCGCTCTGGTTCCGTTCTGCCCACAGTATTTTGTTTGCAGTTATTGCTTAATCCTAACACGCCTTTGAATGGGATTATAACAAACAGATGTTTTGTGGTCAATAGAATGATTCTATTTTTGGATGACAGAACAATTGTTCATCTAGAACCATTTAAAAACCAAGTAGAAACATCCCTTATCGATGGAAAATGACCCAAGTGGGTTTGGTAAAAGAAAACATTGACACAAGTTAGGTGTCTCCCATTCTGCGGTGAACGCCGACCAGGACGCACCTCTGTGGGACGTTTTCTGGTGGCGGGATCGAGGTAACGACCCTGTCCATCAAGTAAACAAAAAAAATCAAGAATTCCCCAGACGACACCTCAGAAGTTCCACTGCAAAGGGACACACAACAGGGGCTGCAGATTCCAAGTAACTCTCCACACGCATAGAACACAAACACACTGTTTATCTTTACATCTTGTTTATATGTAGTTGGTGGAAAGATTGTCATGGCGTTCGGTGTCGCCACACATTGTATTCAGCAACGTTTTGATCTAGATCTTACTCAGGTCTTACTTCAGGGGTTCCTGACCTGGGGCCACACAAAAAGTCTGAATAAAACTATTTTTAGATTATTATGGTAAATGCCATAACTGTATTTAAAAGGTTTGATTCAATACATACAATTTTATTGTTAGGAAATAGTCATGGGAAACCACTGGCTGCACTGCTGCTTAACAAATGAACACACTCATTGATCAACAATCAATGAAAAAAAGGTAAAAAGTCAAACCGGCAGAGATTGCTTCGGCCTTAAAATGTATGGCGAGGAAGAGGAGGAAGAGGAGTTCACCATAGACGTATGTGTACATGCACATACACAGACATAAACGGAGACATACACAGAGATGTACAGGTACACATAGACATAAACGTAAATACACATACATACATAGATAGATAGATGGATACATGTATCTGATCAATATGTGATACTAGTTGTTGAATCTGGTTTTGCGTGTCTAGTTTAGTGAGTACGGTAAAACCCCCTCCCTCCCACTCCCAGCTGTTCAGCGCGAGCCAATGGGCGGGTATTCCGGATTCCTCTGCGCCTGCCTTGGTGTATTTACGGTACTCTAGTTCTATGCACGCAGGCGTCAGAAGAAGCCGGTAAAATTCAAAGTTGAAGGAGGAGACTCATTGAAATCACTGCACAACAAAAAGGTTTGTCTCTGTTTTTCAGTTGACCTGTTATTACAGACGGTAGTTACAGACTACCTTTCAGGTAAGACCAGGTACATCTGGTTAGCATATGCTATGCAGCGTCAAGTATCATTCTAAGCTAACCGTGCGCTGGCAATCTTGGATAGCTAGCCGTTGGATTAGCTTGAAATGAGCCTCCCTGATTTGAATCGAATGACAGCGTTGCTAATGCTAGCGAGCTAACGTTAGCAATGTTTCGATTTAGTTTTTTTACTGCTCGAGGACGGACAACTTTGCAAGCTTACTAATTCAACTATCGCGTGGTTATTTCAGCGTTATTGTTGGTAACGTGATGACGTTACACGGCGTGTTTTAATGACCTGAGATAACTTTGGTAAAACGCAGCGCGTTTTTATCCCACATTAGCGTTTCCTCTCGGTGTGAAACCGTCTGAGCGCCAGCTTGAAACATTTGAGCTTTTCATGCCAAAGCCAACGTTGGTTTGCGTCTTTACCAATGGTTTGATACCGTTGTTATTCGTAATTTATTTAACGTTACGTGACGTAACGCACTTGTATTCTGACACGTTAAACGCATCCAAACGGCTCAGATCGGGAGCGCGCGCGCAGAACGACGGGTGACGTAACATCCGGATTTCAGAACAAGAGCGTTTACTAATCGCGTAGGGTGGAGACGAGATCTAATGAATTATGTTCACATTTAGTATAAAACATGTTCTGAATTTAGCTTGTCAAAGAGAAAAATACCAGAAAGGAAATATGTCCACTGTACAACTATTAAGAGAATTATTCTAAATAAAAGTAGTGTATTTTCCGTTTTCAAAAGCGTATTTCTCAATATTTGAGCTGCATTAAAACTGGTTTTCCAATAATTCCACACAATGACTTCGTATATTAATTACATCTCCGATATACCGGAAATTACATTTTTACTGTACAAATTTATTTAGAGATTTCTCGGAAATAAAATTCTTCTATTTGTATGTTCATAAAGCTAATATCTCAATATTGGAACCTACAAATATAGGACTCTCATGTTGGAGAAATCTCTAAATTTGTAAGGTAAAATTATTTCATTTTCGGTATATAAGTAGTCGGAGAGGTTCTTTACACATGTAGATTATTCTTTTTTTGGAATTTTGGTAGAAAACCCTTTTTATTGCAGCTAGAATATATAAAAATAGGACTTTTACTTTATACAGTAAAAATATTTTATTTTTGTTGTACGGATAGTTCGCATGTACATCAGTCATGGTCTGGAATTATTTGGAAAGGCCTTTTTGTTGCAGATCATATATTGACACATTAGCTTTTTTGGCTAATATTGTGTAGGACATTTATTTCTGTACAAACAGAGAATTTAAATTGTTACAGTAAGAATGTTTTCTTTTCGGTCTGTCTTGACCATGTAAATCTGAGTGCCTGCTGAGGTGACCGCAGTAACATTCTAAAGATATTATTACTCTTTTGCTCATATTTTCAGTCAGTGATTTCACTGTTTGCAGCTCATAATGGAGGAGAAGGAGAACAGTGCTTTAAAAAGACCGAGAGAACCCGTGTGGGAAGACAATGTCCCCTCCACATCAGGTTGGTTTCGGCCTGCATTAAAAGCACTGATGGGCCAATAGTAGAGAACAACATTGGCAATTGCCGAAAACGGGCTCATATCTTTATCCAAATCACAAAAGTCCTCTGCAGGATATTTGACTTTTGTCCCTGTGACGTCAGAGGGGAACGATGAAAAGAAGCGGCGGCGGCTGGAGGCGGCCGGTCAGAGTCCAAAACCATCCTCGTCAGGACTCCAAGCGGAGTTCTACTCCAAGCCGGACACACCGATGGTTCCGTCAGTCCGGTCCAGGATCCAGCAGCTCAGCCGAAGACGAGAGGGTAAACCGACCGTTTGCTGTTGATGCGGGCGTGCTTATAGTCACTGTCTGTCATTTTGGGTCCACTTAATATTAAAAACAAAACAACTTGACTGCAACACTGCAATTCAACATACTGATCACAGTCTACAGCCCCAGAAATGACCATGAAAAGACATCAACACATCAGAAGGATTCAACAAAAAGCCCTATAACGTTATGCTGTTTTGCACAGCTGTTGTTTTTAGAACGCGTTGCCTTTAGCTTGGTGGAAATAACACAGTGTTTATCCGTCCAAATGTGTGCAGCAAAGTCTATAAATGGTAGCACGGCACGCCAGGCAGCCAAGTCGAGCTGGAGTTCCTGGATTCACGACCACTGTGACGGTGCTAAACAATCAGTGAGGATCCAGCGTGTCGGTGTGTTGGATAAATATTGTAGTTTTGATGTTTTAGGGGCATCTCCGCTGGCCCAGCGGTGCCTCTCGGATCCTGGGGGGTGCAGCCCGTCAGTCCCCCCCTATGGAAGGGTCTTCAGAGAGGCTGCCATTGGTGAGGATGCAAATGATCAACACATTAAAAAAAAACATGATGCTTATCACAGAACCCAGGGTTCTGATTCGGTTTATTACACGCATTCTCCGTTAACCGACTGGCAAAGTGCACGGTTTATGATTAAACACTTTCTTCTGTATTTAGCTAACTAGCTGTTACAATGGAGCCTGATAAAGTGTGCTAATGCAAATTGAGGATATTTTCTAATCGTGCCATAACTATATTTAATCAGCACAGTGACCAGACGTTTCTCTGAATTATTTTGATTAATTAGGATATTTACGTAACGAGTATTTGCGTTATGCTACAAATCCACAGTGAGTCCATTCACTCGTATTTAAAGAGAATCAATGTGACGTTGAATGACGGCTGGCAGGCGTAGCTCCTGTTGTCGTCTTTTCTTAATTCCATCTCCCGTTGATATGAGTTTTGTGGACGCTAAAGATTAGTAGTGCAGCGTGTTGAATGTGCCAAACCTCCTGCAGATGCACTGCTGCTCCAGTCGAGGCTCCTCGTGTCGTCAGGCACTTTGATTTTTTTCCTATTTTCTTTCTTTGTTTGAGTCTAAATAAATGATTTCCTTTTCAGGTCAGGCGGAGTTTCATCAGCGACTGGAGCGTTTTAAGTCGCCCGACTTCCGGGCTTCTACCGCTCGAACGACGGGCCCGGCCACCACCCCCCAGATGACCCGCTCCGACTTCGTGTCCGCCATTCAGCAGAAACTCCACAGCACTCCAGCACCCAGCTCAAAGCAGGCTTCTCGCATCCACCAGGTCGGATTAGGACCCTTTGTCTGCAGAAATGCATTAACGCCGTTCTAGTTCTCGTACTCGAATGAACCCAAACGAACGATCAGAGAAGTCACCGATACGCATCATATCACGTGGAACAAGAACTGAAGAATGTCTGTCGTGGTTGAACTCATCAGGAACGAGAAGAGGAGATGAACCAGTTGCCTTTCCAACCAATCAGTGAGAACGCCTGGCTGAAGAGGAGCATCTCCGATCCCGCGACGACTCGGGTGGGTTTGTTGACTTCGTAGACTCGCTACCAAACTCACTCGCTTTCAGCTTTGCTGTCTAATGTGTTTGAATACAATGTTCCACTGCCATTTATATGAACCTATGGGGGGAAGTTTAGTTCTTGAGAAATATCTAGTGATATACGATAGTTATTACATTTACAAGTAGGTGGCATGTAGTGCATTCACTACAGTGAGGGCACCATGCGCTGCAGACCAGTGGTGACTCCTGCTTCAATGTGCTTTTGTGGACGTGATTGTCTGTTTGGATACTTGGTGAGCTTGTTCTTTTTTGAGGATTCTTCACACGTCAGTGCATGTGAACACCGGGTTCTTGGACCTACAGGAAGAGTCCATTCGCTTCCTTTGCATGTGATTCTGTGACCAACTTCGCGCTCCTCTTTCTGGTCACGCCTTGAGCCGCAATGTGGCCGCTACGTATCAGGGCAGTGACAAGTGTCATTGGATAACCGACGACGGCAACTCAACTGCAAGATGCACTGTTTCATTACGTTTCTCTTTCGCGTTTGTATCTGCTGTGATTATGTTGCCTTGACGAACATTAAACCCGTGCTCTGCATAACCGCCTCTCGTTTCTTGTTTTTTCCCCCCCGTGCTGATGCCATTGCTTCCGGCAGAGGAATTGTGACGTTGGGCTGAAGGACTGCAGCTTCTCTGACGCGATCACGGCGTGCAAAGAGGAGCGATCTTCACGTGGCACAGGTGAGGCCTTTGCATTCAAACGGTCATTTTGGTTGGTTAACGAGTTTGATAAGTATGGCAGCCTTCTTGTTGAGTGCTGTTGCCTGACCCCCCCCGTTGATGATCGTACCCCAAAAAATCCAGGTTGGGGCTCTCGTACGAACAAATGCATGCAAATGTCTGGCTATCGTATTGCTAAGATATGAGACTGCTTTCCCAACAGGTGGCTGTGACGCTCACGTGGAGCTTGACCGCTCCAATAAGGAGCAGCTGCTCCCGGGACGGGAGGAAAGGGGTGAAATCGGGGCGGAGGAAGGAAATGAAGTCGGGCCGTCGGGGACCCGACAACCACCGACGGTGTTGAGGTTGTGCTTCAACGAGGAGCAGAGTTTCTCCGAAGCCCCTCTCGGCGAGGGGCGGAGTGTGGCAGCGGTCGAGGTTTCCATGGCGACCGAATTGTCTTGGCGCGACGGAGGAGGCGGCTCCTCGTGCAGCGGAGAGGGGATTGAGCTGTCGGAGGATGGGGAGCTGCGTTTGTGGCGATATCCTCGAGACGGGCAAGAGTCCGTTGCAGATGGAGAACAGGAGGACGTTTTTGTCAAAGAGGAGGAGGAGGAGAGAGAGTTCGAATCATCCAGAGTGGACAAAGTGGAACCAGGTTGTGGCGCAGAACACGTCCCGGATGGGGGATGTCAGTCGGGGGACGGCCCCGTTGAGATGCAGGAAGACGGGAATTGTAGACCTGAGGAGTCCCAAAGCTCTTCAGATGAACCCGTAAGACGCCCGTCTAATTCGGGTGGAGACAAAGCGTCCCGTGGGGGACTTCATGACGGAGCGGGCACAGAAGGCGTCGATGTTTGTATCATAAAACTAAGCCAGAAAGACGTAGGCGGATGTGTTGAAAGGGCTGATCGACAGTCAAATGAGATCCAGTCAGTTCGCATCGAAGGAGACGACACGGATGTCGAGTCGGACAGAAGCGGCGGCGGCGAGCGCGAAACGGAGGGTTCTCCTCCGGCGGAAACGCCGACTGGTTGCACGGAGCTCCAGATAGACGTCGAGGTTGAGGCGGCGTCATCGAACGCTGATGGAAGTTCGACGCGGGTCGCGGGGTCGGATCACCTTTCGCAGGGCGAGCAAACGGAGCGGGACGCGCTGGGCGGGAGGCGGGGCGGTGCAGACGGGCCGGGCCCCCTCAAAGCGGAGGGAGCGGGGCGCCCAAAGAAAGTCGCCTTCGCCCCGGAGGCGAACGCCTCCACGGGGTCCGGCGCAGGCGGCGGCGGCACGAACGGTGAGACGGGCCCGGGGACTACCAGAAGCTCCTGGGTCACACAGGGGGGGGGCGAACTGGGTAGACTGGAAACACAGTGGACTCGCCGGGTGTCTAGACGTCCCAACATGCTTTTCCCACCTTCACACGTGCACGGACGTTATTTCGAGAACTGGGTGTCTCCCCGAATCATTCAGCTTGGGTATGTGGGCAGTTGGTGTTTCACAGGAGAGGGAACGAAATAAGAAGTTCTTAAGTTCTTCACTTTCACACCCAGTTGGTTTTTCGGTTTCAGAAGGTGCCCTCACACCTTTTTGTGAACGTGTGTTTTTGTTTTTTTTTCCCCCCCACAGATGCTGAGCTGAATTCTTCCCATGACACCAATACGTCCCAAACCATCGACCAGATGTTCGAGGAGGTGCTGGAATGTGCTGGAAGGGTGGATGGGGAGAGGAGGGGAGATAAAGACCCCGACAGTGGCATTGGCGTTTCCCCCGGGGATAAGGACGAGCCAGACGAAGAGGAGGAGGAGGAGGAGGAGGAGGAGGATGGCGGCGGCGAGTCCAAGGAAAAGCCGTGCGATGGGAGCAGGAGGCCTGAAAGCAGCAGCGACGAGCTGACCTTCCCTCCCTGCGGCATCCTCTCTCCTCTCAGTAGGTCCGTGGCGGCCGTGGTCACCCCCCTGGTAGGTTGTTGCGACGTTTTGAGTTCCCCTGTGTATCAATTCAAGACCCGTGTGAAGAAAAATGTGTCCCGTGTTTGACCACCAGCGGCGGGCGGCGAGCCACGAGTGCGACCCTTCCCCAGGCGAGCGGCCCCCGCCTCCTCCTCTGTACAGGTAACGACGACTTGCCCCCCCCCCGTCTTCGGCCCAACGCATCGAAGCTGTGCGTGATGTTTCACAGCGGAAAGACGGTGAAGCTTTACGACTTGGTCCCTTTTGTTGATTCGTCTTCTGTCCCGTTCGTTTTTTTCCCGGTGTTCTCAGTATCGAGGACTACCGCACACAACGGCAGAGCGCGCTGCCCGCCGCGCCGAGCGCCGCTTCCGATGTCCGGGGACGAGCTGCAGAGAAGCCTCGACCTCAGACCTCCGTCAGCACCAAGGAGAAGATCACGGTGGGGGCGACGCCGCGTCATGAGCTCTTACGTGTTACTCCGTAAACGTGTGCGGAGTGTCGCTGATGTCCCGTCTGTCCAGGCGCTGCGGGAGGAAGCGGCGAGGCTGCAGACGATGATCAAGCAGACCCTGCAGGCCCTGAGCTGCTGCACCGACGAGGAGCACGGACGGGGCTCGCTGGAGGAGGCCGAAGCCGAGAAGCTCCTCCTCGTCTCCTGTGAGGTTCTCCGTTTGTTCGGTGTCCCGGATGAGACGCTACGTTCGCGCTGGAAACCTGCGAGCAAAATGTTTCCATTGTTATTTTTTAATCTTTCACACGTTAGATAACGAGAACAGCAGAATAAGACGCATCCATCCATCTGTTGGTTGCAAAAGAAAGCCGGCATTTGAGTATCTGAGCCCCTCCGTGCCGGAAGTATTTCCCAGTTGTGTAAATATCAACCAATTGTTGGTCGGGTTTATTTAAAGGCCTTTGACACACAGAAATATCCAGTAGTTTAGTTTCATCGTGTGTTTCTTGCTTTTGAGGACCTCGAATAGAAGCGACTGTGAGTGAAAGCTGATGAACTAACGCCGTTGGCCGCGGGATGAATGTAAGCCGGACTGATTGACAGCCCCCCCCCGTGTCCCCCGTTGTCTCAGCTGAGAGGCGCTCGGCCCTGCTGGCGGAGGTGTCCAGGCTGCGGGAGGAGGGGACCTCCGAGTCCGGAGGAGACGGCGAGCGCGTTTCCCAGCAGCCCTGCAGAGGGACGGTCCGCATCGCAGACATCCAGCTGCCTCTCAAGGTGGAGTTTGTCTGCTCCTCCCACAAGCGCGCAGGTACCCGCCCGGCCTCATGGTGCACGCTACTCCGATGCGATTTGCAGGATTAAAGCGACAACCTTTCTTTGCTTCAAAACGATCGTCCTATGGAACACTGTAGGTCGGCCAAGCCACTACTTTTTCGTGCTGATCCGCTACGGGCCGTGCAACGTGGTCGCCACGCCGCTGGCCACGGCTGCCGACGCCCAGAGCGGGGACGCCATCTCCTTCCAGACCTCCGTCACGCTGTAAGCTGCTCTGCGGGGGACTTCGTCTCGTTCGCCTCCACGGCCGCTCAGCCCAAACAACCGAGGATGAGGTTTTAAAACCACGACCCAGACGTGATTGTAGACGATTGCATGTAATCGTGTTTTTAACCCCGTAGGAAAGACATCCGCTCGACCTTTGCCATTGACGTCGAGGTCTACAGCCTGGTGAGACGACACGTCCTCCCTTTCTATCGGCCGCGCCCGTTGCACAGTCATGGAACATCAGCGTTGTCGTTTGCCTTGTCCCTCTAGTCGCACGTGTCGGGGAGTAAGTCCAGCGCGGATCAGACCTCCACCAAGTCGCGGGTGAGTCAGTGGGGCCGATAATGAGCCGGGTGTGAAACCACCGGCGGCGTCCGTTATGTTGTCCTCTGCTCCTCAGGTCACGCCAAGAAAGCTGCTCAACACCATCACGGTGAGTGTCCCGTCCCGTCCCGCGCTTCGCGCCGGCCGTTTTTCCACATTGCACCTGAACCCCTTTTTTTTCCCCGTTTGCCACAGAGATCCAGTAACAGTGTGACATGTAAGTGGAGTATTCGTTAAAGCACGAGGAGGGATCCTTTCCTCCAAGCGCTCAAATGCCAGCGAGTCTTCTGACACGAAAAGAACTGCTTCAAGTCGTGTTTGTCTGCTCTTCAGCTGCGGCTCCCCCTGCTCTCAACGCCTCTCGCTCCAGCAACTTTGTTCTGGTCGGCTCCCATCAGATCACCTTGGCCTCGCTGGGACACAGCAAGTTCCCCCTGGATAAGGTAACGGCTGCCGGCGTGTTTCTAGACGTCTGAGCGTCTGACGCGTGACTGTTGGTCACAACCAAGAGGCTGCTGGAGACTTTCAGCGATGTAAAACAACTATAATCTCCTGTAGCGTATTTTTCCGCACTATACGGCGACGTCCTCTTTCCCCCGGACATGTCCTCCTTTTTGAGACCTAAAAAAATGCGTCCGGCAGGGATCCCCAAAGACGTCCGGGATGTTGCTTCGTGGGATATTTCTGTTTCTCTTTCACAAACCACGTGCTGCACACGACGCAACTAGTGGCGGCGGCCGGGTTGCTCGGTGTCGCCAGATTGGAAATGGAGACGTATCGTACCAAAGGCTCAAAATGGGCGTATTTGGAGGATAATTATGAGATCGGAAATCGACCAATGGGGGTTCTCTCTACAGTCAGAGCTCGCGCAACAAGGTGGGACGTAAGGGAGACGCCGTTTACGACACTTAAGGGCGGAATAACTAGTTTGTGAAAGACCTTTTTATTTAGATATTTATTATTTTTGGTTTTTCATACTGAAACATTTTGGCGCCTTGAGGCTTTTACGTGCGGCTTAGTGCGGAAAATACGGTAAGTTGGAGGGTTCTTTAGTCGTAGGGAGGTAAAGCGTGACTCATTCAGCACCGCTTTCCACCCGTTTGGTGCTTTTGGGATTCTGTCTGATGTTTCCACACATGGGCGGGTTCACGGGTGATGTAACATGTCTCCCCTCTCCTCCCCTCCCCCACACACCCCCTTTCTCTGTCTCCCTTCTTCCCCCTCAGATGAAACTTGATGGCAAAATCAGGAGGCTGCTCGGGGAGGAATTTCAGGAAAAGGTTTTCACGCCGCTGTCGGCCTTTCGCCGACTAACCGTGTTCGTCTGGCGCTGACATGAAATCTGTTTGTGCAGCAACTTTTGTTTCATAAGTTTGTCAAAAATCAAAGACAATCTTACTGCATTGACTTTAGAGATAAGAGGGACATTTCCTTCCTGGTGCATAAACCTTTTGACGTTTTATTCTCTGCACATGTCTCACTGAAATGTACGGTAACAGCAGCCGTTGCCGCGGTGACGCCTATTTGTCGTGCGTAACGGGTCCGAGTAGTTGGATTCCAGGTGCCCACTCTTTTTAAGAATGTTGGAATGAGAAGTCGTAGTCCTCTTCCCGTTTCCCGCTGCTCTCCCTGTTTCACACGTTAAACCGCGGGGTTCTCCCCCCCTTCCTCCCCCCCCCCCCCCCGGCGACTGCAGGTGCCTTTTCTCTCGCCCCTGGAGGGCAACATCTACCTGCGACTGGACAGCGACGGTCACTCCGACGTCCAGCACCAAGGCTTCCTGGTCAGTGATGTGTGAAACCTGCCTGGCTACGTTACGATTACACCGTTTTCACCCCTTGATCCAGACCCATGTGGAGCGGCGAAGTCGAACTCTCTGTCCTGTGGATCTGTTTCCAGACGATGTTCGAGTTGGTCGGTGGGTTCGGGGTGTGGCGTCGCCGATATTTTGTCCTGGTGGGCTGCGACATGTTTCACTGGAACAACCCCAACGACCGAGAGAGCAAGGTAGGGACGGAACCCCGGTAGAGACCCCCACCCCCCACAGCCCGAGTCGCTCCTCAGCCACTGCCTTGTTCCCTGTGCCCACGTCCCAGGAGGCCGAGGGCAGCGTTTCCCTGTCCAGCTCCCGCAGCCGCTGCGTCCGCAGCGTGAAGAGAGACGCGTGTGCCCGACCTTTCACCTTTGAGCTGGTCAGCAGCGTCCCCGAGCAGCAGGACGCCGGCGCCAAGTAAGGGGACACTGACCTCTGCGGGGGGGGGGGGGAAAGTGGACTGTGATCAATGTTTTCGTAGGAGGCCTTTCGCCCTGCGAGTTGTTTCCTCTCTCACCACGCTGATGCTTGTTGTTGTTGTTGTTGTTCAGGTTGTGGTTCTCAGCCGACAGCAAACAGGAGAGTCTGGACTGGATGGAGAAGCTCAATCAGTCGCTGTTGGACTTCAACACGTGGAGGCAAACGTCTGCAGCTCCAGTGTCGGCCGGTCAGTCGGACGCGTGCAGCAGTGGGAAGCTGAGGGAGAGCATTCTGTGAATCACACGTCCGCCTCCTCGTAGTTTACCTTGTTTACCTCCGAGTGGCAGCAGGTGATGTTCTTCTTCATCGCCTGTCTAGCAATTGAAATATATATTATTTCCTTTTTAAGAGATCTATATCTATTTGATTTTCCCATTGTTTATTTCCTGTCTAATCTGAAATCATTCTTTTTTTTTTTTTAACTTTCATATTCTTATTTTCTTCATTATTTGATTTGGAACTAGTTTTGTTTTGACATTTTGGGGGGCGAATCAGCTGCTTTAGCCTTTGTTGGCTAGAAAATTTTGTCACTTTTGGAAGCTACAGGAAAACTTCTGGTAGCTTCTATATATATATGAGATCATTTACACATGTATTGCAAATCATATTGTGTTTTTGTAGACTGAAGGATGAACAATGTGTATCGATGTGCAGTGTTGAAGGACTAATGTAGGCGGGAGAGGTGTGAGGACGCGCTGCTCCTGTTGACGTGTCCATCATAGGGGACGTTTGGCTGTGAACAGTTTCAAATGCCACAATCGCCTGGTTCTCCGTCCCGCGGCCTCGCAGGGTTCTTCCATGTACCCCACCTGTATTACCGCACACGTGTGAGCCCTTCAGGTGGCTTATAAACCCACGTTATGCATCATACGACAAAAGAATGACCGTAGTGTGTTTGGTCTGATGTCTGTCTCCTTTTACGTGTGCGTCCACCTGTCCGTCTGTCCCTCTTTGCTCTACACAATATTCATGTGAACTCATTTTCTATGCATTCATTGGAGCTGTCTGTACAATAAATGGATTGAAATGGCTACGAAACGGTTTACGTCTTTGACTAATACAAGCAGGGGTCTTTCACGAAGAAGCCGGGGCATATATATATTTATTTATATATATATATTTTTTTTTTTAAATATTTTTTTATTTTTTTTTATTTATTTATTTTAAAAATAATATATATATAAATTTTTTATTTATTTTTATTTATATATATAATAAAAAATATATATATATTTTTTTTCTATTATTTTTTATTATATATATATTTATATATAAATAAAAAAATATAATATATATAAAGATATTTCCTCTTTCTTCATCTTGGGTAGTGCTGCTCTCAGCGTCACGGTCATTTGAAGCGGTCTCAGACAAACTGGCGTCTGAGGTTTGCATACGGCTGCACACATAAAGCACTGCGGCGGGGAGCCATAGTCGCGCTATACGTACGATAGTCGAGTCGGAGAGCGGCAGGAAGGCGGCTCCGCTCAGGAATGTCATACAGGAAGTGGTCTGGAATTAGACTTCCTGTTAGTCCCTCGGCTCCTCTGGTTGCCGGCGCTGCTGGCTGTCACGGAACCCGATGTGGTTACAGCCACGGGGGGGTCGGTGCAGCTCATACAGCCGTGTAACCTGGTACTGCAGGAGGTTCTATACGGTCAACCGCTGCAGGTATTTTTCACTTCTGGAATGTTCGTAGTCAGGTCTTAAAACTCTGATCTGACTCATTCTGACTGTTTTCTCTACATTTTCATTGCACGAGAGAACAAAGTGCGTCCTCACGGTGGCACTAGATGCCAGCCGGTCCAAAAGGACCAAAGCTCCATCGCCGCCATCGGGTCTGAATTGTTGGACTTCACCTTTTTTATTTCCTGTTTGCAGCCCTCAAGGCCGGCTTGTAGACGCTGGCCGGGCACAGCTGGTCAGCGACGAGGGCCCCGCCCTGACAGGAACACCCGACTGCACAACATCCTGGCGTCCAGCCTCGGCTCCTCGCCTCGCGGCTGTGATGGAGCTGGCACGGAGTGGCAGAGGCTTGGGGTGGTCGGTCTTTTTGGGACAAACAAAAGACGATTCCTCCCCTCAACAGGAAGGAAGGTTAAAGGATTGTTTCGTTTCCAGCAGCAGCATCACACAGCTGACGAAGACCAAAACAACAAGTTAGGAATCACGAGGCCGAAACCCAGCTGACCTGGTGGGAACTCACCGATCGTTTGCATGTTTCAAAAATCTTCTTAATGGCTGAATGCTTAGTCACTGTTGTGGAGATACTGGGACTGAGTCACGGGGAGGGTCCAAGTAAATCATAGGGCGCCTTTCTCACAAAAACAACACGGGAACACATTGTAGCCTTTCCAAGCGTACCTCACTGACACACTTTAAACGTGCATGAGACGAATGTTAAGTGCGGCACTGAAAGCCCTCCCCCCCCCCTCCCATCCCGACTTGGCACGCTCCCCGCTGCCTTCCGAAGAGGTCCGGGAAGCTCTGAGGCGTAAACAAGGCGGCCGGTGCAGAGGAGACACCAAACCTCCCGCTGGTGGTGGCAGCTGGATCGGAGAGGACAGCCGTCGCGTCTCACTAATGACGGTCTGACGACTCCGCCTCTGCAGGCCCCTGCAGGCCCCTGCAGGCCCCTGCAGGCCCCTGCAGGCCCCTGGGGTTAGCGCAGTTGTCATGGAGATGGTTTTGTTACCTCATACATACACATATATACATATTTTTCTGAAAGCTTTTACATCACAACGCTGAGGCGAATATTCTGAGCTAATAGGGCTGAGAATTACAGCACTCTCTCCCCTCTCCTCCCCCGGCTCCCTCCCTTTCCTGCTGGCCTCTCAGCAGAGGATGTGTGTCAGGGAGAGAGAGAGAGAGCAGTCAGTAGAATGGATCTGTGGCCTCTCTCCTCCACGCCGCCGCCTTCTCCTCGCTCTCATTTGCGTCCCTCGCCCTCAGTGCCTCGGGGGAGAAGGCAGTTGTCGGAGGACCAAACTCAATGTCTGCCGGGGACCACGAGAATGGAGGAGACCAACCAGAAGGTAGCTGGACCCACACACACACACACACACACACACACACTTTGCCAGTTGACAACATCGCTGGAAGGCCGACGCCCATTTCTTCTAAAGCCTGCCAATAGCGAGAGAAGGACGAATGCGGCGACACGGTGGTCTTCGAGGCGAAACAGAAAGCTGCCTGAGGTTTGAATGACGAGTTATTCGGGCGTTGAGTGATCGTCGATTGGCGGGCGTTTGCCCGTCGGGCGTGATGAGGCGTCAAGTCGGTGCAGCAGACGTGTCAATAACCAGACATTTAGTCCCTTTCGTCCGTTCAAACCCTCCAACGGGGATCCTGAAGTTTGCATAATTCGACCGCCGAAGCATCTTTGGACTTTCTGTCGGTGAGACGCACCGCGTGTCCCTTCAGGAAGGAGACGTGCATTAGAAACAGCCCTGCGTGCACGACCTCGGGTCATCGGGTCGACGGGTCGACGGGCCCGGAGGCTTGTTGCTGCAGATGAGCGTCCAGCACCGGCGTGTGCGTGTGCGTGTGCATGTGGTGAGGAACAGCAGGGAGTCCCGTGACCTCCAGTGAGAGAGACACAGTCCCGTTGTAGTCCTAACTCGCGTAATCAGTCAAAACGAAGACCAATGAGGACGAGTCCCCCGAATGGAAGCGTTGTCTCTGCCTGAGACACGAGGTCTCGCTTACCCCGTTTATCTCGTTTACATTGAGGCAATCCATAAAATGATGGAATGAAAGATTCTATTTTCATTGAGTAAAACACATCTGGTCATTGGTAGTTTAATGGCAGCGAATAAATCATCTGCGTTTGTATTTAGTCTATTCAACTCCTCAAACATCTGGATTCGTTCAAGTTTCTCAGTAACTACACATTTAACCAGGTGATATTTCAACGCATCATTATAATTTCCCTCTTTAGCTGAACGGCGCCTTGACTCCATCATCGCCACTTAATCAGGCCTCCTCCGCAATTTTACATTTTGGGGAAAAATGCGTATGGTTCTCCACGGAATTCTGACATTCCCTTTTGTAGGATCTGAACAAATTTGACATTCGAGCCGACAAAAAAATGCTGTTTTTGAGTAAGTGAGGAGAGATCTCCAGAGGCCTGGTGCGCTCACACGACTCTGTGCTCGGGGGTCAGAAGCGGCGGCGGCGGCGGCGGCGGCGGCGGCGGCGGTGTGGCCGGAGGTGGAGCGGGCCGAGTCTCTGGCCCGCGGGGCGGCGCTGAAGTGGGCCTCGGGGGTCTTCTGCCGGCCTGAGCACCTGGAGCGACTGGGCCAATACAGGAAGAGGGAGAGTCAGAGGACCTCCTCCGTTCACGCCAGGCTAAAGGTGACATCACACACACACACACACACTCGATACGACGTCGCCTCCGTTTATTAAACGATGCTGCTGCTTCTTTCCTCGCAGTCCATGGTGCAGTCGTACCTGGAGGGGGTGGGCTGGGGCCTGCAGCAGCTGCGGGAGGCCCGGTTGGAGCTGAGGGACGCGTCCCACGCCCTGAAGAAAGCGGGGCTGGAGTCCAGTCGCAACGCCGGGGGCGGCGGAGACCCTGGAGGGGCTGAGGGAAGTGTCCGTCGGCCACCGCCAGCTGCTCGCCGCCGTCAGCAACCTGCCGCGCCTCTACTCCGGTGCGGTCCCATCGGGGGGGGGGGGGGGGGACAAACCAACACCGCATGAGTTGTCTGAGGAAATGACCTCCGCCCTCTTTTTCCCGTCCGCAGTGCGGGGCATGGTGTTGGAGACGGAGCGCCTGGTGGAGTCCCGGCGGCTCCTGGAGGCCCACGCCCGTCTGATGGATCTGGAGCGCTGGCGGGGCGACGTCCTGCGGCAGCTCCCCGGCGGGGCGGAGGGGAGCGCGCTCAGCGCGGGCGACCGGGAGCTGGTGGCCGGATACTTCTCCGGCGTCGGGCGGCTGGTGGACGCCCTGGGTGAGGACCCGCGTTCACGTCGGCGCCACGCGGTCACTCTGCTTGTTTTTTGGAAATTTGGAGATGGAAATGTACACGTGTCCGTCATCTTTCCTCCCGGTTTCCACGCTGGGAAGGAACTTCATGTTCAGAAAACCGCGTAAAGGAACCAAAAGGTCTCGCTTCTGCAAAGGCACATCGATTAATGAGATTCTCCGCCCCCCCCCCCCCCCCCCGCGTCCTCCCGGGCGCCGCAGGCAAGGAGCTGTGGGCGGTGGTGAGCGGCGCCCTGGCTTCGGCCCGCCAGAACCCCACGCCGTTCGTCTCCGCGGTGAGGATCGTGGAGCGGGAGGAGGCCCTGGACCGCGCCGCGCTGGAGGAGCGCGGGGGCCCCACCGACCCCGGCGGGCCGCCGCCGGGACGCCCCCGCCGCTGGAGGGCGCGCTTCTTCCAGGCACGCGGCACACCGTCGAGTTTCTTCCCCCCCCCCCAACAAACGCCCCCATCTCAGTAACCCTTCCGTCGCCTTGCCCCCCCCAGGTGCTGGAGGAGGCGGTCTCGTCGCGTCTCCGCAGCGTTTCCTACCTGCACGCGCGCGGCCCGGGCCTGGCGGGCCACCTGGCGGCCCTGCAGCACGGCGTCATGGCCGACCTGGCCACCGTGCGCCACCTGCTGGAGCACTGCGTGCCGCCGCACTACCGGCTGACGGGGGCCTACCTGAGGGCCGGCCACCGCTGGCTGCAGGCTCACCTGCTGCAGGTCAGTGAGGAGGGAGGGAGGGAGGGACCCGCCCCCCGTTGCCCCCCGTTGCCCCACCGTTTACATGCGTCGGTAATGGGTGCTTGTGGTCTAGGTCAGCGGCTGGGACCTGGAGAGCGGGGAGATCTTTGCTGTGCTCAACTGGGTGCTGCACATCTACAACGGGTGAGATTCGGGGGCCTGCGTGGACTCTGCTTTGCGTGCATTGGGTACATTTAGAACACTGTAGTGAGGCGGGGGGCGGGGGGGGGGCGGGTCATCGAACGCGTCCGAGCAAATGAGCAAGCTGTCCGCTATAAAAGAGTCTGTCCGTTGTCTCTGCAGACTCTCGACCTTTCACTTCAGATCCAGGCGATTGCTTTTTTTAACAAAAGCATGTTTCCCCCCCGTTTCCTTCTCTGGCTTATCATCTTGCATCCTTCCCTCGGCGTCCTGTGGGTGTCGTCTCTCTGAGCTCATGTTGACGGATGGAGCTTAGGCTCTTCGTCGGTGGCACGTGACACCCCGATGGATCTTTTAATGAATGTCCGATTTGAGCTCTTTTTCCTCCAGTGCATGAGAAAGGTCCCTCGGTATTTCCCTGCCACCTGATCTTCGGCGTTCCCCCTCCTACCCCCCCCCCCCCCCACCCTCACTAAGAAACCGAGTGACGCTGTGGCCTTCGTTCCCGCAGAAAAAGCCCCCAAAAAGCCGCCTTCCACTACGTCCCGCCTCGATGCCGCAATGTTCCGTCGTCACAGAAGCAACGATTTTCCTCGAGAGCTTCTTGAATCTATTAAATCTTTTACCTCATGCCTCGTAAACACCTCGGGTTTGGGGTTTGTGAGGTTAGTAAAGGGATGCGTGTGGAGAAAAGCTCTTTGTAAAGCTGTTGACTGTGGCGATGTCGCTGTCTGAAGCCCGGACATGATGGGCGACCCAGAGCTGGTGGCTGAGATGCAGGACCTGGAACTGGGGCCTCTGGTCTCCGCCGGGGGACTGGAGCAGTTGCAGAACAAATACGTGCAGAGCGTTCGGGTGAGTTCACCACTTCTTCTTCACGCAAAGCCCTAAAACACTGGTGCTGTAGATCTATATGATTGACAGTTGCCATCAACCAAATAAAAACTGCTGGCGTGTGCGCGTGCAGAAGAGTGTGTCGCAGTGGATGCACAAAGCCCTCCAAGTGGAGTTGCAAGACTGGCAGAGGGACCAGGAACCAGATACAGACCATGAAGGTTTCTACCACACTAGCTTGCCCACCATCATCACACAGGTAAACACGCACACATCTTATCGATATTATCATCTTACCAGCTAGATCCTCAGTGAAAATGTCCGAGTACAGATCCGTCCTAAAAGGAGTGAAACCTTGTCTCTTCTTCCAACCCTTCTCGCTCTGAACTGCCCTGTCGGGATCACAGTATTCAGCAGTAACACGTTGCTGCAGTAGAGGGTGATGTTCTGTGCTGGTCTGTTTGTGGGGCCGTGGCAGATGCTGGAGGAGAACGCCCGGGTGGCCCGGATGATCGGGGAGCACCTGCGCGATCAGACCATACGGATGGGACTGCATGAGATGGAGAACCTCCTGAACAGGTGCGCATTGGTGCAGGCTGAGCTTGCGGCCGCAGGCAAGGAAGCATTAACCCCCCCTGACCCCACCTTACCTTCACCTCCATCCCTTCACATCACAGGTTTCGAGAAGCTCTGGTGGAATTTGGGAAGGAGCACCGCAGGGATCCGAGCAACAAGAACAAGTTCTACCTCCACTATCTGCTGGCCTCCATCAGCAACTGCATCATCCTCAAGTGAGATGGGGTTTATCGCGCAGATGTTTGGGACACACAGAGCGTAACATTGTTTGGTGGCGGCGTGATCGAACTGGTCGTCCCCATCACAGTCCTCTGTGCTCGCTGCAGAAACTCCACAGAGCGTCTGCAGAAGCAGCAGTCGTCCTGCTCGGCGGGAGCTTTCTCCCGGACCCCTCCCAACCCCCTGGCAGCTCTGGACCGGGCCGTGAGACGGGCGTGTCGCCTGGCGATGGACCAGCTCCTGCTGGACCTCCAGCCCTTCCTCCCGGGCCTCCTGACCCGATCCTGGCTGGTCCGGGGAGACCCCACCCCCAAGCTGTGCCACGTCCTGGAGCGCCACGTGGAGATGCACGGCCGCGTGCGGCCGCCCTGCAGACAGGTCTGAATCCGCGCGGATGGCGTTCGGCTCCTCAGCGGTACGGCTGCTTTGGGGCCACATTTTGTCCACGGCATGTTGTCCAAAGGTTCAGCGGTTGCAGATGAACGTGCAGGATGCGTGTTAATGCAAGTCACGTGGTACGATCTTACTAGTTTGAACCCCCGCCATCGCTCCAAAGCGTGTGCTGTGTGCGTGCTCCCCATGCAGCGCCTGCAGGAGGAGGCCCAGTGGCTCACGGTGGTGGAGTACGTCCGGGCCCTCATGCAGAAGAGGCTGGTGTGTCGCAGCGCCGAGGAGAGGGGGCAGCTCGCCCGGCAGATGGTCCAGGACGACGCGCGGTTCAGGGAAGTCCTCCACGGCCTGGTGAGGGGCAGCCGACTCTTTTTCTCGTTACAAACGGGCCGTTAGGAGATGAGACAGGTTCGCGGGTTCGCTGCCGTCTTCATCGTTCCCGCGTTGCCGTGTGCAGGAGGGCGAAGGCTCGGTTCCTGAGGTGAACCCTTTGTTCCTGCTACCCGTCCTCGCCGACTTCATCCGACTGAAAGACCCCAGCATGCTCACTCTGGAAGTCTCTGGACTCGCGGCCAAGTACCCCGACATCAGGTGAGTGAGTCCTCCATCGTCCACGCCGCTTATCATCGGACGAGGTGCACTTCATGGGCCGTGTGTTTTTGTTTTTCTTCCCCCCCCCCGTTCCCCCGCAGCGAAGAGCACGTGTCTGTGCTGCTGGACATCCGTGGTGATGTCTCCAGGGACATCAGGGGGGCGGTGCTGGACCTGTTGGAGCAGAGCGCCCCGCCTCCGCCCGCGGGGTACCGGCCCATCTTCACCGACATCCTGGTGCCGCCCTCCACCATGGCCTTCTGCCTGCCCACCGCCAAGTGTGTGTGACGCTGCCTCCACCTGTGTCCCAGCGAAGTCCATTGCTCGGGGACAAAGGGACAAAGATCAGGACCCGTCCTGCTCCCCCTCCCCCCCGTGGCGTGACATCCGAGGTAAGCAGGTGGGGAAGCGGACCGGCATCTACCTGTTTAATCTGCACGGCTCCATGTTGCCGCTTAATCGTCTCACATGACACACAAACGGGACACATTCAATGAGGAACTTGTGACGCTTACTGAGAGAAGATCATAAACTTGTTTTACGCATTTAATTTCAACTTGTATTGCTGTTCATATTGGGCTTTTTAATCTGTATTTATTGTATTTATGTATTATGTTTCTGCTGTTATTGTTTGTTTTTTTAAAGCACGTTGTAAAGACATAAATAAATAAATGCTTTGTCAAGCAAACTTATTTATTTTTTTAGGTACTCATGTTATTCCTTTTGCGGTTGCTTGTGGTGCCGTTTAAAAACACATACGCATGCAGGTTTTGCGTCAGAGTCTCTGTAATTTACTCCAGATGACAACAGAAGGACGATGGAGCCAAACTAGTTTGAACAGGTGAACTCAGGTCTGATACCTGCGTGGATGCTGATCTCCTCCACCAAAGGCCAGCATGGGATATCTGTTCTCAGTTTGTCTGTCTCCTCCACACTGGATATATATATATAATATATATAAAATTATATATACATATATATATATATATATATATATATATATATATATATATATATTGCGGTGCAATGCCGCATATTATATAATATATATATATATATATGTGTAAGGGATTACCCAAGAAATATTACACAAATAAGATGAGCGTGGTGTTATTTAGGGTTATAATCAAGTTGTACCCTGCAAAACATTTAGATGACAGATTTAGATGTTAGTCGACGCTCAATGTTTGTATATCATACATTTAGTGATTGTTTTTTGCCAAATGTAAGTTTACAAGCCAAAGTTTGGAGTTTCAAATGTATCTAAAACATAAATACTCTTTGGATAAAGGCTGGAAGAATAGTAACAGCCTGCATTGCATGTGATATGTTTCCGTAGTTAAGAGTTTGTGCCTTAAGAGTCCTGTTTTTTCTTTTTATATTATTCATGATATTGCGATTTTTCCATTTTTATTTTGTATGCTATTATTTCTGCATATGCTTTGTATGTTCTGTAGTTTCAATTAGTAGTAGTATAAATGTATGTTGTTGTTTATTCACCGTTTCTGAAATTGTGCAAAAATATTGTGAAAAGTGCGATATTTGAATAAAAAATATCAAATTGAATATGTGTGTTTTTACTATGTCTGTGTTCACTTTACCGCCTTTCCTACCTAATCCTGTATATTTCCTCACTACTAACAAAGAATTGTCTTATTTTATATCTAATGGTTAAAAGAGGAGAGAGTGCACGTGACCTGAAAAGTGTGACGTCGCTGGGAAAAGATGGCGGCCTCCATCGGTGCAATGCCGCATCAGTAGCGCAGTAACGCGTCGTACGATATTCTGAAAAACCAACAGCCGGAAGGGTTTTTACGGTCCTGGCGGGAATGGCGGCCTTTTGCGGAGGAAGCGTGCCGAGCGCCGGCGCCTCGGAGCGGGTGGAGGAGAGCGAGGAGTGCGACTACCACCAGGAGATCGCCAGGTAGCGCTCATGCTAGCGCTGATGCTAGCCCCGAGCCTAGCATCCACTTCCGGCTCAGTGGCGCGTTCGATGTGTAGAATGAGCGCGCGCCGCCGGCAGCAAGGAAGACAACTTTATTTCTTGAGTATTCTGGTCACAGTTGAGGGAATATCTGCACTATTCACGCGTGTGCACATTCCACAGTGATGTGGGTTCTAATATACATTACTTATTACATTACTTATTACATTACTTATTATTAGTAACACGTTACTTATTACAGTGCATTTCATAACGGCGTGTACTGTATTCATCATATTAGTCACTTTTGCTTTTTAAACCACTAAAGCTACTGACCTTTAGGACTCTGGAGGTGTTTGATTCCAATGCACCCTTTAATACAAAATAAAGAGTTTAGGTGTTTTATATTACGTGTTCATCCAGCAGTACCTGTGGCTAGCATTGATTTCTATAATAATAAAAAGAAATGATCAGCTGCCAGCGACTCGAAACCAAAACATCAATAGTAAACACACCTGAATGTGTTGTGCTGTTTGTCTTTCAGGTCCTGTTACGCAGATATGCTACATGACCATGACCGGGTGAGTCGGCCTCTGCTGGATGAATTCATGAAAATGTCTCTCATGACCCTCCTGTGTTTGCTGTTAAACGAGACCTTTGCTTGACGGGACGCCGCCTTTACGTACTCTCATCGTCCTGGACGTGCCCGTGTCACAAAGCACCATCTACAAAGATGTAGATTCTCTCCAAAATGAAGCTTTTCAGGAGATAACTCGTATGTTCATTGTTGGGATAAGACATGACCTAAAGATTCTGTGGTTAAACCGTCCGCACCCTCATTTATTTGCTAGTTGAAGCAAAGCAGGCATCATAATGGTCTCCGCTATGGCAATTAAGTCCAAGTATAGTTTAAAGCATATCAAGGCATTAACATCAATGACATCAATACTATTCTGATAATAGGCATGGAAGTATAACAAATAACCTTTCGTTAAATAAAATGTGATGCACAACCAAGTGCTGTGACCATTTGGGTGCCTCTGCTGCGCCCATGTTAGTGACTGATGGCAGGTGTCACTGTGTGTGGTGCCTGCTGTCTTCACTTCATTCACAAGAATAAACGGCTAATTGATGATCTGCAGACTAGAAAACAGAAATACAGGAGTACGGCCCATTCACTCAGAAAAGACAGCGCTTCATACTGTAGATATTTATACTTCATACTGTAGATATTTATACTCCTTAGTGTATATATTTATACTCCCTACTGTAGATATTTATACTCTAGTGTAGATATTTATACTGTAGATATTTATACTCCTTAGTGTAGATATTCATACTGTAGATATTCATACTGTAGATATTTATACTGTAGATATTCATACTTCATACTGTAGATATTTATACTCCTTAGTGTATATATTTATACTCCCTACTGTAGATATTTATACTCCATACTGTAGATATTCATACTGTAGATATTTATACTCCCTACTGTAGATATTCATACTTCATACTGTAGATATTTATACTCCTTAGTGTATATATTTATACTCCCTACTGTAGATATTTATACTCTAGTGAAGATATTTATACTGTAGATATTTATACTCAGTGTAGATATTTATACTCCCTACTGTAGATATTCATACTTCATACTGTAGATATTTATACTCCTTAGTGTATATATTTATACTCCCTACTGTAGATATTTATACTCTAGTGTAGATATTTATACTGTAGATATTTATACTCCCTACTGTAGATATTCATACTGTAGATATTCATACTCCATACTGTAGATATTTATACTGTAGATATTCATACTCCCTACTGTAGATATTCATACTGTAGATATTTATACTCCATACTGTAGATATTTATACTCATACTGTTGATATTTATACTGTAGATATATATACTGTAGATATATATACTCATTAGTGTAGATATTTATACTCCATACTGTAGATATTTATACTCCAGTCATTAATGTATTTCCTAGAACAAGAGAACCGAGGCAATGAGGCGCCACACACAGACTTTGCCTCCCTGTGCATTGAGGCAGCTGCTGTCCTTTGTGCCTCCAGAATAAGAAGTACTACGAGGGCATCCGGGCTGCCGTAGCCAGAGTAAAGGCTCGCGGTGAGCGGGTCGTCGTCCTGGACATCGGGACGGGAACGGGACTGCTGTCCATGATGGCCGTCACTGCCGGAGCCGACTTCTGCTACGCTGTGGAGGTACAGAGGCTGCGCTGGACCAGAGGAAAAAGATGACTGATGAGAAGAAGATTACGTGTATACGAAAACATTGTCTTTCGTGAGGTGGCATCATTTGCAGCTTCCCCGACCTCCTCAGCGTCTCCTTCGTGTCGGCAGGTTTTCAAGCCCACGGCTGAGGCGGCGCGGCGCATCGTGCAAAAGAACGGCTTCTCCGAAAAGATCAAGATCATCAACAAACACTCCACGGACGTCACCGCGGGCGCAGGTTCACACAGCGCCGCTGCGCCACGGCGAGCGCCGGGCCGCCACGAGGAGCGCGACCAGACGTTTGATGCCGGTTGTGTTTTGTGTCTGTAACCCGAACGCAGATGGCGACATGCAGGAGAAGGCCAACGTTGTGATCACGGAGCTGTTCGATACCGAGCTGATAGGAGAAGGCGCGCTGCCCAGCTATGAACACGCCCACCGCAACCTCCTCCAGGTGTGCACGATACGCTATGCGCAGTACTTTAGGCTTCACACTGGTAGAGATGTCACATCGTGTCACGTGCAGCATCGTGCGGTGTCCCTCCGCCCCCCTGCAGGAGCCCTGCGAGGCCGTCCCCCACCGGGCCACCGTCTACGCCCAGCTGGTGGAGTCGCCGCTGCTGTGGAGCTGGGCTCAGCTGCGGCCGGTGGAGGTGGAGGGGGCCCGCCTGGCGGCCCCGCCCGCCGTGGGCCGCTGCGCCGGGGTCCATTCGGTGTGCGACATCCAGCTGAGCCAGGTGTCCCCTCACAGCTTCACCCCGCTCGGCCCGCTCTGCACCATGTTCAGGTACGGGAGGGACGCTCCTCCTCCTCCTCCACCTCTTCTTCTTCTTCTTCTTCTTCTTCTTTCAGCTTTGGTTTGCTCCCCCCTCAGTGTGGACTTCAGTAAGCCCGTGAGCAGCGCGCCCCAGTCCCACACCTCCCGGTTCGTCGCTCGCTGTGGCGGTCGGGCCCAGGTGGTTCTGTCTTGGTGGGACCTGGACATGGACCCCGGTGGAAGCGTGGTGTGCTCCATGGCGCCCAGCTGGACTTACCCAGAGGCCCGGATGGCTCCGGTGAGTTCCAGTGCTGAGCGACGTCACACCCATCGAACGAAGGCTCTGCAGATCGATTACGAGGGAAGATTCAAGAGCCGATCATTTTTCAGTGGCGGGACCACTGGATGCAGAGTGTTTACTTCCTGCCCGCCGAGAGCGGAGTGGCGGAATCTGAGGAGCTGAGTCTGACCGTGCGCCGCGACGACTACAGCCTGTGGTACGGCCTGCGGCGCCACAGGTACCCCGCCCGCCCGCCGGCTCCGCGGCCACAACACAAGGCAAAAGCCACGGCGGCACTCACTCACTCCCTCCCCCTCCTGTCCCGCTGTGGTTCCGCTCCCGCAGCCAGCAGGCCGACGCCCCGCCCCCGCTGGCCGACGCCCCGCCCCCCCGGCCCTGCTGCACCTGCCAGGCCCACCTGGTTTGGACCAGGCCGCGTTTCGGCGAACTCAACGACCGGCGGCGCACGGAGAGCTACGTCAGCGCGTTGCGCAGCGTGAGTGGGAGGGGAGGGGAGGGGAGGGGAGGGGGGGGATGGTCGGTGCGAGGGTGCTGGTGTGATTCCCCCACCCCCCCCCCCGCTGTGTCCCCAACAGGTCCTGAAGGAGGACAGCGTCTGCCTCGGCGTCAGCGACGGAAGTCTGCTTCCTGTCTTCGCCCACATGATGGGAGCCAAGAAGGTAGCGGGCGCCGCCTTCCCCCACCCACCCCCACCCAAATAGAACACTGCGTCTCTGACTGCTTGCTCCTCTGCAGGTCTACGCTCTGGAAAACTCCCGCATGTCGAAACAGCTCATTGAGCAGGTAAACGAGCAGCGCAGCTTCGGGAGCAACAACAACAACAACAACAACAGCAGCCGTGACGCGGCGCATTCTCATCTGCAGGTGCTGGAGGCCAACTCCATGGAAGGAGGCGTCGAGCTGGAGGTCCGGGCGGAGCAGCTGAGCAGCGGCGGCCTCGCAGGGAAGCAGGTACCCCCTTTTTTTTTTTGAAGGGCGAGCTGCTCTCGCGGCGCTACGGCGTACAAAGACATCGGCCACGCGTGGCGCCCTTAGCTCATGACGTGGGCGTCCCCCCTCCCCCCCCCCGCAGGTCTCCGTCCTGATGGGCGAACCCTACTTCAGCACCAGCCTGCTGCCCTGGCACTCCCTGACCTTCTGGTACCGTCGGACCGCCCTGGCGGGCCTGCTGCGGCCCGACGCCACCGTCCTGCCCCGCGCCGCCGCTCTCCACGTGGTGGCCGTGGAGTTCCAGGTGAGGGAGACGGGACGTTGTCGCGCATATGGACGTCTGACTATTGCGTGCGTGCGTGTGTGTGACGCCGCGTGCGGCTTTGTCCTCGTGTCTTAAGGACTTGTGGAAGATCAGAGCGCCGTGTGGGACGTGCGAGGGCTTCGATGTCTCCGCTATGGATGAGATGGTCCAGGTGAATTTCATTTTCACACCTAGTACGATCTACAGGTAGAAGGAGAATACTAATTAAAAAAAAGTCACACTGTAAAATAGATTTAAATATAAATAAACAAAATATTTCCCAAAAAAATCACAATAATATAAAACTGAAATATTTCCGCCTCATCTCACTTTAGTTTCACTCTTTCCTTCAGGGCGATGACATCATCAATTTGAGAACCTCAAAAGATGTTTGGAATCATTAAATATGTTTTACATTTGTTGAGGATTGAAGGGCGTTGAAATTAAGTTTTAAATATTGTCGTCTATGAATTGCCGTCACAGATTTGAGCGCCACATTCAAACTTAAGACGTTTTATTTCTGCGATGTTGTTTATATAAAATAATAAAAACTTCCCCCTGCAGAGATCCTTGGATTTCCGTGAGTCCCGCGAGGCAGAGCCCCACCCGCTGTGGGAGTACCCGTGCCGCGCCGTGACCCGGTCGGCACAGGTCATGGCTTTTGACTTCACGCAACTCGTTCCCCAGCGGCCAATCAGCAGCCGGGGCTCGCTGCCCTTCGTGAGGTAGGCGGCGGCGCCGCGCAGCGAGCGAAGCACAGCCGCGTTGTTTTCCGATGTTTACAGCGGGGGTTCTGAACGTCTTCTGCAGGAAAGGCCGTTGCCATGGCGTCGCGTTGTGGATGGAATACCACCTCACCGCTGACATCACGGTCAGCGCGGGACTGATCGGGCCAGTCGGGGAGCAGGTATCACGCCGCCGCCGCCGCCCGTCTTTGCAGCCGCCGTTTGTTCTTTAGCCTTCACCTTGTCTGTGCCGCCCTCGCAGGGCGAGTGCCAGTGGAGCCGCCACAGGAAGCAGGGAGTGTACTTCCTCCGGTCGCCGTGGGAGACCTCGGGGGACGGCCGAGCCGCGGTGACCTACAGCGTCACCTTTGAACCCGCGCTGGGAGACGTCAAGATGGACTTCGGCGTGGCGTCGCCGTGACGCTGAAGGGACTGGTGCGCTCTTGTTCCCGACTGACTGACTGGCGGCGGCGTTCGGACGTTAGCAAGTCGTGTCAAGTGCTTCCCAAAAGCGAGCGGATGAAAATGTTGTTCTGCTGACACGAGGACGTTTCACCTGCTGCTTGTTTGGCCACATTCACTTCAATAAACGTTGTGTTCAGGAAGAAGACTGGCTTTAATGTGTTTGATCGCAAAAGGCAACATGTACATAAGAAATCATTAAACGGGACAGTTATTGAAAACAATAAATAACGGCGCCGTCTCCAAACATCACACAAAGCGACGCTGCTGCAGAGGAAGTCGTGTCTCTGGACGGAGGAATGTGATATTCAACGCTGCGGCGTGTCAAGCTTCGGTCAGCGTCTTCTTGTCCAGCACGATCTTCTCGCCCGGCTTGAAGGCCGGCATCCCCGCGTACGGGCAGCTGGCACACCGGAACGCGTCGCCCAGGTAACACTGCCACAAGGACGCGCCATTGAAAAGCTTTGCTGGGTTAGAACTCAAGAAACGTCAAGAGAATCTACTCACGCTTCCACAGGCGGACTTTGGTAGATCGGTCTTCGCTTTCCCTTTACTCTCCTGCTCCTCAGCGAGGCCACACGTGCTGCACAGACGAGGAGCACGTCGTCGTCATCATCTGTGCGTTTACATGCTTTCCTTCCTGCTCCCGTGTTTTGCTCCAATGCTTTAAACAACAGATGGGGGGGTCTGAACTCACCAGTTCTTGCAGGCTTTCTTCTTGGCTGACCCTTCTCCACACGTGGGGGCTTTAAGAGAAGCCGGGTCCGGCTTCTTCAGGTCCTCCTCGTCCAGTAGAGCGTCGGAGTCCACGAGGTCCTGTGGTGCAGGGGGGACGAGTGACATTCAGTAGTCATCAGAGGTGCTCCATAGTCCCAAATAGTCCACGAGATCCCACTAAATCGCACTCCCTGTGCAGGACATGTCTCCCTGTGCAGGACATGTCTCAGAAAGTGCATTGAACGACTCACCACGTCGTCGTCGTCCATGTCGTTGGCTGACAGCGTCCACATTTTGGCCGCGTCGGGATCCAGAGCTGGTTTCTCTGCCGGGAAAAGGGGTTTTTGTGTGAACTGACCAAATCAAAGCGTGCTGCTCAGCGACGTCCCCACAGAACGCATTTCGTTTAACAGACGAGAAACCGAGAACTAAAAGAACGTCCAAAGAAATGCATGCAGATGACGCGGATGTTCAAACACGTGCAGCTGCCAAAGCTAACAAATGCCTTGCAAAGGATCAAACGTGTTTAATCAGAGTTCTTTTCAGTGCTTCCATCTTTGTATCAAGTCACCCTGTAACTACAGCTGCAAATGAGCTAAAGCTAGAATCCGGTACGGTGCATCAAACGGGGGACATTTATGTTTGAAATGGACACAATCCATTTGACGTGAACTAAACATTTGTTCAAAGCTGGTGTGTCTATTCATTTGACCGTCATCCAATCGTGTGAGATTTGAAAAGGTCCAACGATGGTTTTGGACCATTAAGAGACACGTTGCAGTTTGCACGAGTCTGACTGGTGGTGTCAGAGGTCTCCTGATGGATCGACCGTAAGGCGGACGTCCCATCAGACTCCTTCAGCTTAACGTGTGGACAAAAAACAAGAAAACAAACAAACTTGAACCTACCTGGCTTCTTCCTGAACGAGAGTTTAATCTGGCTGGAGGATCCCACCTCGAAGGCCGGCTTGCAGGCCGACACGCGGACTTTAGACAGAGTGTTGCCTTGGTAACCAGTGGCTGTCCTGAGGGAGCTCAACGCCTCTGCACTCAGTTCTGCTTTACTGACCTGGATGATGGGGGGGGGGGGGCAACCAGGAGAGAGGGTCGACGGGTCAAAAGGGAGACATTCTGCCGTGTGGCGTGTCACCGGTGCAGATGTTTCCGTTCCAGGTCTTTGCTACTTGTGTGCGTAGCCCACCTCCGTCACCGACATGAAGCCGGACAGCTTCAGAGCAGACACCAGCTTCTCCACAGTCCTCACGCTCCGCGCCTCAGCTCCTGCCCCCCAGGAGGAAAGCAGTCAAACGCGCTGGGACACCCCGAGGAGAACGACTCCCGGCCCAGGTGGATTCATAGCATGTTTTTTTATTGCATTTCGCAATATAGTGGCATCAGGATCCCCCCCTTAAAGTTCCAATTAAATACAGTGTACACCCTCCCGTTGTCCGGCACAATGCTCAGCCTATAAACGTCCGGTTCACCTGTGACCGCTTCATCCAGGACCAGCTTCCCACCAGGTTTGAGCACTCGGGCCATTTCAGCCAGCGTCTCGGCGCTGTGGGCGGAGGAGCTGTCAGCCAGGAGGCCAGACAGCACCCAGTCAAAGGTGGAGGCCGGGTGGGATGCTGTGTGGGGGGGGGGAGAGAAAGCAGAGGATCGTTTCACTGCACGTGAGGCGATCACACGTGGTTCACCGAGCGCGGGTCACTCACAGAGCAGCAGCCGCTCCATGTTCTCCACGGACACGCGGCAGCCAGCGGCTCCCACTTCCTCCGCGTGCTGCTCGAGGGCCGCGGGGGCCGACGGCTGCGCCCACACCAACAGCACCTCGTCTCCGGCCCGGACGCCCAGCTCCGCCATGTCTCCGCGCGGCAGGGGACAGCGGGTCCGCTACCTGGACGTGACGCGACGCAACGCAGTCAAAACAAACGCGGCGCCACGGCGACGTTTCGTCATCGCGGCCCTACGTCATAACGCGAACAACAAGGTCGACAATGTGGAAGAGCGGCGTTACGTGAAAAGGAACCGGTGGAACGGTTCCTTAAGCGCTCTTCTTCTCTTACTTCCATAATGTGAGCGGTTCACGAGGCTAACCGACAGTTAGCCTGTTAGCTTGTTGATCGGCAGGTGAACAGAAACGCGTCGTCGCGCGTCGCACATGCTGGTTATTGAGTTCACGAGGTTTTTAAGCTTTATAATGTACTCACGCCTTTTGTCTTTGTACTTACGCGTGTCTCGTGGTTGAAAACCTGAAACAAACGACAACGTCAATCGGATGTTCTCGAACTTACCTAATGTTGACTAAGGGTTTATAGGCTTCCGGTCAGATTTTTCAAAATACAATCGTTGTTGTAATGTTTGGCTTTAACAGGTCAAACGTAGAAGGCTGTTCATCGTGGACATCTTCTAAAACAATTCCAATTATAGTCTAAAACATTTCCTTTTTTTATTGTTGCTTTCATTCTTTTATGCGCCCAGAAAGTAATGAGCGTGCGTTTTACTTTGAAGGCGACTCGCTGGCCGTGGCCCGTCGCTTTGCCGTTTGCTGCTTCGCGGAGTCGCGCTTAAGTGACGCGGCTGCGCCCAGAAGAGAAAAACAACGCGCAGCGCAGCGGAACATGGCAGCGCTGCTCCAAGGCCTCCGTGCTGGAAGGGCACTCCGGGGGCTGGCCAGAGGTGAGGCGGGACCGACTGGTCCTCGTTGTGTCGGCTTAATAAATACTGCTGGGGAAGTGATTCGTGTGCATTAATAGATGTCCGTTCTCTCGGTTGTGCGTTGCTTAAAACGAGTCAGCCGCCCGCCCCAAAGTCACTTGTGACGCGCGGCGGGGACGAAGGGCAGCAGTCTGTCGGCTGTGGCTTCTGAAGTAGAACATCTGGAGGATTGTGTGGGGGCCTGAATATTGAAGACAAATGCGCTGCTGCTGCTGCTGCTGAGTGAAATCTGCAAGCTGCCAAAATCTGCTTCCCATAAACAAAACAAATCTTTTTCGAAAGTTGTTGCTGGCACTGAGATACATTGTGAAATAATACTACTAATAATATACTCTAATTCATCCTGGTGCATTTATAGGGTTCGATAGGCAATACTTGAAGGGTGTAAGTGTTGCAGTCATGATGGATTCTTTTTGCTCCAGCAAGAGAAAAGCTGATGATTACAGAGGAGATTGACTCAAAAGTGCAACTATTTCCCAAGTCCCAATGTTACTTGAAAGAAAGAGCAAAGTTGCAATATTTGGCCATGAATGTAGCATATGAATGGGACATATTCATGACCATATCTCCACCCGCAGCGGTCGCTGCACCAACGGCACCGAACCCGCAGAGCGGCAGCCTGAGCCGAGGCTTCCACCGCGCAGCGCTGAGGCTTCAGGATGAATCTAAATCTGACAAACCGCCTTCCTCCTCCTCCTCCTCGTCCTCCACCACCTACCACGAGCACGGCCACCGCGCCGATGAGGACCCAGCGGGGGCCCCGCGGGACGCCGCCGGGGAGGCCTCCAGGCCAAACACCAGGTCGGTCCGCTGACAACATCGACAACGTGGAATTGGAAATGAAAATGTTCTGTTGCGTCGGTAGACGTAAGATTGCGGCGTGCAGGTTTTGATTCATTTTATTGTAGTACATAAAACGCATATAATCATAAATATTGTTGCATGAGTAACTTATAGAAAATATGTCCGGGCTGATTTAAGAATGAGGAGACTCACACAACTTAAAAATATATTTAAGGGTTTTTCATTTTTATGTCTGCTTTGCAGACACTTTCTTGAAATAGGATGGAAATATTTTGGCTTTTCTATACAGGAAGATATCTCAAAATTAGCTGAGAACCCCCTTTTTTTTATTCCCTACATCTCACTAGGAATTCGCTTCTTAGCCGTCTTATTTATAGTGTTACAAAATACCTAATCAGACTTTTTTTTTTTCACTAAAAAGGATGTTATTTAAAATGTTGTGTCCTAGCTGGTGCAATCATAACGTGATACTGTTCAAGAGTTCACTGTTGCGTCTCCGTGAAGCTACCAGGACCAGGCCGGGGACCAGGGGGAGGAATACGAAACCGAGGAGCAGCTTCAGGCCCGAGTCCTGACCGCCGCGCTGGAGTTCGTGCCGCTGCACGGCTGGTCTCTGGACGCCGTGGCCGCCGCCGCTGAGGTGAGCTCGCGGCGCTGGCTCACACGTAGGGACGCTGCAGGGATTTTATCGGACCCCCGAAGACGAGGCAGTGCGAGTCACACGCGTGCACAACTTAAATAATACCAGTCCTCCCAGTTATCTATATATATATATATAGCAACTGGTGGCTGCAGCATACGGCACATGACGCAACCCAGAAGGCATTCATCATGTTATTTTATTCAAGCTTTGAAGGGGACAAAAGTCAAGTAACTGGTGTCATTTTTCATTTATTAATAATCATGTTGGCAACTATTTATCATTAATAAAAGATTATTCTTTTTATTTGGGATCCAATCAAAGAGGATGAAGGTTCCTTCTCATAAAACAGACGGATGTCTCGATAATAGAAATTCGATTTGTACCATGGATGTTTCGATTTGATATTAATTTAATATACAGAAATAAGCGTTTTGAGTTTTCCCACTGACCAGAAACTATTTGGTTGTGTGTGTGTGTGTGTGTCAAGACGCTGGGCCTGTCCTCCGCCTCCACCGGAATGTTCCACAACGGAGCTGGAGACCTGGTCCTCCACTTTGTCGCCCAGTGCAACGCTCAGCTGACGGAGACGCTGGCCGAGCAACACAACCGGGTCCAGCTGGGCCAAGCCGAGTCAGTACACGGACGGTGGCGGAGAACTAGTGCGTTCACTGTGAAGCCTTTGGCTAAGACTGCTGTGTTACAGGCCGAAGAAGACCGCTGACTTTCTGAGAGATGCTGTAGAGACCAGACTGAGGATGCACATCCCATACATTGAATCCTGGCCACAGGTAGACAACGTGTGTGTAATATATATATATATATATATATATATATATATATATATATTTCCTTTTTGACTTTGCTCCCATGTTCTCAGGCAATGAGCATCCTGCTGCTCCCTCACAACATCCCAGAGAGCCTGAAGCACCTCTCCACCCTGGTGGACGACGTGTGGTACTACGCCGGGGACCGCTCCACGGACGTGAGTGGATCCCGTCGACGCGCGTCTCCTTTTCGTACTTCATCCGGTGTGTTTGTGTAATGTGATAAGCGTGTCACGGAGGCCGCGTTGAGGCCCTTCTCAGAAACCGCACGTGGGACCTTTTCTGTTGCAGATGAACTGGTACACCAAGCGGGCGGCGCTGACGGGCATCTACAACACCACCGAGCTGGTGATGCTGCAGGACTCCTCGCCGGACTTCCTGGACACCTGGAACTTCCTGGACAACCGCATTCAGGACGTCGTCAAGATGGGCGCCGCCGCCAAGCAGGTGGGCGGTTAAATAGCATAAAGCGGCATAAAGCAAGAAATCCGTCGTATGTTCCTCAGCCATAAGTCACTTTCACTTTATTCTGTAGGCGCAGGCGACCGGTGAAACAGTGGTGCAGGGGCTGATGGGAGCTGCTGTTACAGTAAGTGTTTGCCTCCTGCTCATCCGTCATATCAGAATCCCTACGGCTGAATTAGCACAAGAGTCTCCTCCCCATTGTGGATGTACGCACACAGTATAGTCTACGCTCTTATTTTGATATTTCCCTTTTAGCAGTTAAATCACGCATTCAAAGTTATACATTTGGTGCATTTTGATGCAGAGGGTTGACTGTTTGGATGGTTTGAACAGTACATGAAGCCAATTTAAATGTATGGATAGAAACATAGCGGATGTTTGTCTTGTGTTTTGCAGCTGAAAAACCTCACAGGACTGAACCAGAGACGATGATGGAAAACAACGCTCCCTCGCGCTGATCACTACCGCCTGGCCAAAGCGCAACTTTCTTTTTGCTCCTATTTTGGATAACCTGATAGCATTGGGTTATGGATTGTGTTGAGCAAGAGGAAGCTATTTTTTCATAGTGAGAAGACTCATGTCTTGTCTTACTGTCCTAAGATTTCTGTTTTTTTCCCCTTTGGACATAGTGATGTCATTTCTTTTGTTGGATCAAAACACAATAAAGTAAAAATTATAAAATGCGTTGTTACTAGGATGTTCTATATTTCTCTACACACATATAAAATACCAATTAAATTGTCCCCAAAGGTAACGCACACTCCAGAAAGAGAACTGCGCGCTTTTACTTTGAAAAATATCTTCCAGCCTAATGTGACCCGGATACTAAATAAGGACCCGCCTCAATTTATCATTGTGACCAATCAGCATTCGTATTTACATCTCCTGGCCAATCGGCGTGTAGCGAAAATTGTTCCGGAAAGGCCTTCAACTCAAAGCAGCGGTATCCCATTTATGAACGATTTCATCACGTTAATCGGTTAATTTCCCTCCGATAATGCCGTATGCGAACCAGCCGACGGTGAAAATAACGGAATTGACCGACGAGAATGTCAAATTCGTCATTGAGAACACCGACCTGGCGTAAGTAGTCACTCATTTGTCCGCTCGAGAGAGCGTGTGCCGAGCAGAGCAGCCATTGCTCCCCCTCCTCCTCAGAGCCAACGCTGCGTGTCCACAGCGGCTTAACACGCAGAGGGTTTTAATACTAAATACCTTACAGTATTTTTAGTATTAAAACACAGGAGGAGCTGACATTCTCTGGGTTACGCTGTTTCTTAAATTAAACGCGCCCTTTTGTTTTGTTTTTCGGCAGTCGTACACGTCCCAGTCAACCTAACATGATGGATCCCGTGTCCTTTTTACTACTTCACGTCTGTCAAACGTTCCTCTTTTCTCCCCGTTCAGGGTCGCGAACTCCATCCGCCGCGTGTTCATGTCAGAAGTCGCCACCATAGGTGAAGTGAACTGTCCTCTCGGCGGTTTCCTCTGCGCCCAAACATGTGTGTGAATCGTTGTCCGCACTGAGACGCAACGTGTGTGTGTTTTTTTTTTTTTGTTCCCCCCTTTTGCAGCGATCGACTGGATCCAGATCGACGCCAACTCTTCGGTGCTGCACGACGAGTTCATCGCGCACCGAGTCGGTGTGTACCGGAGGATGCTGCTGCTGGGCCGGAGTCATTGTGCACGCATCGCTGTCGTGTTTCCACTGTGCTGTTAAAAGAAGCCGTCCGATGTGTGTTTTTTTCTCTCTGTCGTCAGGCCTCATACCTCTCACGAGTGACGACATCGTGGACAAAATGCAGTATTCCAGGGTGCGTGTGCTGAATATGGGAATCGACCCGAACTAAAAGTGGTTTGTGTCAGCGACCCTTGAATGCATCACCGGTATTTGGAGCCCACCGCTTTAAGACGTTGCGGTTGGAGGCCAGCAATCCCTGCATAAAGGGAGCCCGGACCTCGCCATCACACCGGGATGAGGGTAGCGCGCTCCTGCAACATCTGTTCACAAACCCCCCTCCTCCGCTCCCGCCCTGCAGGACTGCACCTGTGACGATTTCTGCCCGGAGTGCTCTGTGGAGTTGACGCTGGACGTCCGGTGTACCGAGGACCAGACGCGCCACGTCACCTCGCGCGACCTTCTGTCCAACAACCCGAGAGTGATCCCGGTGAGTCCTCTCGACCCGACCGCCCGAGAGGGTGAGCGGAGGAGCGAGCTGACCGCGTTTGTCTTTGGGCTTCCCAGGTGACGTCCAGGAGTCGGGACAGTGACCCCAACGACTACGTCGAACAAGACGGTGAGCTGATCGGGCTCATTTTCAAGTCCGGTCTGAATGCCGAACTTCTCTAAATGGGAGTTTGGATGAACCATTGCTCTTCTTCTAAGATTCTACTCAAACTAACTTCAGTGGGAACGTTATTGACGAGACCACACGGCCTGTGGTTTTCACACGTGCCTTCTTACACGTAGTCTCATCCGCTCTCTGCTGAACATTCTGGCATTAACTGAGCACCATTAGCCGCAATTTTCAAACGTTGACCTCTCCCCCCCTTCTGTCCTCGTCCTCCTTGCGTCCTTTACCAAAACCCCGTAGACATCATACTGGTGAAGCTTCGTAAGGGCCAGGAGCTGCGGCTCAGGGCGTACGCCAAGAAGGGCTTCGGCAAGGAGCACGCCAAGTGGAACCCCACGGCGGGGGTGTCCTTCGAGTACGACCCGGACAACGCGCTGAGGCACACGGTCTTCCCGCGGCCCGAGGAGTGGTACGTTCTCGCTTCAATCGGGTTGGCGGGGTTTTTTTTGTTGGAGCGATGAAGTGACGTCTCTGGTTTCCAGGCCAAAGAGCGAATATTCCGAGATCGAGGAGGATGAGGTCCAGGCTCCCTACGACCCCAACGGGAAGCCGGAAAGGTGATATCTTACTTTCATTCTTCATTGTTTTGCGAGAGCAACGCGCCTCGAGCTTCGAGCGGCCCAACAGCTCTGCCGCGGCGTTTCCCCGCCTAGGTTCTATTACAACGTGGAGTCGTGCGGCTCGCTGCGACCGGAGACCATCGTCATGTCGGCGCTGGCCGTCCTCAAGAAGAAGCTGAGCGACCTGCAGACGCAGCTGAGCCACGAGATCCAGAGCGACGTGCTCACCATCAACTGAGGGCCACGGAGCCGGACCCGAGCACCACTCGGGGTTGTTAGTAGTGAACTTTATGCTTTTGTAATGATATTCTTGCTACGGCCTAACTTTTTTTTTTAATAAATCTGTCCTGAGGAACTTTTAATGGGTCATTTGTCTTTATTGCTACTGCATAACTACATGAATAAAGTATTTATTAATCTAGATGTTCACTGTGTAGAGAAGAACCTCCCAGATTTATCAATCTCGTGATCACGCAGAAACAGCTTTTTTTCAAAGTAAAAGCCCTCATTCTGCTCACGTCCTACACCTAAAGCCACCAGGTTCGTATCGCTCAGCCGTCGTGAGAGACATTATTACGCTGTGACATTCTCTCATTGCATGGGAGAGAAAGCCGAACTTCAGAGGCTCACATCACTCCAGTGAAGAGGAGGATTAGCTCTGGATTTGGGGGTGAACTGTCCCTTTAAGAAAACCACATGAGACGTAAATTCAATGAACCCATAATAAATATTATTTAGGATTAGCAGACTCTGACGTGATTAGAATACAGTTAGCTAACACACATGTATGATTAGTGATTAAAAAAAAGACTGTCTCCTCCATTTGCTCCTCTTCCTCGGCCGAAGAAGACGGCGACGTCCTCGATGGCGGTCTCCCCCCCCACCCTGCCGCCGACCCGCCTGGTGAAGCAGAACATCCCTGTGCTACAAAGGACTCAAGGACTACAAAGAGATGCGAGATGGCTACAAAGAGACGCAAAATCACTACAAAGAGACATGAGATGACAACAGTGTTTGCGTTGGGTATCGTGGTGTCGTGATGAGTCGTTTAGAAGAAGCACCTTATAGATGGAGTTTAGTTTGATGCTTTTGTTTCATCATCGCTGGGGGGGGTTTGTTCTGTTGACCACCAGGTGGAGCGTTCTTCTCCCTCTGGTCCTACACTGGGGATGAAGCTGTATTCATACCAGGAAACCAATCGCTGGTACCGACAGGCCCAGTCAGCTCTTGCAGGGACCTTTTTCATCCCCTGAAAAAACAGGAAATAAAAGAAAAATGATTAATTGCCATTTTGTGTCAGGATGAAAACATTCATTGTTCATATGAGAACATCGTACATGGTTACATGCTGCAAAAGTCTCTTTTATTGCTGTCAGGATTAAGAGAATTAAAAAAAAAAAGTCTTTCCAAGTCCATCTTTAAAAAGACAAATGATTTAGCAGGAGGACAAAGATGTATTTAGTAAAATGTGGCACAATGTGCTCGTTGCCATATCCCCATGACAACTAGGTATATTTATATGTATATGTATCAGTATACATCGATCTATGTATATATATATCAGTATACAGTGTGTGTGTATATTACTGCTCGGAATGTTTGTTTTCTTGTTAATATTATTAAGGTTCTTGTTATTAAGGTGCATATTTCACTGTGTGTATCTATACGTGTATATGTACACACATGTGGGTGATAGTAAGCGCATACATTGGACATAAATGTACAGTTAAATGTATATTATATTGATTTAGTATTTTTTAATCAGGATTTTCTTTATCTTCCATAATTTAAAAATTGTTTATATTTCTCAACTCATTTTGGGGAAATATTACAAAATGGTTTTGTCACTTTAAATAAACTATTACAGAAGCACTACCACCTCGTCCTGGGACTTCTCAGAAGTATACAGATATACGGAAGGTCTCATGGTTTTAAAACCCTCAGCTCGCTAATTCGGCTTCTATCATCTCCCAAGATGCATCTGTTTTTGTTTCCCTGAACCGAAAATCGCTGAGTTAATAGGAATGAATTTGTTCCTCTGGCACGTTTCTTCTGGCTCCTCCCCTTCGTCCTGAGCCACTCCTACCTGACCTTCTGCTCTGGTCACTTTCTGGGAGAACTGGAACGCTCCCTTTCAGAAATGGCGTCACAGGTGACGTTGCAGTCTTGACGCTTGGAGGACACGAACACCAAATCAATCGTGTCATTGTGTCTTCATCAATGTGTCTTTTATGAAGACGTGTGTACACTCGGCTGGTGGAGAACAATGTGCCCCCCACCACCAGCAGAGCTACTGGTCTTCCTGCTGTCAGCAAGACAAGGCAAGTTTATTTGTATAGCGCTTTTCATACACAAGGCAGACTCAAAGTGCTTCACATCATAACATTTCATACAATAAAGTGAAATAAAATGCAGGAATTAAAAGACAATTAAAAACAGCAAATGAAATTATAAATTAAAATCTTATTTAAATTGTTTAATTAAAGGCAGAGGTTAAAAGTGCAATGTAGGTCAAATTTAGCAGAAGGCGAAGCTGAACATAAAGTTTTCAGTCTTGTTTTAAACGTGGTCAGAGTTTAAGTCTTAAATCTTCAGGAAGTTTATTCCAGCTGTTTGTTGCGTAGTAACTAAATGATGCTTTCCCATGATTTGTATTTACTCTGGGAATCACTAACAGATGGTGTCAGAAGATCTTAGTGATCTTGAAGGCTTATGTAGTGGAAGCATATCAGTGATATACTTTGGCCCTAAACCATGTAGTGATTTATATGTGAGCAGTAGGATTTTGAAATTAATTCTCTGACAATCTGGGAGCCAATGTAAGGATTTAAGAATTGCTGTAATGTGCTCACATTTTTTGGTCTTTGTTAGAACTCTAGCAGCAGCTTTCTGAACAAGCTGGAGCTGCCTGACAGTTTTATTTTGGAAGACCTGCAAGGAGACCATTACAATAGTCCAGTCTACTGGTTATAAAGGCAGTACAAGTGTTTCTAAGTCTTGAGCTGACATGACCCCTCTAAGTCGTGCTACATTTTTCAGGTGGTAGTAGGCCGATTGTGTTACTGATTTGTTACAGCGGGTCTGTTTGAGGTACATTGCGGTATCTTAATGAATATTTTAATGAATAAAGTATAAAGGTTTCCCCATTCAAACAGCCCCGTTAGCCGCTGTTGCTCGCATAACACAACTTTTTTTGACGTCAGCGCGTTCATTCGTTTCCACTCCATCCCTCGTTTGCTGGTATGCGAGCACGTCAAGCGGAAGGCCGCGAGCTATTTGCACACGGCCTGAATCTCACGATGTGAAAGGAAACGGCCGTTTTACGCCAAACAGACAATGCGTTCATTTGTTTTGTTCTCCCTCCCGCCCAGAGTCTGGTGGCTCTGCCCCTGCATAGCTGTCGCCTGCGGATCTTCCTCGTGATGCTGTTGGAGGTGAGGACGTCACCGCATGAGTCATCCGGCTGTTTCTAATTATTACTAATATTTGTATGACGCTTTTGCAGAGGCTGGTAAACGTTCATAAACGTACGTGTAGCGTGCTGGAGAAGAGCTCCGACTTGTAACACGTGCTGCTGCCGTACACTGCTGAGAAAATGTCAAAATGTTAAAGCAATAAAGTGTTTATCCCCCTGAACTTGTTCGCTTGAGGCTTGTTGAACGTGGCCGTTAAACTGGAGCAGCGGAGAGAAGGTTTTCCGCTTACACTGGTGACCGGGCAAGTTCACGGGTGAGCTTCATGGAAACAATCCAAGCAGGAAATGTGTGTCATGGCTCAGTGAGTCCAAGGGTTGACCGAACCAGGAGCTCTAAGCTCCCTGTCGGAATCAAGAGATTGTCTGAACCGCAACCCTCAAAAATACCTGGACCCTGGTTCCATGAGTAACGACCGCATGATCCAAAACATCCCCTTACAGTAGCTCAAAGCCCACCTCATCTTCAACAATACAGGATGTTTCGTGTTGGTAGCACAGAAATGTCCGTCCTCAAAGTCTCCAACGACGTCCTCCCCTCCTCAGAATGATCGTCGTCAGCCCCTTTGGACGCCCCTAAACCACCACTATTACTATCCACTTATGCACTATCCGTCCATCACAGCTCCACCAATGGCTCGCTGAAATTATATATCAAAAAAATATAAGCTTCCTCAAAATGAGTTGGTCTCTCGTTTGAATGTCACAATGAATCAAATCACCGGCACTTCTGATTTGCACGTTTAAAAAAAAAAAAGCTCATTGTCCTTTTCCGCTTTTCTTCGTGTCACATCATCCAAAGTCATAAACAAACTCCTCTTGTCTGTTCGCCCCGTTCCTACTCACGCTTTGTCCTCCAGAACCTTCCTTTGCTCTTGTTACAAACATGATGTAACGGTACTATTTACAGTATATTTTTAATTTTATTATCGTTATTAATATAAGACTGCTATTATGATATATATATATATATATATAATACTATAAATTAATAGTATTATAAATTATAAATTACCCCCGCTATGTATCATTTAAATTGACCTCTCTCTATTTATACCAATTGCCGTTTACGTTCTTGCTCTAATATTTGTACTTTCTATACTATAATAAATGTCTTTCATGTTTTTGGAAACAACGCAATGATGTTTCACCCACAATCCTTTGTGCGATGGAAAAAAAAAAAAAAACCTGCCGTGGGTCACGTGATATTGTCACTGAGGCGGAAATGAAAGTTCACCAGCGACAGCAACGGAGCACAGCCGAGAAAGGTAGGGGAAAGATGACCTTTAAACCCAATTGGAGTCGGGTTCAGAATGTGTGACTTGTTCTGACGCGAAACACGTAACTATGAATGCGGTTTTCGCCGTTGTCAAGTGGGTAGAACGTGTTTTTTTTCAACACGTCCCCTGGTAAAAAGCCACCACGGAGCTCGTTCGCTAACGGTTAGCTTGTTCTGGGAGGAAGTGAGCAGAATTCGACCGCGTCGGAACCTCTCCTTCAAAACAAATGCCACAGAGGTTGGATCGCGTTTTCCGTGTGGTAAGCAAACGTGTTGTTGTTCGCTAACTACGTCGTGCCGGTCTCTCTGTCGCCAAACAGTTGCCCTGGATTTAGTATGTGGCTCTCCCACCCGCGGCGCGTTGGTCGCAACACAGAGCAACACATCAACGTCCGCTAGCTGAGCTTTATTTTGGAATTCCATAACCGGAAGTTCTTGTTACAGCTCGAGCGCTTGGCGGCGATTACGCAGAAATGCGTTGATTGTCTTCCGTGTTTGTGTTTCGTGCGCAGCAGCCAGCGGTATTTAAACCCGTGGACAATGAAGTCCGTTAAGCCGGGATAGTTGTGTCATTGCGAGTCCACTCGACGTTCGGCCGATGCGCGCACAGTAAACGGGCTCCGCTGCCGCCGCGCAGCCGCTCGCCTTGTTTCACAAAGGTTGACGGGAAGCGCGCCGCGCTTTTTGTCGTGTTTCGCTTTGCGGTCCGATTGTCCGATCGTCTGGCTCGTTAATCGTCCGGCCCGGGACACATCTGGCCGGGCATCACTGGGTTTGTCCACTCTCAGAGATGCTGTGACGCCGGGAGCAGTCACCTTGGTGGGCCAGGACAGCAGGATGAGACCCCCCCCCCTCCAGGAACCGGGCTCTGGGTTCTCTCTGAATAACCAAAGTAAAGACCCTCATCTGTGGTAGCCGCAGACCACAGCTCGGTCGTCTCTGCGTCCGCTCCATCAGGCCACATCTCTGACTTTGCTCAAGGTGATGCTGAGCGGTCCTGATGAAAGTCTTGACACTGTTGATGCAGGGAAACGCGCTCGTGCCTAAGGGCTGTTGTAATGCTGCAGTGAAGCGACAACACGTTGTAATAATATTTTGCGTCTGTGCTTTTCAGAGCTGTGAGGTCATGGCAGCTGCCAGCACGAGCAGACCTGGCGGTGGTGCCCAGACCACTGAGAAGTCTCAGTTGATCTTGAAAGGTAATGACCTGTTTGTTTATTTTTTTTTTGGTCATTGATCTGACTAACTGATCCAAATAACATCATAGCACGTCGTTCCAAAACTAGGACAAAGCTCTGCACATGAGGCAGCATGAGGTCCTATCCATCCATCCATCACAACATTTAAGATATCTTGCAGAGGACCCTTTCTTAGTTGTCGGTCTGGATAGATGGACAGATATACATAGGTGCTCTATTAATCCCCAAGAGGAAATGTGTGTGTAATAGTGGCAGTACAGTACATAGCATGAGAAACCAAAATGAACACTATATACTCCGGTCTAATGGACCTTCACAAGGCCCACGTGGTTCTGCTGGAGTGACGGGCTCCGAAACCCCACGTTCCAAACACTGCGTGCAGTACACCTGTGCGCCCTGGTGGTAGAGGTCATTGACCTGCTGGAAGATGCACAGCCTTCTCCTGATACTGATACTGACTCTAAAACCTGGTCCAGCGTTGTGGGCTGTAGAGGCTTTTCTGGTATTTGAACAACTCTCCTCCCCATTCATCTTAACCTTTTATAAGGTCATTAATGAAAACCTTTTTTCTCAATTTTTCCTATTTCCATAAAAAAGTAATGTGACGGCCTGACCCAACACACCATAATGTTCTTACCACAAGTGAAGGAAGAAGTCAGATGATTTTTATTTAAATCATTAAAGCAGCTATAACCGATATTTCATAGGGGATTACATCTGTATGTGACGTGTAGCTATAAATGATCAACCCAAGGAGTTTCATCATGTTGACGGTTACCGTCAGAGCAATTAAAAAAAAGTAAATGAGTAATAGTGCTGCGCCGCGCGCTCTCCTCCCCCCCCCCACTAGAGGGCGATGTCTGCCTGTGTTTCTCACCACCAACCACGCGGGTTTCGCCCCCTCACCCTCCAGGAGAAACGCCTGGGTGAATAATCCAGTAAAATAAGTCTTTATTTTAGTCAAGCACACAGCTATTTGAAGAACGAGTAGAGCAAATATTATGTTGTGAAGTACACAGTAAAGAAAATACATTTGATCCAGAATACTTTTGTGCATTAACTTGCATACTAAATTAATTATTTGAATTGGGTTTTTTTTAAATGCAAATAACAACTATGAGATCAGATTAAGTAGAATTCCATTGAAAGACGATTTAAACATTTTTCTGGGTCAGAAAGTGTCAATAATCTAGAAATAAAAATTGAAGAATCAAACAAAATCTGGAAATAACAAGTCAGACTTGTCAGTTTGTTAAGGTGGTTGCATTCGGCGCGTCTCTAAAGCCAGAACCCAGCCGGGTCAGCAGCCCGGCAACTCACAGCCGATTCTTCCTCCTCTTCTTGTTTGTAAATGTAAAAGAAGCATAATCGAGTATATACATATATTTTGCGCAAGAGCACCGAGCTCGTTTCTGTGCATGTGAGGAACACTGTGCGTGGTTGGAGGCTCAAATGAAAGGCCGCCTGTTTTGCACGGGGCTGATGTCACCGACTGGGACGATGTATTATTTAAAAGAAATTAGGGCTGAGGCGCCGTTGCTACGAAGGCCAAACCGTTGACCCGTGATGTGAATACATGAAGTCCATTTCCCACTGGACAAAACCCCCCAAAACCAAACCAACATCTGACTTTTAGCTTTCATCTTTTTTTCACTTTTGTATTTTCTCGTGTTCAAATGTGCTTTACCGCCGCGCGTTTGTTGTTTTTTGATTTTTCATATGCGGCGAGAAGTGTTTTGGTCCCAATGAAGAGAGTAGAAGCGTTTTTTTTGGGGTTGTTAACTAAAAGAACCACCCGTCTGTCCCCGCCGCCGTCAGTGGTGTCGGCGAAGCCTCAGTCTCCCAAGCTGCCGAGCCGACCCGCCCGCCTCAGCTCCTTCGTCGAGGTCACCGCCGACGGCCTGACCAGCGAGACCAAAAAAACGGGCAAACGCAGCGGACACCTCGAGCTGCAGTGGAACGAAGACCTCACCCTGTAAGAACACAACGCACGCACACACACACACACAATGACTTTTAACATGATCTTGTGTTTTATTGTTGAATTTCACATCATCAGCGACCCACATTACATTGTAAGGCAGCAAGCACTGGTTCAAAACACGCACATGTGTCGAAGCGATTAGCGGAATCTCGTATGTCGTTGCCGTGGTGAGAGTCCCGTCACGCTAAGTCGGCGTTTGCCTTGTGTTTGGCAGTAACGTGACGCCTCAGAGCCGCCTGGACCTGAAGCTGTGGAGCTGCCACACCCTCCGGAAGGAGCTGCTTGGCAGCGCCACCATAGACCTGCTGGACACGCTGCGCACCCACCACGGCAAAAGTAAAGACACGGACACGCACGCACACACGCGCGCGGCCAGTCGGGGCGACGTTACGTTTTCCAGTGTGGAATAGCCTCACAGCTGGAGTCGATACCGGTACTTTAATAGGCTGCCGTTTGGAAAGCGGTGTAACGTTTAGGGTTGATTCATTGTGCAGCAATGGAATATTAAAAATCATTTAATGTACCACTACTGATCTGCTTAGATAGCAGGTCCTCTTCCCCTGGAGGACGCCAATCGTGCACAACCATGTTGTCTTTTCACGTTTTAACAGCTAACCGGCCCATACGGATTTTAAGGGTTTGCCGATGGCAAATGACGTGTTCCACATGTTCCATCGGAGACGTTTCTCCTCCTGTTCCAGCTTTTCACTGTCGCGCATAAACAATTTATATACATCCATGTTGTTGGATTGCTCACATGTCGTGTCCAGAGACCGTCACAAATCTGACCGCATTGTACGTTTATTAAGACCTTCTCGCTGTAACAGGTTTCATTTTGTCAGTCTTTTACTCCTTATACATGAACAACATATTTGTTTTGGCCTTGTGAACTTATTCAAGTAAGGGTATAAACTAAGAATTGAGTTTCAGGACGGAAATTATTCCATTAATTTATAATAAATTAAATTATTACCACATTCTGCTCCACTGCTCTGTACATGTTTTTGCTTTACAGTCATGAAACGTGTGAGAATTCCACCTGATTTCCAGACTAGTAATATGATGTTATTGCCTTTTTAGGGGTCCATTGCTTAAACATGCCAGAGTTGAATTTAACATCATTATAGCGACCCACATTACATTGTAATAAATGAGCGTCGCTGGATATTCAAATCAGTTTTGTTTCCGTCAGGCAACGGAGGAATTGTCACTTCTTCTGAGGTGAAGCACAGTATTCATGATGTGGCATCAGCAGCCCGGCTGAGGTTCACGTGGTTTTCCTAGAATCTGCATATGAGAAGTAGACGTGGTCATTCTGAAGTCACCCATTGGTTGTAGGACCGAAGTTATTGAGGAGAAGTGACGTGCAGACGACATATACTCCCGAACCTGTCAATCACAGTAGCCCCACCTTAAAGCGTAGTCTGTTTATGGTCTACTTTACTAAATGAACATGAGATTAAGACCATCTGTGTCATCGGATTTTGAAAGAAAAAGGTGATTGAATTTCTAGCACTGAATATTTATGCATTGAAATCATGTATCTGAATGTTTTTCAACGTTAAAATATTCAACCGCAAAAAATTCAATGCAAAAAAATTCAATGCAAAAATTCAATGCAAAAAAATTCAATGCAAAAGAATTAGAACCGCAACATCCGGGAACCCAAGGAAGAGCAATCGATTCTAGATTGAAGATCGGGAGCGTGCATCAAGCAAAAGGAGCGAGCGCCCCAATACAACTTGGGCTTGTCGACTATGATGACGGGATTTCAGCCATGTCTGTTAATAACGGGGCTTCGTTGAGTGTTTTAACTCTCTCGGTTATGCGTCTGCACACGCTCCGCTAAAGCCGCTGCCCCCTCCCACTACGCTGCAGCGGCTCCTATGCGCTCTACAAGCACGTTCCTGGTTTCAAAAACTCCGCCAATCGCTCCTAATAGCTCGTCGAAGCATCCCAGCATCAGCTGTCTATTACTGAATCGTACAGACACAAACCACACTGATGGCGTGAAGTTAAAGTTAAAACACTCAACGAAGCCCCGTTATTAACAGACATGGCTGAAATCCCGTCATCATAGTCGACAAGCCCAAGTTGTATTGGGCGCTCGCTCCTTTTGCTTGACGCACGCTCCCGATCTTGAATCTAGAATCGATTGCTCTTCCTTGGGTTCCCGGATGTTGCGGTTCGAATTTTTTCGCATTGAATTTTTGCATTGAATTTTTTGCGGTTGAATTTTTTGCAGTTGAATAACGTTGAAAAACATTCAGATACATGATTTCAATGCATAAATATTCAGTGCTAGAAATTCAATCACCTTTTTCTTTCAAAATTCGATGACACAGATTTACTTCCATACACTGGGGGAATAAGCCAAGCGGCCCCCTGCTGGACATCACAGAGAATGCGGGTTTGAAGCCGCTGTAGTTCCATCGGGTTCAAGCGGCCTGGACGTGACGGAGGACGTCCCATTTCCGGTCTTCCAACTCTCTCACATCACGTTCCCCACTCCCCCCCCCCCCCCTCTCCCATCTCCCCCACCCCCTTTAGTGGAGAACGTCCAGCTGAGTCTGGTGCTGCAGACGGAGAACAAAGGCTCGGTTGTAGCGGGAGGCGAGCTCAACGTCTGCCTGGACGGCATGGCTGTTGATCTGGGCACGCTGCCCAATGGAAGCACGGCAGCAGACAGTGAGTCCCGCCCCCTCTACCCCACACAGACACACACACACACGCACATTGGTGGAGGTAATAACACAGAAACGCAACACCTAGAGAGAGTGAGTGAAGAAACGTTCAGCGGAACAAGCACAAGCGGTTTTCCTACAGAAGTCTACACTCATTAACACAGAATACTCAACATTGTTGGAGCGTCTCTCGTCCTTCTAACTCGTTCATGCATCGCCTATTTGGTTAATGTCGCGCATACACATGTTTTTATTTGTTCTGGAGGATATCAGGGTAACGAGTGTGGCACGTGGTGTAAATAATAACTCTAATGAAGTATTTTTCTTCTACTCAAGGGGCTTCTTGTTGGTGCACAACTGCACATGCGCGAGCAGAACATCGCACATGTGTATCGTGCTTATGTATAAAAACATCAAAGCCAGTAAGAGGTCAAACGGTGGTGTGACCTTAAAGAGATTTACCACACTGCAGGACGCAGTTCATGCTAACACGTCCCTCCATGGAACTGTCCTGCACGTCAGTCTTCTTCTGCCTGACGTGTCAACGCCGTGTGTGTCTCTGCTTCAGTGGAGAGTTTTCAATAGCGTCTCTAAAGGCTTTCTGTCCCGCCAAGAATAACGTATCAAGAATATTGTTCAGCTTAATACCCGTGCAAAATATTGACCATTCCTCCCAAGTCGGCCTGTATTCATTGAACGTTAACACTGATCTCCTCGGGCGTGTGTCACGACTCCCAAACCAATATGAAATGATTTCATCTTCCCCCCCGAGGAAGCATTTCAGACCCCCTGCAGACCTGTCGACTCCAGGTCACCCGTGTTCCTTTGGCTTTTAACTTTCCTTTTTATGGGTTTGAAGCAGAAACCGGGTGCATTTTTTTTTTACCAAATTGCACCGCTGCCAAAGATCTGCTCTGTGTGTAGCCTTTCACAGGGGGCCACGTTCTCCTCAAGCACGAGCTGCACAAATGTGTGTCTTTTTCAAGTCCAAGGCGCTCGGCTCGTCTTTGCGTGTTTGTGTTTTTTACGATACCATGAGTGCAGATGGAGACGTGTGTTGCTGGAGCTGTTGCCCGTGTGGGTTTGTGTACACATGTGTTTTGCATTCTGCAGCGAGTGTGTGTGTGTGTGTGTGTGTGTGCCCCTGCCTGGGTGTATAAAGCGCATAAAAGGTGAAAGTGTGTTCCCTTCTGGCGGCGTTAAGAAGCTCTGTGTTCTCGCTCTGACGCGCCCTCTGTTAAGTTTGAAAGTTTTACTCATTTCCCTCTGGCAAAGTTTTCTGACACACACACACACACACACACACACACACTTTTAACTTTATAAACAAACCCTTGTATTGAAAGATGAGGGGGGGGGGGAACAGAAGCCAGAGCACACGTGCAGAAGCCCCCAGCACTTTTGGTTGCTGGTTACCTTTTTTTTATCTTCATTAACCGGCGGCTGATGGAAACTAAATGCTAAGAGGTAACCCTTCGCTAGTCCCGCCCCCTAAGCTGGTGCTGTCACCCACGACTTCCTGTTTGTACGTCAGTTGATTTGAAGAGGCCGCGATATTAGCGATAGTTGATTTTATGGTGAACTCTGTTTCCGAAACGTAAATTAAAATCCGTGAAGGAAACATTATTTAAGCTATTTAATGGATGTAAAAAATATAGCCTCAAGCGTTCTAGTCGCTGAGCAGTAAGCCCCGCTGTTATGCACTCACGGCTTTATGGTCTGTTTGACCCTAAATGGACCATCATCATTTATTAAATGAACACGCTGTATTAAAGAAGACTCAAAACTAGAGATCGAGAGCATGAATTCATGTTTACAACGTTTCCTGGGGGAATAAATCAAGACCGAAGAAGTGACGTTTTCTCGTAGACTTTTCTCTGTGCCACCAGAGGAGTGACCCCTGCTGGTGAGCGGAGAGAATGCAGGTTGAAGGTTTGGCTCGCCTCGTCACACCCGCTTATAATACTTCGCTAGTGGCCGTACCCACAATGGTAAAGGCGCGCTCACCGTTGACAGACGAGCAGGGGTGGGCGGGGCTTAGAAAACCAAGCCAATTGGGTTAGTGATCGTCTCCTTTTTTGCAGCTTCTTTAGCAGCTGCTGATCTGAAATGCGAACACTGTTGTCTTTAGTGCAGTTCTGTTCTATTTTAGATGCCGGTGCCATAAAGCGCAAGTGCATGCCCATTGGGTTGGGGGGGGGGGTACTGAGACTTTCCCCACAAAAGGGAAGGTGCTGTGTTTGTATGTGTGTGTGTGTGAAAGGAGAAAGTGAGTGTTAATGAAAAGCATGTTACAGCTCCGTGGTTTCCAGTCCCCAGTCGGACTGAGCACATAGTCACACATTCCCTCACACCAACAGGCCACCTCACACACACACACACACACTCACACACACTAGGATGAATGGTCTCTATTCAACCACCCACTGTACACGGACCACATGCTCCGGGTCTCTCATGGACTTGATTATTCGGGAAAAGGGCCTCGCTCCCGTTTCCCGCACAGCTCCGGGGCGGATGGGTGTTCGCTGTGGTGTTCGCGGCGCTGCGCTGGTGGGACGGTAGATGGAGCCTCCATCGCTCGTCTTACTGGGACCCAATTTGTTGCAGGGGGAGCTCGATGCCTCAGCCAGTGCAGCGCGTACAGACGAAAAAATAAAATAAATTGTGGCACATTTAGAATGTGTTTCAGGGTAAGAAACGCTAAATGCAAATTGATATAGCCTCACTAATACAGCTAAATGCAGTGTGTGTTTATCACCAAGTGGACAGAGGTGAGCTGGGAGGAGAAAGAAGAGGGAGAACAGATTAGAGCTGGAAACTACAAGTCTCAAGGGTATGGACTTCCACATTAGCATTGCTGGCATGAGACTGCAAGACGTCCACGTTGGTGCGTGCACTGCGCTTTTGACCGTTGCCATCTTGTTTTTTGCAACCTGCGAGTAAGTAAGTAAGCCCGCCCCAAAGCAAAGACCATAAACTCAATGTTTACCGAGGGGAAAGAAATAAAGAGAAGTAGTTATTTTCTTAAGTCGCCCCCCAGAAAATGCAAGTTCCTGTCGCACATCCGAAGCATGTCTTGCCCGTCCGCGTCTGAAGTCACAAATCAAACCGAGCGTGCCGTGATTGACTCTCTGTCGTGTGCTTCCCCTGCAGAGTCGCTGCAGCCAGACAGACCCAACCTGAGGCGGACGCAGAGCGAGGAGGCTCCCGGCGCACCAGGAGGTCAAAGCAGGTCGGTGCACGCGGTCGCCGGGTCAACGCTGAAGTTGATGTTGTTGCATTCGGCGAAGGGGAGCGGTGCGCGAAGCACAAGACCCCCGCCACCCCCCCGTAGCATCTCTGTAGCACGAAGTCAACGGGCTGATCAGACGCACACTGTTGCGTTTATAACAATGAGGATGAGAGAAAACAACGGGACGAGTATAAAGAGTATGACGGCTACGACGGTCACGCCCTCTTTTGTCTTTCTCCTATCTAAGGAGCAACAGCACTCATGGGGGGTTCGCAAGGCGGCGAGCTGACTACGCGAGCTGATCGAGAGCAGACCCCGGTCGTGCTCGTCCGGTCGCGCGCTCCTCCAGAGTCACGTCAGCCCTAGGAGCAGCGCAGGTATGGGAAGGGGGCTCCGATCATGCGTTTCCATGACGATACCTGATAGATAGTAACCTCTTCCACTTTGTCTTCACCTCAGACAAAGTTGAGCTGACGTCTAACGGGCTGGATGGAGGCCGCAAGGGCGCGGCCCCGCCACCCTCGCCGTCGGGCCAATCACCGCCCACCGCCACCGCCGCCGCGTGCACCGCCGCCTCCAGCACCAGCACCACCACCACCACCACCACCACCACCACCACCACCACCAACAGCAGCAGCAGCCCCTCCCCGGGTCAGGACGCCGTGGGTCCGGCCGCGCCAGGGGAGCCCGGCCCCGGCCCCGACGCCGCCTCCGGCGCCGAGCAGACCGGCAGTAGTGTCGCAGAGCCGACCACAGAGTCTCTCCCGGCGGGGTGAGACCGCGCCGCTTAACGCTTCCATTCAGAGCGCAGTTAGTCACTCAATCACGTCACGTCTGTACTTCTGTGCTTCGTTAAATAATTGTATTTTCGAAAGTCAGAACAAATCAGTAACCGTTGTGTTTTTAAATAGTAACATCAGTAATTAGTCTCCGATTTGAGTCAAAACCGTGTTAGACTTCCTGACCCTTCACAGCAAAATTAAAAGCGGCGCCATGCGTGTGCATTGTCTCCTCCTGTCGGTGCAGCTGGGAGCAGAGGGTGCTGCCTCACGGACGGGTCTACTACGTGGACCACAACACCAAAACCACCTGCTGGGAGAGGCCGCTGCCGCCGGGGTACGCACGCCGCCTTTTTTTCCCACCTCTTCTCTGTCCGTGCACCAAAAACACCGGCTCCGCGCCGGACCTCATCATCTCTCCCACAGGCGGTTGTGTTGACCGACTCCATGTGCCGAGGCGCTCTTAGAGAACGTGTGTTTTCTGTTTTGGTGTAAAGCGTTTGTTCGCGAGAGGAACGCGGCGCGGTCGCAATGGAGCTGTGCTTCCTGCCCGAGTGGGGCAGGTTGTCCCCGTAAGAGAAGCTTTGGCTGGGAGAAGACCAGCGGGCGAGGCTTTTAAAAATGTTATTGGAATACTTTAATAGAACATCCGCTGTTTACACTGTTTTTGGATTAATTCATTTTGGGCTGACAACACAGTTTAGTTTGTTTAAGACTATTTCTAGCAACTATTTTGCTGAGTTCATGCTCCGACGGAGGAGTTTGGATGTAAGAAGATGACGCTAACGAAGCTAAACAAGCTACGAGCTTCTGTTCATATGAACTGAATTGAATCTCCCTTCAAACAAAGACGGCGTTTCTGCCTGAAACACAAGTGTAACCAGACTGCAGTAAATATGTTCTGTGGCAAGCGGCGATGGCTCTTACATCCCCCCCCCAGCGACTTAATCCTGACCGCATCCCTTCGTGTGTTTTGTTTAAACCGTGAATCGGCTTCGGGCCTGTAAAAGGAACGACAACGCGGCCACGTGACATCCACGTCTCCACCGCGAACAAAGAGGAGGACGAGCGCTTCTCGTTTAGACTTTCTAAGGACGCGTAAAAAACCTTCTAAATTCACCAGAGGGTTATTTGCCGACATGCCTCCAACAGAAGGTCTCCTCCGCCTGTGGCACACAGACGTTTATTTCAGGCCTCCGACCAAAAAAAAAAAAAGGAAAAGGGGAGGCGAGGCCACCGGGAGGCGCAAACGTGCAGACTCCCGCTTCCTGGATGGAGATTGTGTGTCTTCGGTTGTAACTTCATACATAACCGTCCCTCGTTCAGCCGCTGTGATCCTTAGTGTTTGTACGGCGTTGCCAAAGACCCCCCCCCCCCCCCTCCCCCCCAGGAAAGAGAAAGGTCACCCCCCCCCTCGCCCCTTCGCTTCTCCTTGCCCCAAAGTTTTTCCGTGCGGGGAACGAGAGAACAAAAGTCTTTTCTTAGAGAGCCACGTGTACCCCCGTCCAATAGCATGTCGCCCTTTCAGTGCACCAATTAGCACGTTAATGCTGCTACGCTAGTGCTCAGAATGTGCACACCGGGAACTGTTTAGAGAGCGCTGGGGTGAGGGGGGTGGGGGGGGGGAGTTAAGCAATCGAGGTTGGCAAGCTGAAATAATGAAAGCCATCCGAGGGGCCGAGCAGAGCTTCTGAAGCTGCAGGACGTCACGGCCCGACAAAATGACAGCAGGAACTAATCTGCGAAGCGCCATCTAGTGTTTGCATTGGATCCGGAACGGCTCAGCCAAGCGCGCAGGCAGCCGCAGTGAGCGCTGCAGAGTCGTCGGGTCGCTGGTGGCTCTCTAGACAACCGACGAGCGAACGGGAGAAATACACGCCTGCGACGAGCTTTTATTGTGAAAAGCAACAACGGCAGAAGCGGGCGAATACATAACGACTCACTGTCCACGAAAGAGGAGTTGAGTCCTTCTCTCAGACCTCCATGCGAGCAGAGGAGTCGCCCCCCTGGTGGACATTAGGGGGAGTGCGGGTTAAAGGCCCGTCGGCATCGGCAGCTCTTCCCGCAACCCGGGGTTGCCGGCTGGCTTTTACAAAATATCCACACGATGAGATTTTGAATAAATAATCGGTAGTGTGGAGACAAGATGCAAGATACTAAGTAGGTAATTCAAATGACGGAAGAGCTAGATGAGTACTTGTTAGTTTTGGAAATGGCCATTAAATAATAAGACCTTTAAAAACCTAAAAAAAGCTCTGTATCAGCACGACGTGTTCTTGTTAGCATACGGAAGTGTGCTAACAGCGGTGCTGTTTTCTCTCCCAGATCCTGAAGCGCTGAGGTCAGAGATGTGAGAATAGCCGAGCCGGAGGAAACCCGGCCTGCGTGTGCGAAAGCCGTTTGCGTTTGTGTGCGTTTCTCTCGTCCATGTCCAGACGTCCCGCCTCGGGGACAGACAGAACAGGGGGCGTCTTGAGTAACGCTGCCGTCCCCCCACTGTTACCCCTCAACGATGTACCCGAGGGCTGCCATTCCCGTTGGGATGACCGCTGAGGTTCTTCTAGAAACTTAAACTAAAAGCCACATCTATTTTATTATTTTTTCTGAAGAATAGTTTGGTTTCAGCATCTCAGCCGCTATCCTCCTCCTTGTTTCCTTCACGTCCACTCATTTACTCCTCTCCCCCTCCTCTCAATGTTTTCTTTCCATTGTGCTTTATTTCCATCTCTTTAAATTGGTGCTGTTGCTATGAACAGCCTACATTTTTGATACTACCGCCCACTCTCGACTTGCTAAATGCAGATGATGTTGTAAGCCACGACCCTTTCTACCCCATTCTATAGCTGGGAGAAGCGGGTGGACCAGCGGGGCAGGTTCTACTACGTGGACCACAACACCAGAACCACCACATGGCAGAGGCCCACGGCCGAGTCCGTGCGCAACTACCAGCAGTGGCAGAGCCAGCGCAACCAGCTGCAGGGCGCCATGCACCAGTTCAGCCAGCGCTTCCTCTACCAGGTACTTCATGTAGTGTGTTAGTCCTCAGGACCTTCCTCTACCAGGTACTTCATGTAGTGTTAGTCCTCAGGACTAAAGCTCTAGTGACCCGGTGCGCCGCACAGTCAGAAAATGTCGGCTGCACGGGTCGTTCAGGGTGTTTTGCCAGTAGGCCGCGTCCCTGACAGCAAAGCATCCGAGGTCCGACGCCAAAGGCTCATGGGAACTAAAGCAACAAGGCTCTCTCCATGGCCCGTTCTATAATATACATAGAAGCAAGGGCAGCAACAGAACTTCTTTTAGTGAAAGCTGAAACCCCCCAAACCCACGTTATTGCTGTAACCGAAATGGGTGTTGCGCTCCGCAGGGAGGGTGCTGTGTTGATGTTGATGTACCGGGCCGCCAAACTAAATGTCCACATCGGGGTTAGGAAATATTGACCCGCGTTGGTATCAAGATGCAGCGAGCCACCGGGCTTTTTACACTGAGACATCTTTTGAATGTGACCAGCGCGGTTGCTTGCGGTTCAGAACCCCCCGAGCCCTGCATGCGCGCCTGCAACCGTTTCGTGGGGGACTCGCCGCACCGCGGCGTCTGCTCAGGGAGAGGTCACCGAGCAGACGCCACGCCAGCTCCTTCCAGTACGCGTGAGAAAAGCCGACAGGCAGGTCAGGCCTCCGTGTTGGTGGAACAGCGCTCTCCGTCTTGGAATGCCCACGCCGCCGATAGCGGCGGGCTATTTGCGGCACCAGCGCGTGTGAACGAGGGAGCGCACGCAAAAGACTCAACGCGGCCACGCGCGCTATAAATACTCGTGTCATCGCCCTCATCTTTTCATCATAAATCAGGACATGGGGATTCTTTACTGTGTGTGTGTGCAGGGCTGTAATGTGGAGGTCAGGTGCTACATTTCTTCTTTGTAACACATGGCAACCAACGAGGGTCAAGGGGCCCGATTGTCCTCTTAAACGGACACACACACACACACATATATATATCAACGGACTATTTTGTGGTTCCGAGAGTCATGCCGAGTCGCTTGTTGCGCCCGCCAGCAAAGTTAAGATCTTCTGGATTGATGGATTGACCGAAATGAAGCAAAGCTGATTTAGTGCGGCGCTCTTGATTGTGAACACGCACAAAGTGTGCACGTTTTCAGGGTTGCGGTCGTACACAACTACCCGTGATGCACACTGTCACAACTGCTCCACAGTGGTGGTGTTGTGCGCGTGCTGTGGGTGTTTGTTTTTGTGTGTGAGTGTGCAGAGTAATTGGTGCTCGTTAGGAGCCCCAGAGAGCCTTGGAGTCATTAACTGCTGCTTCCGCACTCTCCCCCCTGCTCTCTCCCCCCCTCGACTCTCCCCCCTTGACTCTCGTCTTTTTTTCTTTCAACCCCCCCCCGCACACACACACTCCCCTCTCAAAATCTCCCCTTTCTGCTCCGCACAGAGACATCTTTATCCGCCCAACTCATTATGATAACATCGCTTTTTCACTTCTCACATCAGTCTTCTGCCCCCCCCACCTCCTCTTTGCCCCTCCCTCTCTGCCCCTTCCCCCCCCATCCGACTTTCTGTCAGCTCTGTCCTGAACAAGGACCCCTAACAGCAGCACCTGAATCAGCCCTGTGTTTTATCACTCTCGCCGCTGGAACAGAAAACTCATACATGACCAATGTTTGCACACGCGAACCCGCCGGAGGAGCCCCCGCAGGAGCCCCCGCAGGAGCCCCCGCAGGAGCCCCCGCAGGAGCCCCCGCAGGAGCCCCCGTAGGAGCGAAGGCTGTTTTTTTTTTGCCAGCAGTCTGTCCCATGAAGGGACAATGGACAGCAGTTTAAACTGGAACCAATGGTGTTAAAAGGAAAGGAAAAAAGGTAACAATTTGATAAATGCGACAAAAAAAATGTGCACCGATTTTTATTTAAATATCTCATTGAGCAACAAGGCAGCTCAAAGGAATAAAAGAACATGCAGTCATTAAAAATACCAGACAATAGAAAATAAAACCAGAACAATTGGGAATAGTAGTTATAGTGAAGTGTGAACAATATTTAATAAAATAAACGTTTCAAACTGGAACATTTTGAGTTATTTCTGATTTCTGGGAGTTTATTGCAGAGGAACCGAGTGCTGCTTCTCTACGAATGTTTTGACTTGATTAAGAAGCCAAAATAATACATTTGAAGCCGTCCATCTGCTGGTAATTTAGTGGTCGATGCTCAAATGAAACCCACTTCTGTATCGAACCGCGACGTCCTGCATGTGAGCGCGACCAGGGCAACGCGTCGGTCAGAGGAGAACCCAGGATGATGAACCCACTGACCTTGACCTGGAGGCCCCGGGGCCTCCGCTGTCTTACATCTCACAGAAGAAGTGCAATGCTTGTTTTGCGTTTCGCCTGATTGACAGCCAGAGTCCTCCCAGCACGTTTAGAGGCCACTGGCGGTGTTATTTTTTTTTTTATTTCTCCAGCTCCTACAGCACCGGTCAAACGTTTCGCGCACGCTTCCCCATCGAAGTGAACGAGGCAACGTGTCCGCGCTTTTAACCGGTTCTGTATAACACCCAGTCATTATTTCACACGCTGCTGCCAACGGGCTGCTTTTTCCCACTCTCCCTCCCTCCCTCCCTCCCTCCCTGCCTCCCTCCCTCGTGTTCCAGGCCTCACTTTCCCTCCCCTCCAGCCTCGCTCCGTCTGGAAGTTGCTGAGGAGCTGGATGATCCGAGCCAGGATGAAGTCATCACGTCGGTATATCATTATATTCTCCTTTTACCCTTTTTTAGGCACAGAAAGGCCATTACGGGTGGGGCATAGATTGGCTTGTCGAA